CAGACATTTGGAAGATACACCAGTGACGGCAAAAGCCGAATACACATTGTACCTCCTTGAGAGCAATTCTTGAACACCAATGGCATAGACGCTTCATCTGATTTAAAAACCTTCTGTTTATCTTAGAGATCTCAGTTCCAAAGTAACTAACTACAAGTCCAACAATAAGCCAGTTTGGTATTCAAACTGCTCATATGCACCCATTTTGTGATGTGGAGTGTGCCACTAGGGGATATATCAACAGCTTATGGACACGAGTCATTGATGATTTACATGTATACTAGCAGTGTGCCACGGATCCGTGTACCTGATTGCCCAACAACTGATTTCAGGAACTGGTTCCAGATTATGGGATCGGGTACCTGTCATGGGCGTCGCGAGGGGGGGGGGGCAAGGGAAAAGAAAAAAAAAAGAAAAAAAAAAAAGGAAGAAAAAAGAAAAGAGAAAAAAGAAAAGAAAAAGAGGCGCGAAGTCATAATGGTGTAAATTCAATGGGTTGGGGGGGGGCAAAATGTCCCTGCCCCCCCTCTAAAACTGATAAATCGAGAATATGTTGAGAAATACAAGAATTTTTTGGGAAAAATATGTTTTGCCCCCCCCCTCTAGAAAAAATCCTGGCGACGCCTATGGTACCCATAATCAACTTGACAAATTATTTAGTAACTTCTCTGACAATGAAAAAGAAAGGATTCGATGTCATTTGAAGGGAATTTTCAAAATGAAAACCAGTCTACATGGAAAAACAAAACTTTGAGAATGACCTTCTTTCAATATTTTTCTTTGAAATGACAGCATGCCCGAAAAAATAATTTCACAGGGAGTTTGCCATTACTATCTTTAAACCAAGTATGCTTTTCAACAATAATTTGGTTACTTTTTGGATAGCTGCAAATGATGAACTCTACCTTTAAAAAACAATCGTGAGATCTTAATTGGCATGCACAGCCTGAAATACCATGGCTTAAGGTTCAATCCTTAGGTACATACATGTACACACATACATCCGCAATCTGAGCGAATGTATTCAGTTAAATGGGTTAAACCCCCTTCTCCGGTCAAGACGAAATCCCTGCAGAGGTAAGGCAAGGATACCAAGCATGCAATTCTGATTTTCTGCAAGATTGCCATAGGCCCGTGAACTCTCAGATCTTTCCAGTAGGAATTGAGCCAATTCACTGAGCATACTCCAATTATTCATGCGCCTAGAGCAAAGTACATACATGTACTCCACCACTGCACTTAGGCCTCCCCCAAGCTGGCAAGATTTCCCTTCGAATGACAGGATGCATGTTACAAATGTGTGTGTACAATGTACACTCGTGTAAACGTTGTTCAGTCTCAATGCTTTATACCAAGTCATTCAAAGTGTTCTTACTTCTAATCTGGTCTGTATGTTTGGAAATATGAGGTCACAAGACAAAGGTACCTTTTTTAAAGGTGGTCAAGCAGGCAAGAAGAATAACAGGTACCGGTACAGATCAGAGCTGTGTAGTCCAGAGACACTGTACTATGACCTAGTGTGTCGTAAAGTTTACCTGATTTTGTCCGACCTATCTCATCCGTTGTATCCTAAGTTTTTAATGAGAAACAGGGGTGGTCGTCTCCTGCAGCCGAGAATTAGAACTCAACATTACAAGAACTATATTGTCACTATATTCTACATTTTGCATAAATGTATACAGATCACAATCGTAACAGGACACAAAGTACAAGCCCGATTAAACCTAAAACACTACATCCCAACATCTTTTCCCTTTCACAGTTAATTAAGAGCCGTTTCATTTTGCCAACAGATTGTACAAACGACTCCACTGGGGATTGGCATGAGTGGGCAAATCGCCGGCCGATTGGAATAATCAACAAACCGCCACCCTCCAAGCGTGATGGATTGTTTGTATAAGGCTCGGACAGTTTGGAGTGTTCGTGTCATACCACACTCCAGCACTTGATGGCTTTCAACTGGTTAAACTCTCGCACGGTCAGCGCGCGCCATGAGCGAAACTGTTATCGTGGGAAATAAAAAAAAAAAATCACTCGTTTCAATTTGTCAATGACCTGTTATCGGTGACAGTATCTTGCAATGGATTAGAAAGGATCTGATACACGTAAATGGGAAAGAAATGACGTGTTAGTTTACGTATACTGCACTTTGGGCTATTTTAAGGAATAAAGATGATATATCAGATAGTGACTTGGGATCTTTCAGCACGAAAATAGAGTTATTGGCATACACATTGACTCTAGCCCCATTCAGCGATTTACTAGGAACCTTCCTCAATCTTTCAAGATCCAATACCATAACTCAACACCCAAACTGTTGGACTCTGATTATGGTGGTATACCCATGTACAGCTTAATCAGTTTACTACTAGTGCAGTACTCACTCCAACAGAATCATTACAAAAGGGTTGGGGATAGTTAGGGTTAACGTACGTGTTCATTCAACCGATAATTTCTTTTTTTATGAGAAGTGTTTTAACCCTAAAGGGGCCGGGTTATTTTGACCATCTCTCAGGGGGGGGGGGGGGGCAGATTCCGCCCCCCCCCTAAGATCTCGGCCATCGAGTGACGAACAATTTTGAAACTCAGCAAATGCATAGAGCAACTCTTCCTAAACATGCCCAAGAAATTTCATGACTATAGGTCAAAGGGTTTTGGAATTATGGCTAATTAATTATTCATATGTATGAATGGCAATTCTGCTCGGTGTACACGACGTATATGTGAAAATTCAGTTTTCACGGCGCGTAGCGCCGGAAAATTTTTCGCTACGTGCCAACCCGTGGTCCGATTTTTATGTTTTTGGTATCAAAAGATGCGCAAAGCTCGAGGCTAAAAAGTCATAAGAGCTCGGGTCGTGAAAATTTTTTTTTTAGAAGCTATCGCGGAAAATGTTGAGGGGGGGGGGCGGATTCCGCCCCCCGGCCCCTTTAGGGTTAACTGAAACTAGAATGGTAATGAGTTACATGAACATTTCATATAATGTCAGTGAGCGTGCTTCTCCTCATCTCCCAGATTTATCAGTATGTACCAGCCACAAAAAATAAGACTGACTGAGCAAACTGCAAAGACATGATCAAAAGGATATGAAGAGGCGGTGAATGAAAGCCGGAAATAAAGCATTTCAACATCACACACTCCCTAACATAATACATTGCGTCATACACCCATAGGCCACTCTACACAGGAAATACAAAAAAAAAGGTTTCGACATCCGTGTGAAGTCAAAGTTTTGAGTTGTACGGCAGAACACAAAAAAACGAAGAGAGGTTTCGGAGAGCGTTACACGTGTAGCTCGACTAGCCGTGCCTTTGGCAGAGCTTTCCGTGAAGAAAAGAGACGGTAGGAGGAGCTGGCTCGCGCTGCGCAAACAACAGGATTAACTTCATAATCCGCCGCCACAGGCAACAGGCATCCAGCTCCTAGTCTGGATCATCCAATGCACTGTCACGAGTCTAGTGTCTAAATCCTATTTCACTCAATCGACGCATTTGCCTGTGCAACTGAATTAGGTGCCCACGCGTACATGCCTCACATTTGTGCAGCGTTCTCATTTTTTTCTCTCTCTCTTTTTTTTTTTCTCTCCCTTTCAAATCGCTTTTTGTGTGAAAATCCAATTTTTCCGCGTTGATAATCCTTTAATTTATAATCTGATGCCGGAGATTTCTACACCCAACACTATGGGGACAAACCGTAAAGCAAAAACTATTATCAATATGATATTAAAAAAGACTGCATGACTTAACATAAATACGGATGCGAGGGTTAACTCAACCGGTTTAAACTCTTAAAGCTTAAAACCCATTCCGAAAAAAATGTTTACTGTCTGAGGGATGACGACTTTATTTGTTTTGCACAAGGACAGTGAAAAATAAGTTTAGTGACCTAAAGTAAAGTGCACACACACTGGATTACATGTAAGTGCATGTTTGTAGCAGTCAATAAAGGTGCGAAAATTACTGATATGATTGAGGGTTTTTAGAATGGTTGTCAATAAAGCGTCGTAATTGGTTGCAAAATGCAAATATTGGCAAATGGTCAGCACTGAACATAATTATACGCAGCATTTTGGCGAACATTCGGTTTGAGAATTGATTTTGTGCACCCTTGTACTGATTTTTCTAAACGCTTGATATTGACGTGAGCAATGTAGATTCATGTGGCATGTGCAATCAGTGAAACGCACCTGTCTTTACTTGATTGGTAGACTTGAAGCGGCATCTTCTCTGATGAGTGATCATTTTTCAGGTTAATCGATTGTTATGTTCATGTTGCTGGCCTAACAAGTTCGATCGGATCTCGGAAGCTGCGGGACAACGAATGCGTGTTCATGCATCACGTGATTGTGTCATGTAATTTCTGGAAGGAGTAGTGTTTGGAGTAAAAAAAAAAATCAGTTTTTGACCCCAGTGACCCCATGATGAACTTTGACCCCAGTTTGGAGATGTGACTGGGCTACTGATACTTTTGATAAATATGGTTGGAATTGGTCAAAATATGTAGGAGCAATAGACAATGTCAACGTTTGTTACTAACTAACGGACTAACGGAGAGACATGATGATTTGTTGAGCTGCAATCCCGCAGCTAAAAATATGGGCATGATCACTGGCGTGCATGCGAAGGTGCATGTGGGTTTATGGCTTCTGCCTAGCACTCAATAGACAAAGAAAATTGAGTTGGTCAAATGCCGGTACGGTGTTCCAGAGGCTGCAGGTTGAAAACTCGCTCTCATAACTAACTTTGTTGAACTTTTATTAATTAAACGGGTATCTACTGGTAGTACCAGTGTAAACACTCATGTTAATTTACTTAAAAAATTTACAAGAAGTTTGGTACACATGCAAAAAAGGTAAATCCCATTTTCTGGATATTGTCCAGAAACTGTGACAATTCACATGCACTGCTGATGGCTATCAAGTTTACACAAAATCACGCAATTTCAAAGAATACCTTAAATGACTGCCATCTAAAAGAGTTGCTACATACCGGTATACCTACCTTTCACTTCACTAGCCCTCCCTGCACTGTGGCGTATAACCCCACGTTGCTCATCAAACGGCACAGTGGGATCAATGCTGAGGCTCTTGTAGCCAATACTGCGCAGCACCAGACTACAAGGTATATCTTCGGTTTCTCCTGTCGGCACGGCTTCCTCTTTACCATTCACCACCTGTTCGGAATAAAAAATGTATAAAAATAAACCTTTTCAACTCAGCGCACTGCAGTGGTGTGAGTGGTAAAAATACCGAGTGGTAAAACACCAAGTGCCTTTATGCAGTACTCATAAATACCTAAGACAGTTTAGCCATTCCTACTGGACAAGAGCCTGTCACGTGGCCCATTTTAAACAGATGATAAAGACCGGCTGGCTAGTCTTTTACACTTTTCCAGTGTCTCATGAAATTTGGGCTCCTAGGAAATCTGGTGCCTTTTATTGTTTTATTGGTTGAACGTTCGCCACCCTCACATACAGTACACACGTAGGCATGGGCAACAGTGACTCAGCTTTTCATAGTCCTAAATTCACAACACACTGGCACAGCTGCATTCTGTGGCACATCGCGCAGTACACGCGATGTGCGCACTAATCTTTAATATAAGGAGTTGCTTCTACTCCCGAGACCGGACATATACGTGTACCATTATATAGCCAGAGGGGTGTCCCCGAAAAACATAAAGTAAACTCGTTGAACAAAATCGTTAGAAATTTATAAATTTGGACTTATTTGATTTTTGGACCGAAAAGTTGAATTTTTTTAACCAACAAGGTCAGCCTCCAGACTCCAACTTACACACAGTGTTAAACACCGGCCAAGCACACATTTATTCCCTTATTGTATTCATGTGCATCAAAAGTCCTCATAAGACCATCACAAGTCATCCAGGTCTCAAGTCAAGTCACAAGCTATTCAAATAATCTGTAACAAAGGCATTCCTTGGTATTTATTCATCCCCCTTTAATTGAGACTGGACTTGTGTTTTGATTGGTCTTGCGATGGGCTCAACTACAATATAACACTGCATTCTTTAGTGTGACTATCAGCATTGAAATTGATGTGATCATGTCCTTTTCCGAGTTCCGCCAGACAGATAATTTGGTTAAGAAGGAATTGAGTATAGACATCTAGGATGTGCAGTTTGAGTATTAAGGCTGTTAGTTATGAACAGGAATTGAGATTTTGGCAAAAAGCAATACCAAAATCAGGTGTTGCAACAGAACTCAGACTCGAGTCTTGGGTCTGAATCTTTTCATACACTTCTACAACCGTTTGATCTAAGATGCAAAAGCTACCTGACGCCCAAAATTCCTCCTCCGACTTTGAGTGACTGAGATACAGATAATCTACTTGATATCTGATGCTGTGAGCAAGTCATAATATCATTAAACAAATACTGAACTGAAGGAACAATACTCTAAATTACGTTGATTTTGGCTACAGCTAACGGGGAAAGGACTTCCTTTTCATTAAATTTAGGCTTGTCTCCACAAACAGCCCTCAGGGGAATTTGACAGATGGATTTTGGTAAACTTATATGGGGAATAACACCGTGTACATTTTAGTGGATTACATTTTGTGTTTTTTAGTTCTTGATGTGGAATTTCTGACAGCGCCTCGGGCGATGACTCGTTTTCCCTTCCGTGGGACATTCTTTGGTTTCAGGAGATCCCGAAATGGCAACATTCTACTATTTCTATGCACCTCTTGTGTTACTTTGCGTTAAGCCGTGACTTCTTAACTCTTCATACTAACTATCCTTACTGTATTTCTTTCCGGGGGTAAGCGAGCCAGTTTTCAAAACAGCTCAATGTTTAGTTTCAATTCAAATTGATGTAAAAATAACTCATGTGTAGCGATAATGTAGCACCTTCAAAAAGTTATCAAATCATTCCTTATGCTTTCAAACAAAACACAACCATGGTCCAAAAGTTGGCAAGCTGGGAATGTTGAAGTCAAAGCCCTCAAAGTTCAAGCCCAGGTCATCCAGTTTGAAGTCACTTTGACAACTTCCTCTAACATTGTTGAACTCCTATTTCTTATGGTATTTGAGCTGTAAATTGGACTTGGATGGATTGGACTACAACTCGGGGCACTGCATGCAACTTGGGAGTAACTAAACAAGAGGAAACTCCGATCTTTACAAGACTTCGTCCAGTGTTTTCCAATTTTTAATGGCTAAAGTGTGAAGTGAAAAACAAGGAAATCAGGTGATCCAAGGAAAGGTTACATGCTTGATCTAAGAAGAGAAAACAAAAATCAAAAACATTGGAAATTGGTGGAAATTCTTTGATTGACCCTCCCTCTCTGGCTGGCAATTTCAGGATTGACTGGCTGTGATCGTTATGAAACCTGATACAGCTATGCTTTGACAGTAGGAGATTGATAAGCCAGCTGTGCCTAGCAGTCACCTGCTTTTGTCTGTTGATGGAAATTGACTGTCACAGTGCCCACAAGGAATATGATCTGACTGTTGGTGACTAGCCTATGTAAAAGGCATGGCAGGAGAACAGGATTGACATTTTGACTGTCTGTGACTGATCAAACAAAAGGAGGGCTTGAAGCAGTCTTCAATCTTCAGTTGCTGTTAGGCCACAAAAAAAAATAAGTCGGTCTCTGGTCAGCGCGCGCGTCGATTTAATCATGCGCGTCAATCTTTTTTTTTTTCCAAAATGTTCCGCGGTAGCTCCAACAGCGCCCTCTATTGCCGCACCTCCTCAATTTTTTTTCCACCAAAGAGCACCAAGGAATGGGAAATTGCACCAAGGCAAATGATCGAGAGCACCAAGGCAAATTATGGAAGACACCAATGTACATGAGGACACCAAATAGCAAAATAGTACCCCACTTTGTCTGTACAATCCAAGCTTGGAGAAAAAAAAAAAGCAAAAAAAAAAAAAGCCGCGTCCCCGCGTCAATTCCGGAACTTTGGTCTGACCAGAGACCGAATATTTTTTTTTTTTGGCCTTAGATATGATATTTTTAGATTCGTCAACGAGTCATTTATAGATCTGACTTCTCCACGACAAAAACCTAGGACACTGCTGATAATATTTTTCGAGCTTACATGTAAGCAGTGTGCATACATGCACATGCAGGAATGGAGGCATACTGTAGGCATGGGTTAGGGTTAAATTCCTTTTTCCTCTATCTTGCAGTTGCAGAAAATTAACCAGGGAATGCAACAAAATCAGTAGCAAGAAATAAGTGCACCGGGGCGGGGGGGGGGGGGGGGGGGGGATAATACATGTCATGCACCTTTACAACAGATTCCAGAAATTACCTTGCCCTTCATTTGTGCATTCATCATCGTCTTTGCCAATTTCACGATATTGTGGTAATTCCAACCATCCCCTCAACCTAAAAAAAAAACGCGCAAGATGACTCTCAACGAGCAAACACAATTTTATCCCACGGTCGCGATCGCCTGGGATTCAGGATCCGGCTTTTGTGGACAAAGGGGAAGGTTGCAAAGTAATGAAAACAATTGTCGATGTTGCTACAGCCACCAATTTCAGGTACATCTTTTATGTAGGGTAATAAAGATGAGGACACATGAGCTTCATTATAAAAATAATCCAAACAGAATTTCCCTTGAAAGTCAGGAAACCTTGTAACCGTACAATCGACATTCATTTTAACAATATTTTTTTTAATAATGATTGTACTCACAGATAGCATAAACAACTTGAAATTACAACTTGACATTTCAATTTTTCAATTCATTTTTCAATTTTTTTGTGAGTGTACATGTGTGTTGTTATCACTACATCTCAATGTATTCGTTGTAGAAGTAATTTTTATTATACAGTCTTCAAGTGATTCCTGTTCGCAAAAAGGTATTCCTGATTGAAAAAAAAAATGAAATTGACAAAGTGCCATCAAGAAAAATCACATATGTGTACAAAGCCTGTTGGATTTGAGATAGAAGAACAAATGGGGGGGGGGGGGGGGGGGGGGGGTGAGGAGGGGACGTAAGAAGATGAAAAAGAAAGAAAGTTGTCCTGCAAAGTCTGAGTAAAAAGAAAATATATCAAATGCAACTCGACCTAATCGTAATGCCTGAGTCAGCATTTGTACATACATGTACATGTATGTAACATACTTTTTTCTCTTGACATTAAATAGCAGACCCCTTATTCAAAGTGGAAGAGTCCAGAAACATTTGTCCAATGACAGCTGCTACTGTAACACACACTGCGAACACAAATCAATCTTAATAGGTTTTCAGACTTTGCATGGTACATGTACGTGTAAGTACCACTATAGGAAAAGTTTGCATACACAATCAGAGAAGTCACTATCTCTTAGAAAAGGGAGATGGTTCTCCGAAGAACCAAAGGTGGAACCAGAAAATCAACTCTGCTTTAATCCTGTAACAAAATTGCCAATGAAACCAATAGGTAGAAGCTCCATTTCATCCAGACATATCTGTAGACAGTACGCTTGAATAATTGAGTAAACAGTAAACATTCATTGCACATGTAATGAACTGGAATGGCTCATCCTTTCTGAAAGCAATAAAAGGTTTCAGGCACCTGTTCTTCATCGTCGGTGAGCACATGAATGTGGGTTAACACTAATAAAGCCCTTTAAACAGTAACCCAAAACCCATCAAAAAAGGCCTGTCACATCTCATGGGGTAAGCTCAGGAGACCTGAGTCACAAATGAACAGACTTTATGCGTAAACATGTGTGTAATTTGGTAAAGAAGCCAAACAGGGGTGACCCAAAATCCAAATCTTGTGATTTTCTTGGCAACTCTATCTCATTTCCGCCTGGTAACACTGGATTTAAGGATACTTCTGAACCGCTGCTACGTGATTTTTTTCAGTGAAACGGATGATGCGGCGTATTGATTGCGATGGCTTGTGTTACGTACTCCGATGTGCAATAAGTTTTATGTTGCCAGTGGAGTTCACGACCTGCTAAGAGAGGGGAAAAGGATCAGCTTCACCTCTCTTAATGGCTTGAGGCGCATTAAAGATGTACTTTTTTGTAACTGTACAGTCAATATTAGTCCTATACGTCAAATATCCTTCAGGTGCTAAAAAGACAAGAAAAAAAGTTATCCAATTCACTACTTTTATAGATTGTGCTTTCATATAAATGGGTAAAAAAAAAACATCACTTTTGGAGCTATCGGCCTGGATGATTTTTAATTCTAATGCACTCCTTCATGCAGACATCCTCTTGAATTTGTTTTAAAAAAATCCAAACGCCTCAAGAGCTTAATTCAGATACTTCAAAACTTTTGATCTCTCTCGCTGATAGCTTCTTTGGACCCATCCAAATAGAAATTTCTTATCCCGGATTTATCTGAAGTGCAAGACAACTTGATGGACACTTTCCTTAATCCTTCTGTTTAATCTAAAGCAGTATTAAACAGAATTGCATTGAAAGTGATATCGTTCCCATTCTTCTTCAATCGCTCTTTCTTCTGTACGAGTCTTGTCGATCGGCATATTATGCATATATGGGATCCACCCTTGATAATAAATTCCTCTGAAATGTTGACAGAAATTCTACATAAACCTGTTAATCTTTTGAGCTTGCAACTGCAGCTGGAAGTAAACATTAATCCTGATCCTTTGCAATACGATCTCTAAAAATATGTATTTATGAACTTTCACAATTTTTATCTTTAAATATTTGTTACAATGTCTTTCTTTATAATGCTCCTGACAGCTAAGTTCTGAGTGTTGTTGTTGAGTATGGATGTGTAGCCTTAGGGGAATACAAAGCTGCAGCATACTTCTCTTACTAAAGAGCAACCTGAAACTACTTGTAACATGAGTCTTAATACAGGTGGAATTAATTTTAACTTTTTTTTGTTTTTTCTCAGGATGAGTCTATAGGCTTTTAACCGTCTTGAACTTCTGGGATATACACATCGATTATACAAAGAGTCAATAATATTTTGCGAAATGATATTTTTTTCCCTCCAGATTCGAACAAGTGGGTGGACCCTGCAAGCTCAAAGGTAGCCTTGGTCAATGCTCTCGTCGTTATTCGTCCTGTACGCGGTCAATCGTCGGCATATATCCTCACGCGCTATGCACATGCATGTAACATTACAGCGCGAACAGCGACCTCACGCGGCCACTATTTTATATGCAAATCAGTTGGGGACGATCGAGAGCCTTGGTTCAATCGTCCATGTGAGGTTTTGGGGTGGTGCTCATTATGTTAATAGCCTTAGCTGACCTTAAATGTCGTCTTCTTATTGGTCGCTCGTTGCGTGGAAACTTGCATAGTGAAACGTGGCACCGTACATAATCCATACACATATACACGTTGTGTGTCTCTGCACCAATGCACAAAAACTGTGGTTCCTGTCACGTCCGCAAAAGGCGAATAGCTGCAAGTAATTTGATGACGTCCGGATTTACCAAGGTGTGATTGGACACTCCACATATTAGCCCTGCCTACACTTATCTGTATTCGCATACGAGGTCGTGCGCTAGAAATCCAGCGCAAAATAAAGAAAAACATAAGCTTTTGCCGACGATTGAACCAAGGCTCGAGATCGTCCTCAACTGATTTGCATAAAAAAATAGTGGCCGCATGAGGTCGCTGTTCGCGCTGTATTCTTACATGCATGTGCATAGCGCGTGAGGATATATGCCGACGATTGACCGCGTACAGGACGAATAACGACGAGAGCATTGACCAAGGCTAGCTCAAAGGCCAAATTAGTTGAATTTTACATACATGTACATTGCAGGAGGTGAGTGAGTTCACGTCCCACCCAAGCATGCTTATGAGATTTTTTTTTTGCAGTTTGTAAGATACATGTAGGACTGAGAAGTGCTTATATATTTGCTGATAAAGCAGTCCTTCTGATTTGAGGCATGCGATCGCACTCCCACGCCATCGCACGCCTAAAAGCTTCCCGCAGAATCACACACCTAGAAAATCACACACCTAGAAAAACCACACGCCTAGAAAAATCCAGGTGTGTCTTTTTGCACATGCCTGTGATTTTCAAATCAGAAGGACTGATAAAGTGACGGGTAAAGCCGCATATTGAGAAGGAGTCACAAGATTCAACCAATGTTGGTCATTCTATAAATTGAGGGTCCAAAGTGTGAAATTGTTCTTGGAACTTTGGAATCTACCACTCAAGTATCATTAAGAATGACTTCAATGTTTAGTTTGGTGGGTAGGTAGTTTGCTACTCATTATCACTCTTGGAGGACGAATGCATTAGGGAGTGTGTCCAGACTTATAAAAATCATAGATGTCATACATGTATGTAACATGTACAGGAAAAAACAGTCCACTAAAATTTATAGAATGACCAATGTACACCAGCCAAAATTTATGTTGGCTGCTATAAAATGAAAAACGGCAATTTGTTAAACCTAAGGGATGCACAGCACCCAAGCTGAAGCAAAGAGTGTACATATGTGTAAAGAATAGTTGTAGTGACTTACTCTGCAAGAAATGAAATAAATCATCATACTTGTATTGTATCATTTGATTACTACGAAATTGTCTGCTTGACACAAAATCCTCTAAAATGCGCCCCACGCATGACACTTCTCATTCAGCTCATGGTTCATGCCGTGACAGAGAAGCAAGCAGTGAGTTATTAAAATAAAAAAGATATCTGGAAAACAATTTGTGCTTTATTCTTCGCCGCTTTTTGCCCCACACTTGTGCAAAAACATCCTCCCGTGGGCAAACATTTTTATTGTCCCGCAGTGAGTGTACATGACGCAAAGGTGAAAGTAAATTAAGCTGCCGTCACTTTGGAAATCAAATTCGATTTACTCGCAATCACTTGGTACAGAAATGTGGTGATAATAAAAAGAATGGTTTATAATTCAGACAACTCAGAGTGATATGGTAGACATCAGTTCAAGCAAATGTCAAGAAGAAAAAAGTTAAGGTGTAGTGATACGACCCACAGGGGAAAAACGGGTGAACAGACAACATAAAGAAAAAGAGAAACTCGCAATCTGAAATGTTAAAGTTTAGGAAGTGTAATCAGAGTACATGTACACAGGTTTGTTGTTATTGCTGTTGTTTTGCTTTCAAAGAAGGGGATACAGTTGACAAACTGATTTTTTTTATTACATCAATGTTTTACTCTGTGTGGTAAAAATAAAAGACTTTTGAAAGCTTGAGCGCACAATATTATCAATTTTACTTGTATCAAGGAAAGAACCAAAACCTATCTATAGATAAAATCGCTAAACACGTCCTGTGCTAAGCCTTGAAAAGCGATTCAAAATGCCATAGCAGGGATTTGCAGTGCAAATATTCTTGTGCATTTACACATTCGTCTTCAGCTCATCAAGTATAGTACAGGGTTGTCCACTTTCGAATAATTTAGTATTCAATAACTGGAAACTGCATTTCACCAACGATTTAGATATTCGAAATATTCGGTCAAAAGTTGTACGCAGAGCCGGCCAGTTTAAACTTGTGTGGGGCGATCGATATGGGCCGCTGGAGTGTTTTGTAGTAAGTATTTTATAAATGTCAATGGCTTTAACCTGCTAAAAGTATGTGAACAATGAACCACCATCAACAAAAATGTTACCGTCTACAAAAAAAGTGGCACCTGACAATAAAGCGCTGAATCAACAATGCATGCGTGCATAGTTTTGTTTTGATAATTCAAACCGGCAAAATTTTTTTTTTTTTTTAAAGGTTAAAGTTATATCCAATTCCCCTCCCGAACCCCGCTACAAAAGTAAAAACTACCAAATCCCTGAAGCATAGTGCACAATGAATACCATTTGGCAATATCAACACATGACTGTTGACTTTTTTCCCCAAGATGAACTGCAGTAACAACGAAATTGGCTTCTCAACAACATTTCTCTCGCTACAATTGCCGTGAAACAAGTGACACCTGTAATTTACCTCTAATTTGTTGACGGCCAGCCGGATACCACCGACTTTACTTGGGTCCTTCTCGCAAGGTAGGATCTGGACGGGACTACGCAGGAATGTCAGAGTCCAGGCCTTCCCGACGAGGTCTTGACTCATGGACGGGGATTCCTGCGACGTGCTAATCATCAGCTCCGTGAGGCGTTTCCTCGCACGCGGGAGCTCTGCGGGTTAACGAAAAATCACGCCACAGAAAACCGTCACTATGTACGTAATTACCGGGAATTCTCTTTACATGTGTACACAAGTATGTTCTGTTTGGGCATTGCAACGTATCACGGAAGCCTCAGCACAGGTGGACTGATTAAGTGCACGCAGGTTTACTGCACTTCTTTGACACATTAAACTCCCATTGCTTAGTTTTACCATGAATGTTCAATTAAGGTATAACACATTTGATTGAAGTGCATCGCACGGTGAGTTGATTACTTTGATCAGTCAAACCTCTACTTTGGAACTGAACATGGCGGGTTAGTAACAACTGCTCAGTCAATCAATTATCCTGGATAGAGCGTCAGGCTGACATGCCTGTGTGTATATATTGTACATATGTACATGTACATCTATCCACGTTTCTTGCTCCATTACTATGGGAACTACACAAGTTGTCCCATGGTTCTATGGGGACCAAAGACGCTGTGGGGACAGCAGAAAGTCCCCATCACTCGGTCCTAATTTGCCTAACAATAAAAAAATTCCCTTAAACACGGTGAAGGCCCACCCAAGGTACCGGTACCAAATAGAACATGTAGAATGTGGAATTAAAAAAAAAAAATTGGAAAATCATGGGGATACTAACTTTTTCCCCCATTATTTTTTCATTTGAAACCAATCCAAAAGCTCAAAATTTTTAACAGGGTGCTGAACAACTAAACATGATGAAGTTTCAACTCACATTCTGCGAAACTTAAAACACTGTGCCTGCGAGCACATTTTCTACAACCAGCTTCGATTATTGTTTTCTTCCGAGTGATGCCATTTCAGGCGAAAAAATTTCACAGGGTATTCTTTTTTTACCAGCCCTTTCTTCATTTTGAGCAAGGATTTTATCGTTGAATCAGTAGGCACAAGTGTGCGTTTAGAGGTTATGTCAAATGTCCGTACTTGTACGTGCCTTTAAACTTAAGAAATACTCGTAAATAGGTAAACATATACATGTATATACATTCATCTTCAGATTCAAACCAAATTCTGAAGATAGCACCACAAGTACTGCTCGAAGGACCTTGTCAGAAGATGACAATTTTAGCCGGATAACGTGATACTGAACAAATACAGCACTCATCGGCTAAGCGGTATCAACGGCGTGAAAGAAATCTGCTCCAACTCGCTCTGAGAGAAGTAACTGGATAGTTGGAGCTTTGATTAATATTGACAGCCACACTTAGAAATCAGCTATTAATCAGCCGTTCAAACCGCATTCCCAAGTGTGATTCGGATAGAAACCCGGCTATTCTCTTTCCATGCAAATAAAATTCACGGAATGAAAAAACAGAGAAAAGAAGACAACTCTTAGCTTACTAATGCGATCTGTCTTGTGCTGCAGATGGGTTCTGACAAGGCCGTTGGAGTAAATAATTAGGATGAATGGAAAGCCGGCTATCGAGTGTGTTTGGCCAATTATGAGACCCTTTTGGAGAGGGTAACTGGCTACTGGACATGATCCTGAACCAAGTGGAAATCAATCTTTTCAGGTGTACTGTCACTCACAGCAGCAGCGGAGATAGAGCCATTGATTAGCTGGTTTAAAAAACTTATAATTTTCTGGGTTTTCTTAAATTCCTCTATAGCTACTATACATGTAAAACAAGAGTGTGAAAAGGACAAATGGGAACAAATTCAGAATTTCTAGTTTAGAATGAAACTTGATTCCAATATCACACACATACAAAAATGTACAAGTACATGAGGTGTTCTGGCAAAAGGAGACAGAACTGAGGTCAAAATGAGGGTTTGCGGGTATTTGGAAAGACGATAAAATTCTCCTTGAAATACTGTACATGTACATTACACTTCAATCGGACATTCCGTTGACAAGTTATGGCTGTTTAAAGTTCGCATCGATTGACATTTCAAAAAAGAAAAACACTGAAAGAAAAGGTTTTTAAACTGTCGGGTTCTGTATCCATGAAAATGAAAGATGCGTGATCTTTATATTATTTCCTTAAAATATGTGTAGTAAACATATCAAAGATGACAAAAACTAATCTGAAAAATCAAGAAAAAAATATATAGGCCTACGTGCAACCCCCATTCGTTTTTTAGCATTTTTCTCAACTACGGCCTGTGCCCAGTTCCATCCCATTTTGCAAGAATGCCTCCCATACATACATTCATGTACCAAATCCAATTCTTGAAAACCTTTTACAGTCTTTGGTGCCAAAACACACTTCCAAATTCAGACTCTATACATGTACATTTGACTTAACTGTCAGTCTTGTGATCGAAATCAATTGGAAACTTTATCCGTGAAACACCGTCTCTCACTGCAGCGCTTGTCACTAGTAACGCAGCATTTACGCCTGATTGTGAACTTCAACGGCTTGACGATCAAAAAAAAAAATACGCCTGGAATGGCATTTGTGGCCACATACATAATTGAATAATGCGCCCAATTACCCGGCAGAAAGCTACCCGCTGTTTGCCTTAGTTCATATTCCTGCACATGGGACTTCTCCTGTTTTTCGAGAATTAGTATAAACAGGGACAAACTTGCCACTCTTCCCTGCCTTGCCAGAAAACTGATCCCTGCATTTCTCGCCCCAGAGGGAATTGATTTATCTGGATTCCTCTTGGATTGCCAAGCGTTTTCGAATTATCCCTAAATTCAATCAGTGCTTTTTGAATGAATTTGTCGCCGTATATCTGCATGCTAAAGGAAAGTGACAAGTGCCTGCTTTTCTCAAAATGATAGGTGAGGTGCCGGCACGTGGAACAGTGCTAATTGAATTCCAAGGCTATCCGTAAATCCCTTGATAAACCCAGGGCAAATTTTTTTTTTGAAGTGCACTCAATATTGCAATTTACAAGGTGCGTCTACACGTAGGTGTGCCTGTCATGCTAGTACAAATGCAAGTAGCCGGGATACCAAAACTAATGTATTAAACTGTTTGCATACAACACGGGTAAACTTCACGCAGCCTAAAGCACAGAAGTTATATACCAGGTATGCTCAGTAAAATACAGATTAGCAGCCAAAAGTTATGCTTAAAGCTGATTTTTATAATAAATATGTGCTTGGCTGGTTTTATTTAAACAAATACATGTACTTTAAAACTGGCTAGAGGCCTATATGTAGATAATGGCCAGAGCTGAATCATAAATACCTTTCGGTCAAAAAGTCAAAACAAGTTAAAAATTCACAAATGTCCAACTATGTTGTTCAACAATTTTACTTCATGTTTTGTAAAACACCCCTTTGGCCATGTCTGTGGTACATTTGTATGTGCTTCATACGCGGAGTGGCAAAAATCTCTTAAAGTGGAAGTTAGCACGTGCACTGCATGTACTGTGCAATGTAGCACAGAACACAGCAGTGTTTTACCGGCGCCTTTAAACCACCCACGTGACGGGCTCTCGACCAATATGAATGGGTAAACTGTCTTAGGTATTTATGAACTGCATAAAACAACATGGAGCCCTTAGACTGTCAATATTAAAGAACACCTGAGACTGGGCCCCATTTAATGGCTCTGCTTTAACAGTTAGCATAAAATTTAAGCTTACACTGTACTATAGCAGAAAATTTTGCTAAGAACTTTATCATGGTGAAGATGTGCTAACGGGTGCGCACACATGAAGTTTTTCATTGTTACGTCACTGTTTTAAGCATCTTTTTTTACTCTGAGGTAAGCATGCCTTTTGCTGTGCTTACTGCTTTAGAAAGAGGCTCTGTTGACATGGGTACATGCCAATAAACCTAACCATTTTCAAAAATCATCAAAAGGTTTGGAGCCATCATTACTTGAAGACTTGATACCTCTGCAATGCCAAAAGAATTTGCCATCGGTTTCGAGCACAAAGAGATTAAAAAAAAAAAAAAAATGCTCATTAAAACACAATGCCCAGGTAAGTTAGGATAATCAGAGAGGAACAGATATTGAAGAGTTAATTTCCAAAACGTGACATATCCATGAAGTGACCATTTGCACGGTTATGAAAATAGGAATAAAAACAGTATATAACAGCTGTTTCTAAACTTCATTGTTGTATTCTTAAATTGTGTTTAAAGCTACAGTCCATCATTTGCAGCTATCCAAAAAGTAACTAACGTAATTATTGTTGAAAAACATACTTGGTTGAAAGATAGTAAGGGGACTAAACTCCCTGTGAAATTATTCTTTCTGGCATGCTGTCATTTTGAAGAAATCAGCATCTTAAGACGCACTGTTGGAAGTTTCCGTTAGTAGTTCTTTTTTTTTTTTCGGCGAAGCGCGCACAAGCATTGACACGACACACATGCTCATGCGGTTGCTATAATTCGTCAGATCAGTGTGCCACATCTTGTTACTGCAATCGGCTCAGTGAGAACGTGTCTCGGATGCTGAATTCAGGCCCAATTCAAAACATGATTCAGCAACTTTTGATTTGAAATCGAGATCCTAGATCGTTATTTTTCTCGAAATATACAGCTGAAGCTGAGCTGAAACTTCATCAGTTGTTCAGTACCCTTCTTTAGATTTTGAGAACGTTTCTGGCTTCAAACGAACAAAATGCACCAATTACAAATGATGGACTATACCTTTAACTACAATATAGATGTTGAAATTGACTTTGGGAAACTGGGAGACAGTGGGATTCTAAAAGGGAACAAAATGGCGCACATGTATGACATTTTGGAAATAAACTCCTAAGATACAGTTTGGAAATGCGCAGCGGTCCTTACCTGGGATTCTCTCCTGAAGACCTTCAAAGTCCAAGGGGTCGAGTTCTGATCTGCATCCAGGAAGCTTGGTCATCTCTCTCAGCTCCTTGATGGAGAATGCAACTTGAAGAGGACCTCGCCTGCCGATCAGGTGGACCCTCCTTATTGACGACTTGGTCAGCGCATCCAGGGCCTGTTGGGTTATATCCGTTTTCTGGGTAGACAAAGAGTATTTGCCACAGATTTGTGTTCATCACTAGTCACTCAGGAGTAAAATCACAAGTTAGTTCGAAGGGGAAGAACAGGAGTTATCCGAGTCTTATCTTCAGTTGATTCTGAGCAGACAAGACACATAGCATTTAGGCCGCACTTTACACGGTTTATGCCAAAGAAAAATCTACACGTGATTGATTTACGAGATTTTGATGATTTCACAAAGAGCTTTATCTTGGAATCCAGATGAACAGAAAACTAAGGGACAAAGTGAAAAAGGGGAAAGCTAGGGCCTTTTTTCTTTCTTTTTTCCTGTCGACAGAGAAGAGAAATGCATAAAAAAAAAGAATTTGGAGGGGCGATCAATATTGTGCGTTACTATAAAACTCAGGAATTTTGTCAATCGGCTTCAGAACTAACTCGGTTGGTTGGTTGGTTGATCGAGAAGATTATCATCTGATGCTTCAGTAAGCCACCAAAAAAAAATCCCACTTATCTGGAACAAAGCCATGTGAAGCCTTTTACGGCAGTTCTGCGATGAATACAACTTACAATGTAGTTTGCCCTGTGGCATACGCAAATACAGGCATAGAAAATGAGTCTCTTATATTTCAGAAAGATGGGAAATCCTCTTTAGCCAAACACGCATGGCACTTTCGCCAACCAAAGGCGCTGGTATCGAAGTTCCAGCAATCAATATCCGAAACAGCGAGCTGAAATTTGCTACAAAGCAATCAGAGAATAGTGGTTCCTCGTCAAAAATGCAGTGGTGAATGCCGACCACTTTCCAGTGCTGAAATGGTGTTGGCTCCGACATTGTTCAAAACGTAACCCAGCCTCCTGGGCAAGATAAAAACACCAGTGTTTCCCATTTTGTCGAGGGTTGGTCTGCACTTTCTTAGGAGCCAGAAGAAAGTATATCTCCATCAACTGCGATATGAAGATGTGGCTTGCAAGTGACACACTTATATCACGTCGAAACTTCAACGATTCTGCGCAAGCCTGCACGTTAACCAATGGCCGCAAGCGGCGAGATTGCATTCACTTAAATATAACGACACTGTACTTTTTGGAGGAGCTTGAAATCACTAACGCTAGTACGACAATACGCTGTGTCACGAACAGTGCTGCGTCAACTCTACGCAAGCGTTCACGCAACCAATGAGCATCGGCAAAGACTCAACTGTAAAGGCCGGTTCATATTCCACACAGCAGTGAAAGCAAAACGAACATCAACAACTGAAGAGTTTTTTTGTGACATTCGCCTTTACCCTAACAAATTTGCTTCGTACTGAAATTCACATGAAGTACGAACCAGCCTTTGCTAGGCACTGCAACTCTCAAATTTGATTGTCAGGACCAACCTTCAGTATGCTGGTAGGCGTGATTAGAATCCTTGCCACATCAAGAGCGACATTCCCCTGGCCGATCACAACTGCCGTTTCTCCGCTCAGATCTGGATTCAGCTGGAAAGAAAAAAAAAAATTCCAATTGTAACGTTAAAACAATAGTTTCGTTGTTTGAAAGTTTAACCTCCAAACTGAGGTCTGTGGAAGGGAATTTCTAGCCACATGGTATGAGTGCAAAGTATGGGCTCTTGTAACTGAATATATACAAGTGTGGCAATCAAGCCTGATGCCTGACCAGTGCACAAGGTGATGCCCCCATCTTTCTTTCAAAATTGCAGTGTGGTCCTCTGTGCAGTTAACTTGAAAGAGAGGCTAAACTGGCAATTGTTTGCTATTTGAATGGATGCCTTCAATGCATGTCAAACTTTAACAAGTTACATAATAGTGGTATGAAAGTACAAACCACTGATAACGTCAACAATGGATGAGTAAATGCAAAGCCCTTTAATAACCCAAAACTCGTTTATAATGCAATCTTTGAAAATGCACCTTTGTATCTCATTTAACCTTATTTTCAATTTTTGTTTTGCTATTTTCAAGGCTACTTATTTGTGCCTTTTTTGTTTTTATGCTAATGCAAATTTCCATATTCGTGAGCAAAAGTATGATGTCATTTCAGGCAGAAATCTCAATGTTATAGCTATTTCAGAACAAAATGTTGCCGGAATTTTTGATATTTTCCTGTCCTAAATTTTCTACATATTCTTTGGTGATTTGTTGTTGTGTCAGTACATGGCAGTAAGCCAGTGAGCAAACTTTTCTTAGAGACGTTTTCAGTGAGCGAATTTTGGGTTCACATTTTGAACAGAAAACCTTAAACGGAAAAGTGTCTTCCTGAAACGACACCACAGCAATGGCGCCCTCAGTTGTCCGGAAAAGCATGGACAATTTTAAATGTATAAAGAAATGTACTTCTCAATCAAATTAACCAAAAAGGGATGTCAAATAGTTTTCATACATTTAAGAGGAGTAGAAAGGTGCACGAGATATATTTCTCAGAAAAAAGTACAAAACTCGTATTTGAGTCAATTACAAGTCAAAACGAAAGTCCAATCACAAGCCAGGTCACTTGCAAGCATCAGAGGGCCAGAAGAACAGCAGTTCACTTGATTACCTTGCAATGTGACCCAAAGCTGCATGACCTGTTATTGAATTGATATCAACTCTGATTTGCAAGCTGTATTGTGAATCCCATGAATTACATTGTAAAACAGTATTAACCCTCCTGTTATTTAAAAAGTCACAGACAGTCAAAATGTCCATCCACTTCCCCTGCTATACTTTTAACACAGGCTAGTCACCAGCAGTCAGATCATACCTATGTCAAGCAAGCACTGTGACTAGTCAAACCCAGTCAACGGACCATGAATGGACAAAGCAGGCAAGCTGTGGGCACAGCTGGCTTATTAATCACCCACAGTCAAAGCAAAGCTGTATCAAGTTACATATCAACAGTCACAGCCAGTCAATCCTGCTTTACGTAGGCTGGGAATTCTTTACTGTATAAAACAGTCACTTGATTGATTTTGACTGAAAGGACTATTAGAATTTATGTTTGCATAGGAGGGTGAACAATACTGAAACAATGAAATATATGTAATTTGAGAAAACTATAGTTCTTTTCTTCGGTCAAATGATCTTCATAAAATGTAGTTAAACACTATCAACGCAAGTATGCTAGATCTATTTACAGACCTGGGCACCTGTTTCAGTGTCATGCATGCACCTGACGCAGTTCTAACGACATTGCCACCCGCATTACACCAGACCCCATCCCGTGATAAATCATCAGCTAATGTAACGAGACCGAGACGATAATGTGTGGATTCAGCAATCGCGTTATCGGGAAATGAGTCAATTAGCGGCACTGGGACAAAAGCTCCATGCTCTTTGTCCATCGTTTAGCTTGGCAGTATTTTATTCGGATGCAGCAAATCTAAAAGGAGATCGTACATATGTATGCACATGCACACTGGGCGAAAATGCTCCTTTTTAAAACAAATACACTATCTGTTTTTCCACTGTTGGATTATTCACCTGGTTTATATGAATACTAACTGTGCTAAAATGTTGACTGCTGTGATGTGGGATATGGCGTTTTAAACACCCGACGGGCGCATAGCACCCGAGGCGAATGCACTCCAAGGGGGTTAAAAATGACATCCCACATCACAGCAGTCAACAATTGTTTTCTTATATCGTGCCCATAAGCCTAAAATAAGCTGAAGGCTTGTAACTTAATGTGCAAGAAATAAATTAAATCACTGCAGTTTAACCTTTGATCAGTTGATAGATGCAAACTTTCCTGCTGAGCAGTGGCAGTTCTCAGAAATTGTTTGACTAATGAAGGACATTTCAGTACTGAACCAATGCCATTTTTAGTTGAACTATTGGCTTACGTGAGTATCCTGCGGTAGGCCGTTGTACCATCCCACAAAGGAACGGGCCGAGTGCACTCCCGTGAGTTCTTCCCCTGGTACACTCAGAGCTCTGTCTGCTTCAGCACCGTAACTCTGATGGAGGAAAAAAACAACCAATTGTCAACTCTACCACGTTACATGCTTTGCCTTTTCTCAACTGGTCTCACATACAGGGGTGTGAGTAACCGCTGATAAAAATAGCTAAAAATAGCTGAAAACAGCTTAAAAAGGTGTAAAAAAGCTGAACTTTGGAAATCTCCTATACTTTTGTACACAGCAAGTGAGGGAAAAAAGCTGAAATCCAAAACAAAAAAAGCTGAAATCAGCTATAAAGCTGAGATTTCACACCCCTGCACATAAATACGTGCACGCAAATGTACCTCACAATTCAGGGATTAGGGCCAAATTTACCCTCTGTCTAATCCAATGAAACAGCAGTATTTTTTTTAAAATTGGACCCAATTGTCAAGGGAAATTACTCCAAATATGAAACCAAATTGCAAATTATTCCACAGAGTTTTAACAGTGATCAGAAATGTTATACCAGCTGTTGAAGAATCCTGTTCATAATAAAAGTTATCTGTATTTATTGTAAAAGTTTGAACTTATTATTCCGATGTCTGCATTACAAAATTTGTGAGTTGTTGGTCTTTGGAGAAATCGGACAAACACATTTAAACTTTAAATTAAAAGCAAACACAGGAAAATGCATACATGTACATGTATGGCAGTGGAACGATAGGCCTATTTGCAGGAAACACTTGTAAAAACAAGTACATTTGAATTGCATGGCCCCTGAGTGCATTATACCCTTAATAGGTAAATATTACACCAGGATGACTGAGCTTCAACTGCTGTTATGGACACCTCAGGGGGAAAGCGCTTAATGTAGTGACATATTACCGAAACCTGCTGGGATTGTGCAAAAATATGTTTGCCAATATGAGATTTATACCAAATATTGATATATCACCGGTCCCAGAGGAAGATGCACGGTTGGAAAACATGCTCTTTTGCATTTCCCATTTCAATATTGACTTGAAAGCCATTGCAAGTTCATTTTTTTTTTTACATGCACTAGTATATATGGAGTGTGGGTTCAAGCTGAGGGGAATTGTACATCGTGCATTTGTTTTGCGTCCTCCATTAATACACATCTACACGTTTTCTTGGATGTCAATCTTCAATTTTTGACGGACACAATTCAAAAGTGCTTTTCTTAGAAAATGTCAACTTTTTAGACACTCGATGCCATAAACTGTTAACATCATTTAGCGTACAAAAAATGTTCAATTATTGTCACACACTGACCAAGGTACATGTATACACTGGCCTACAAATTCAGCTACACCATCACAGCAGTCAAAATCAATCAAGTGACTCTTTCGAACATTTAAGAATTCCCGTGTTAATTTGATACAGCCATGCTTTGACTGGAGCTGATTGATACATACCAGCTGTACCTAGCACCCCTTTTGTCTGTTGATAACATTTGACTAGTGACAGTTTTTACATGAATGTGATGTGACTATTTTTTTTTTTACTAGTCTGTACATACAAATGCATGCCAGGGAAATTGGAAGACATTTCTGACTGTCTGTGACTGATCAAACAATAGGGGAGTTATAAATTAAGATGTCAATTACAAAATGCTAGTGATGATGGGAATTGACCTCTTGCACACATGTACATATAGAGTGTCCTCACTGAGGGCAAATCTTTGGTCTTCTGTGATGAGTGGACATGTTATACTTCCATAGGCACTGAATTTAAATAACAAGACTTGCCCATAGAGACGGCACTTTGTGCAGAGTGTCTAAAAACTGTTATAGATGTTTATACATGCAGAGCAAATTTGAATGAAAACTGCCATCACAAACCCAAGGGTGAACACCCCAACCCCCTCCCCCCCTTCCACACTTCAGCTGAGAGGTCAAAAACTCGGCTAATAGGGTTAAGATCCAGTATAGGGAATCCTCTTTTCAGACTGTGACGGCAAGCATGTGATTCGGTCATGTGGCTAAGTCACGCTGATAAGAATAAATAATCCTCCCAACCCTATTACTCCAAGGGTTAATCCAATCAGACCAGTCCCGTCCCAGTGTGTCTTGAGTTACCCCGACTGGGATTTCCGTTAAGTCTCCGCTTCAGAATCCAATTTTCTTCAATGCTGGCGAGCAATCCCATAAACGAAGTCACTGAATTCCCCAAAGTATGAACAGTGTGCGACACACTAACGTTTCTCTTTTGCGACCGTAAGAATTCAAAAAATATTGTGGCATTTTTATTTCTCCAACTGAGTGACTGAAAAGTCCCTTGTTGTGACAATTAGCATTTTGCGCAGTGTTCATGACTCTTGTCTTACAATAGGGCAGTCTGTTACTTTATAAGTTATATATATAGTGTGCCTGTAAGAGGCTATCATGGAGAAGATGTTTTGTACATGTTCAAAATATATCGGTACATCACATTATTGAAACGTCAATTTTGTCATCAACAAAGTCATGAAAGTCAACAAAGAAGGTTTTATGATGCTTCCAAATGGTTCATTCTTTAAATATGGGGTCCACTTTTCTTCATGCCCCTGTTACATCTGACATACTGATTTATAATTGAACTATCGCCATTTGCGAGTTAGCCATGCCCCTTAGACAACCCATATGGAATTTTGCACGTTAAGTTTGTTTGTCTCAGATTTTGCGCGTTAAGCGTCCATTTGTATATCATGTAATTGGACAGTATTTTACAAGCTGCGTTGATGCGATTCTACCGCGATAGGTCAATTTTGATGCACTCCTTATTTAACGCAGTCATCCTTGAAGACTTATTACGAATAGCAAACTGCCTATCCAACAAATACAACAATGTTTGAAGTCATTACTTGAATTGCAAATTACAAAGTACCAAGGTAACATGGACATAGAAATGTCACACTTTGAACCCTAAATTTACAGAATGACCAAAATGCTCATGTTTGTATGCAGTACCAAATGTATACAATAAAGGACAGATGAGCAGCTGCAGTAACAAGGAAGTCCACCTTAATGTTGACGAGTGGTCGCTATGAAGTCGAAAACTTTGTGACACACTGCACCCTTTTGTAAACTTGGGTAAATTCAAGCTAAATGTAAATCAGAAAAGCATTTCTTGTTCAAGCGTACCGAACTTGAAGCTTACCAGAACCACAATGTCGTACGCTTGAAGGAGCTCTGTGACCGAGATGTGTTTGCCAACTTCCACATTGCCTAGGTACTCGCAACGCTCACTCTCCGCTAGCGTTGAAAACTGGTTGATGACATTCTGAAAGAAAATAGTGAAATTGAAAAGAAAGAAAAAAAGAATAGAATCCAATGAGATTCCTAACTTTACCGTTTCGAAACATTGTTTAGGTGTATACATACCTTAATTTAATTTACAGACCCAGCACAAACTTCTATAGGAATTTTGCATCAGGGAGATGTTAATTTGATAATATGGTATCGCCCTTCACTATCGTTTAGCACTGTTAGCACTGTTAAAATACATGTACTGAGACTATCTGAGTGCTTATGACAACAAAATCCACAAGCTTGCTTTGGTGGGATTCGAACCCGCGACCTCCTACTTTCCCAAGTATGGTTGTCCTTTTTGAAAAATTTTGTATTTGATTACTCGAAACTGCGTTTGACCGAATATTCTGCCAGCTGCAACCACGTGCTTCGCTGGTAAAAAGTTGCACGAAGAGTGTGCCAGTTAAAATTATATGGGGCGCTGGAGTGTTTTACAGTAAATATTCTGTAACAGTAAAAGAGATTCAACCTGCTGAAAAGATGTGAACAATGAACCGCGGTTGACAAACAATTTATAGTCGACAAAAAAAGTGGCACCTGACAATAAGGTGCCGCAACTTTCCGATAAAATACCATCTCAGTCGTGTGTGTGTATGTGTGAAACTTTTTTGTTCTTTGAATATATTCAAACTGGCAAAATGCTATTCAAATATTTGGTTGATGTTCGAATATTCAACTATTTGGTATATATATGGCACAGCCCTACTTTCAAGTGCAGATGTCTTAACAAGTTAAACAATGAGCTTGCTGGCTTAGCTGGCTGGTTCAAATCTGACACAGCAGTGTGTACCACAATCACTCACTTAACTTTAAATTGGAGAGACAGAATATTTTAAGATAAAGTAAAATATTACAAATATCCAGACAATATGCAAACCAAAAAGTGTTGGGTAACAGTACAGTGTGTATATTTCACTGCATGCTGAAACTTTTATAAAGGGCAATATGGCTACCATCACATCGGTGTTTACAGCCAGAAAGGCTTACAAATACCATCTGGACCAATAGACACAACTGGGTCAGGCCAGATTAAAATATATCTCCCAGCTAGCGTTCTTCTTGCATTAAAAAAAGAACTATTTGTAACTGTTTATGATGCCGTGTCACCAACAGAGGTTCCTAAAACAGCTGCAAAATTATGGACGCTGCAAAGTGAAGCTCAGTAACTCCTGGCTGGATGCAGAAATTGGATCCAAGTTGAATGCTTGGGAATGAGGAGGACATGCTGGAATGGAGTACGTGATTAGAGGAGGGGGAGCCTTTTAAGTGACTCCCTGCGGATCCTTAGAAATCAGAGATGATGCACCTGCATGGTTAAGGACATGCACTGAATGTACGGTTTGAAAGTGGATCACTCTGGCAGTAGTAAACAGGGAAAGGGAGAAAAAAAAATTGGCTGCACTCTGAGAATTCTAGATAATGTGCCCATGCTTCACGTGCTTGTCATACCAGACAGTAGCTTGCTTCTGTCAATCCGTCAAGTAGAATATGTTGTCTTTGCTAAGTAACTTTTAGTTCACAGAATGTGGTATTTATACAGATTGGAATCTTAGATGGTTGCGAACACATTTTTCTTGTGATATATTGCAGATATAAATAATGTACAAATATCCATTTACCGTGGGAATGTATTGATGCACATTTGTACAAGTATATGTACACGTAATCATAATGGGCAAGATGTCAGCAAGAAGACTCAACAGGGAACCAGGGGTACAATGTATGTCCCCCAAAAAGTGAACAAATTAACCCCAAAATTGATAGGGGTTGGGGGCATGGATAAGGGTGGGGGGGGGGGGGTGGATTTGTCAAAACTGGGATGAAAACAATGTTAACTTGTACAATTGTATGTGCATGCCAACGTTGCAATAACAGGTGAGGAGTTTATTAGTTTATTGGTAGTGGAATCATTACTTTGTGCCATGTTGAGTTTTACATAGGACACAAACTTTGTCGTTTTTGTACACGTATTAACAAAATGAACAAATCTTTTAACCTAAGCAATTCTACCCAGACACTGAATTCCATTATCCAGTGATGATCAGGTTCTGCACAATACTGCCCTCTTCTGGTTGATTGTCAACCACACAGAGGGCGCCCTATTTATAAGTCCTCACATGCAATCCTAGCCTACAGGCTACAGCAAATGCTAACGTCGAACAATATAAATTGCCACTGGCCAAAATTGAATGTTGAAAATTATGGACAATGGGTTAAAAGTGTGTAGGATGGGGAGGGGAGGGGAAAGAGGGAATCAGCGACAGGGCCGCATGGTGCTAGCTACAGTAGGTGTGGAGGAATTTGGAAGGGGCAGTGAGAATGGAGCAGGATTGCATTGGGTGGTGGAGGCTGGGAGTATGGGGCAACTTGACGGGAGTGAGGGCAAGGGACAGAGGAAAGGGAGTAGGGAAAAGGGGGAAGGGTGGGGACAGAGGTGCAGTAGCAGGAGCTTGGGGTGTTTAAATATATCCCTTAACCCTCCTACTTTTTAAACATTCACAGACATGCAGTCAAAATTTCCATCCACTTCCCCCGGCTATACTTTTAACACAGGCTAGTTCACCAACAGTCAGCGCATAAGTCAAGCAAGCACTGTGACTAGTCAAATTCGGTCAACAGACCATGAACTTACAAAGCTGGCAACTTGTGGGCACGGCTGGCTTATCAATCACCCACAGTCAAAACAAAGCTGTATCATGTTACGTGTACGTAAACAGGCACAGCCAGTCAATCCTGCTGCTTGAAAATCTCAACTCTTGAAAACAGCCACTTGACTGATTTTGACTGAAAGGACAACTTGGCACACTATGTAAGCATGCAAAGGAGGGTTAATCCTCCCAAGATCAGCCAAATAACAAACTACGTACCGGTATATGGTTAACCCTAGTTTTAATCAAGTCTGTTTATACTTTTCTCATTACCTTAACCTCTGGATGATCAGGTGCTACTCCATACCTGACTAAGCCATAAGGTACTGGAAGCTTGTCATAGATGTCTACCTTACAAGCAGCATTCCCCTGCAGAAAAAAAACACACAAAGAGTAAAATGTGCTTCGGAACCCCCAAAAGTTACTTCTTTTTACATTGCAATAACAAAATATGTCCAAAACAAGGAATCTGATTTACTTCATACATGTAGTTGTCACCACTGTGGCTCATTCCGTAAATTTGGGGTCCTAATTAGGAGTTAGCTTTGTTTGGGTCACTATTACAACAGACCTGTGTCATTTGCCATGTACGCATGTAGGCACCATTACAATTGACTTCAAACTATATTTTTTATTTGTTTAACAGGTACTTTGCTTTACATAATCATTGTTGGAGATAGAAGACATTAAAGAATGTGTCCAGAATTTACAAAATCTTACATCAGATATAACAGGGACACACACACAGACCCCAAATTTATCGGAAGGACCAAATGTGACCCGCTCTGCAAAAATGAGTCTGATGTCGCATAGCTTGAATTCCAGCTTTTACCACTTTTAAATGGAAACAGTGAAAATTTGCTCAAAATTTGGATTTTTTGTTTTTGTTTTATTTTGGTTGTTTGATAGTTTTAGTTCAGATATCTTACACAGAAATTTAAATATTGTAAGAAAAAGACTAACAAATTTATGATTTTTGGTGCTTTTCTTGGTTATTTACAATGTATTTGTAATTTTTAAACCCTTTTTTTCTTCATTGAGACATTTCTTGCTTTGCAAAAACTTGACAGAATTAAAAAAGGCACAACAGTGCAACCAAACGTCCTAGACAGGTCCGTGATACACCAAATGAAAGCTTACTTCATTCCCATTTTATTTATGTAGTTAACTCAAAATTGCAGTTTTGCTACAACAGACTCATTTTTGTGGAGCGGGTCACAAATGTTCCAGTTGTGATGCTCTGTTTGAATGTTTGCAAGCATAACAAAATGTGAAAAAAGGGCAAAAAACCAACTGGATTTATCTATCATAAAATAAATATCACTAAAGTAGTGTTGAATTTTAACTAGACCCTGCCCACCACTCCAGTGAGTTTTACAAGCCCTGAAATTTGGTGTCGTTTGGCTGGCGGTTCAGGCTCCCGGAAGCGACAGATTTTTAAAAGTTTTATGTGCTTCACCTTCAGTAGTCCCGTGGCAGTGTAAAACCCGGCGGGGCCACTACCGACGATGCATATCCTGGGACCCTGCTGCCCATTGCTGCTAAATCTCCTCTCAATCTGAAGCCTGGTGAAGTGGCAGCGAGTAACGTTACATCTGCAATGGCTCACCAACTTTTCACACAGGGCCACTACAAGAGTGAAAAGGAAAAAACAAATATTTGGAATTACATGTACTTGTATGTAATTTTTTGGTGATATTAATTTCAGTTACTTAATGCCTTGGAGAGTTGATAACTTCTGTTTGGTCAAGACTCGTCTGTGGGCTGTATTCACGGTGATATAAAGACCGGCTTCAAGAACAAGCAAAAAATGACCCTGAACCAGCACTGAAGCCCGGTTCATACTTCATGCGAAAGCAAGTGCGAAGCAAAATCCATGTCGTCAACAATGGTGGACGCGCTTTGAAAGTATTGTTGACGTCACAAATTTTGCTTCGCTTTCGCGTGAAGTATGAACCGGGCTTAATCCAGCATCATGAAAGCCAATGACTGGCAAGATATACAATTTAGACACAGACGTGTGCCAACGACCTGGAAATTACACAAAAAGTAGACATCTGAATGTACATGTTCTCCTTCTTTTCCATTATTGCTAGTAACAGTCTGAGTGTGCTTCCAAAGCATAAATAAAGTACAAGCAACGTCGGAATGTGAAAACGGAAAAAATTTCAAAATTGATCCTTCTTAGTTCGGTAGATGTCAAGATGTGGCCTTTATTTACGAATATATACATGTACTCAGGTAAATTGACCACATTTATGGGGCCACCTTGACTCTAATTTGATCAAAGTTAAATAGGGGCCTGTAACCAATGTTACACGATCGCCAATAAGTTCAGGAGTTGAGACTTGTTGGTAGGGTACATGTAGGCCTACTCGGTTGCTAATTGTCAGCGTTTTTACAAACAAACAAATTTGGCGATGGGGTGTTGAACAGTGGTTCTGAGAAGTTGGTTTTAAGTTGGTCACTTTTGGAAACAAAGATTTCGCCTATTTTTAGAGCACATTTATGTTAATCTTAAACTTCAAGAATGTACCAATTACAGAATAACAAAACAGTTAATTGCGGATTAGCCTAATTAATCTGCCATGTGCACAAGAGTGGAACGCAGGATGATCTAGCCGATTTAGCCGATTTTTTTCGATTGTTTACGTCACGTGTGAGTGTGTCATGCGCAAAATTTACCGCTCATCATGGACGACAGCAGTGGTGTACTGCACGAATTTAATGGACAAGCCAACGAAATCATCAATTATTTTCATATTTTAGATTTTTGGTCTGTGTCAAGTCGATGATCTTTGTGAATGACTGCTGAATGGTATGACTATGAGGTATGTAGTAGGAATCTGGGGTGGGATAAAAGAGGTAAAAATGGACAATTTTTGAGAGGCCATTGGCATTATTTTAGCCTTAGGGTCTCTTGCTACTACCACACTTTCACACCTAGGTTATGTCTCCAGCGCTACATGTGAATGAATATGAGCATGTCAGCTGGAGTTACTCAAGCTAATAAAGTTGGAATTTGTCTCTTCGTGAAAACTTAAATTAAAATAGGCCTACGATTCAGGTGAAATTTTCCCGACACTGATTGTCATGATTTCAACTGATTTTGACCAAAAAAACTTTGCCAAAAGGTTTGTTGAAAAAAATCGAAAAATTATGGATTTTGCCGAATTCGTCCCTTCAAAGTTCAAAGTTGGCGAGACTCCGGTGTCGTGCCAAAAACCGTCCGGTGCCAAATAGTGTCCGCTAATTAGCATAACGCGCTCTGATTGGCCATGCGCCCATGACGTCACATTGTTTACGGAAGCTTGCCAAATAGTGTCCGCGCTTAGCGTGCATCCTATTGCGTGCCTTGCTGTCGAGCTGACAAGACGTCGTATAGATAAGATTTCTTTTCATCTGAATCTGCTTTTTACAATCTGTTTTAACGTTTTCCTTTTTATCTGTGATTAGTTAGGATTCGTAGTATTATTTGACTAACTTTCCCTAATAGTTTAAGCGTATATTAGTGCAAAATCTGTGTGTTTTTCGTGACAGTTCACCCGTTTGAAAACACGTGTAGTACGTACATGTACGTCGTGTGTAGTGTGTGTAGCGTCTGACTGTGCTGTGTAGCATTATAACCAACGTTATATTTTGATTTTACTGTTTTTCTGCACCTTTTCTGCCATATATTCAGCACCTTTCTGGCATATTTTAAGCACCTTTTACCATCTAAACATTCAGCACTTCTCACATCGTTCTAATTGTTATTTCTTATCTTTCTAATTGTTGGAAATTATCACCGATTATCCTCCTTTTTTTAACCTGCACATATTATTTTATAGAGTGTTCATTTTAATCTTGTTTGATATTTTATTATTAGTTAAAGTATTCTTATCAGTTTCCATTCGCACCGACTAATTCACACTTTTTGTTGGTTTGAACAGTTACACGTTATCATATTTCTTTTTCACATTAACTCAGTGTTAATCTTACTTGAAAGATCATGGCTGAAAGTGTTGATCAACGTGGTAAATCTAACCGCTCTCTGGAGAATGTTTTTCTGTTTCTTTCAGGGGGAGGCTACCCCGTTGGAATGAGTGACAACCAGCAGCGAAGTATTCGAAGATTTGCGAGCAGCTTTAGAGTAGAAGGTATATCAAAGACTAAACATGTTCATCTGAATGTGGCATTGAAATATTATTTATTTATAAATTCCTCCACGCTTACGTCTTTTTGTACTTTGTTAAAAATCAAATTAATTAAACACTGACCTGCAGGCAACGAGCTCTACTACTGCGGGAAGGGAGCAGAGAGACGGCTGGTCATCTTTGACGAGGGAAGACGTACCGAGATCTTCCGCGAGTGCCACGACTCAGCCTTTGGGGGTCATTTTGGCCAGAAAAAGACCCTACTGAAGATTGAGTCACGTTTTTACTGGCGCACAATTGTGAAAGATGTCAACGAGTGGGTAAGTAGTATGGAGTAAAATGATGTCTATATAGAACCATTTTTTTGCGAAATTTTTTGAGTAATTGCAGAAAACCCCGCTGAAATTGACCCACTTAGAAACAGTGGTTACGAGGTGAAAAATATTGAAAAAAATCCAAAAGTCCAAACCCACCACCCTGTTGGCAGCTACGTGGCTATGAAGTGGAATAAAGGCATGGTCAAAAGAGGGCACTATTTTTGAGAGTGAGGCATTTGATCCATATGGGTTAAGGCTTGAACGTACACAAAGTGAACGGGGAATGTAAAAACAAATTGCAAGTCCAAACCCAACACCCTATTGATTTGTTTCTTAATTATACATTTTTCCAATGTTGTAGATTCACCAGTGCACGAAATGCCAGGGGATGGAGAAGATCAAAACCGCTGCCCCCGAGCTTCAACCCATCCCTGTGGTTGGTCCCTGGGTCATGGTGGGCATCGACCTGATTGGCCCATTCAAGCAGTCAAAGGCTGGCAATCGGTATGTCCTGACTGTCACGGACTACTACACCAAGTGGCCTGAGGCGATGCCAATCCCGCGAAAGGATGCTGTGAGTGTGGCAAAGTGCCTCGCCAGTTTATTTTGCAGGTGGGTGCATTTCCAAGACGTTATGTGTGCAGAAATTGATGTATGGGTTTATACCCGACAGTGCTTGGTTAAAATTGGTAAATATTTCAAAGTTATGTATTAAAGCTCTTTTTTTTCATTACAGGCATGGTGCACCGAAAGACTGTCTTTCAGATCAAGGCAGGGAATTCTGTAACCAGGTAAAATTATGTACATGTTTGACAAATTAAAAAAACAAAAAAAACGTTTGTTAGTCATCCATACTTCAGTTGCATTACTCTACCAGTCTATTTTTATGAATGAAATCTATTTTAATCTGTAGCTAAAATACAAATTTTCTCCAACAGCTTTCGGAGGAATTGTATCAGCGATGGGGTATTCGCCACCGCGTCAGCTCTGCCTACCATCCACAGACCAATGGCCTTGATGAGCGGTGGAATCAGACACTAAAGGCTTCCATTGCCAAGTTGGTGAATGACAAGCAGGATGACTGGGAGGACTACCTAGGTAATTCTATTTTACTTTTAAATGAGACTCATGTACTGTTTCAGCTGCCAGCATGTATGTTAAAAATTTTTTCCTGTCATGTTTGGTGACTTGATAAACCTCATATCTTTGTACAGACCCTGTGCTGTTTGCTTATCGGACTTCGGTGCAGGCAACCACCAAGTTTACACCGTTTTTCCTGATGTACAACAGGGAAGCGAGATTGCCGTGTGAGGTTAGTTACTCTTATGTCTTATTTCTAATTTGTCATATACATGTACAGACATGCTTTTTTTGTTCGAATTATGTTTGGGTTAAATTAAGTTGTTTTTAATTAATTTCTTATTTCAGCTGAACAAAGATGAGCCTCAACCTGTGGAAGCACCTGTCACACCAGACTTTGATGCTCTGCGAGAATTCGCAAACATTGCGACTGAGCAAGCAAAAGTTGTGAAGCACCGTGTAAGTTTTGATCACTGGCTGATGTATTTTCGAAAATTAAACAAAATGTTGTGTAAAACTTGTGAATTCTTGACGAATATTGAGCCTTGCTTTTTCCAATACAGGTCCAGGAAAACATCAAGGCTGCTCAAGAAAAAGACAAGAAGGCCTATGCTAAGCGGAAAGGCAAGAATGTGAAGGTGTTCCAGCTGGAGGCGGGCATGCTCGTCCTGAAGAGGAACTACAAGAAAATTGGACGCAAAGGCAGCAAGTTGGAACCCAATTGGATTGGACCATACAGGTTATACTATTTGTATTTTTGATTTGAAAAAAAAAAGTTGTATTAAAGTGCTGTTGAAAAAATATTTAACTGTTGTAGTAACAGCAGAGTGATATACTAACAAGAAAGAATAGATAATAATTCTTTCTTTCATTATGTAAGTGTATCCAGCCACTCTCATTTTTTTCATTTGTATTTTCTATATTTTTATTTTACAGGATCTCCAATATCAGCGACAACAACGTTGTTACACTCAAGAGTGTGGATGGGCAATTGGAGCTGAAGAGCAAGGTGCAGTACGAACACCTGAAGCCTTTCGTTACGACTGACTCCAACATCCCCAACACAAAGAGCAGTGCTGGTGGTAAGTCAAATTTCTTAAACTGCTGCTTATTTGAAACCACGTGTTAGCTCAGCAACTGCTAACTCAGCAACTGTACTTGTAATAACATTGATGCCGGATTTTACTCACTATTGACAGGCAGTATCGAGCCCAGTGATCTTAATCAAAAGCGATTTACATTATTGTGTTTGACAGGTCCCGAGGAGCAGGGTAATGATGAAGAGGAGTGCGCACAAGGTCTTCAAGTGGAAAGTGGTAAGTAACTCTTAATCCTTCAATTATTAAGTAACCGAGTATTTTTTCTGAACTCCTCGAATTTCTAAAACTCTTTAATAAATATGTTTTCTTTCAGGCTGTAATTCCGAAGAGCCACCCGCTGAAGAAATCGTCAAACAGGAAAGGGACGAACAAAGCAGAGGTAATTTTGAGATGGAGATTTGTAAAGTTCATCCACTAGAAAGAGTACGGTAATTGTTCAAATTGTGTTAATACCATGTGTAAAATTTTGCCATTTGTCTTTCATTATCCTACACTACAGGTAACCCAATGATGCAATGTGTCCCAGACGTTGGTGATGATGATGTTGAAGTTGTCAAAATCGGTAAGAGATTCATCTTTTTGTCTGGTGGAAAGGAGTGTTCTTACTTGCAATCATGCATTTGCTCAAAGAAGTTCAATGTAACTTTCAATTTTTGTGTTTCTCATTTGAATGCAGAGAAGAGACGTGCCCCTCATGATGACTGGGTTCCGCAGCCAGCGAAGCGCATCAAGAAGGCCCCAGAGGATGCCAGCACAGAGGAAATCATCAGCGGATCATGGTTAAGTGATAAACACATTGATTTTGCCCAATCCTGCCTGTCTAAACAGTTTCCAGCCATTCAGGGCTTTCAGAGTGTAGTTACCCTTCATGCAGGTAGTGCTGGAGGTTATGTGTTGACCAGTGGTGGACCTTTTGTGCAAATTGTAAATGTCAATGAATCCCACTGGGTCACTCTGTCGAACGTAGGACTAGATGCATCCAACAAAGTAAGAGTTTATGATAGCCTAGGAGTTTCATTGCCTGCTGCCCTGAAGAGAACCATTGCCGCCTTACTTTTTACTGAAGGCAAGTTCTTTGAGGTTGAGCATGTGAAGGTCCAGAAGCAGGTTGGGGGAACTGACTGTGGCCTGTTTGCCATTGCTAATGCCCATGCTTTGTGCACTGGTCAGGATCCCGCCTGCATCCGCTGGGACCAGCGCAGTATGCGCACTCACTTTGCAGCCTGCTTGCAGGCAAAGTGTATCTCGTTTTTTCCTTGTTCACAGGTTAAGCGAGCTGCGAGTGGGGGCATCAAGCAGACTACAGCAGTCGAGGTTTTCTGCTTTTGCAGGCAACCTGAAGGACTGGACGACAGAATGGTACAGTGCCAGCAGTGCAAGGAGTGGTACCATGAATCTTGTCACACTTTACCTTCTGCACTTTTCTCTGATAAATCTGCCGTGTTCTCTTGCTTAAAGTGTACTTAGGCTTTTTCTCTTCTTTTCTTTTTCAGATCAGCAAAGGAGCTGTCCAGAAGTTGGTTCGTACATGTTTGTTTTTCATGTTTAGTGTTTTTTAAGTTTGAGTTTAAGTTTTAAGGGATGATTTCACTTAAATATGCAAATTTCTTGCCTATATTTTAGGTTGCAGTTATTTATTTAGCTATACTTTTGTCTTTCGTAATATTTTTTTTAGTTTGCAGTTATTTATTTAGCTTTATTTTTGTCTTCTGATGTAATTTTCTATTTGAGGGGTGTAGCTTCTTACACCCGACTTTCTTGCCTTTTAGGGATACTTTTTCGTTAGGCTTTTTGCTAATTTGTAAGTACATTTTTATATTTTTTTTTATGTGTTTCAAGGGGGGGGGGCTAAGGCCAAAACAAAAAATAGTCGGTCTCTGCTCAGACCAAAGTTCCAGAATTGATGCGGAGATGCGGTTTTTTTGGTTCATGCTTGGATTGTACATCTGTCACATGACACAATAGTGAACGGTCTAAGAGTTTTCACTCCACAAACAACGGGCATGGAAATAAGTGGCATACATTGTATTTTTATTTTATTACTGGGTACGAGTTGCCCATGAACATTTGAGGCGTTGCGGCAATAGAGGGCGCTGACAAGAGACTGACTATTTTTTTTGGGTCTAACATTTGCTAATTTCTTGCCTGGTCACTACATTTATTTAAAGAAGGGTCAAAAGTAAACGTATAAATTTTAAAAAATGTATAAATTTAAAAAAAAATTAATTCGTTGCAAGTTCAACTGATGAGTCATGAATTTGACGAAAGGGCAATTAGCAGCATTGGAAGTGTTGAGGCTAAAACATTCGACAAGTCTTGCGATCTTTTCAAATTAAGAACATGCACGTTAAAAAGTGTTTATAATTTGAAAACAACTATTTGCCCCAAGTTTCCAAAGGGCTTAACAAGCTGCTGATTGGCCTCTTGAACAGAGCCGTGTTTGAACATATTGAAGAGAATACATGTAACTAATAAAAAAGAGCTTGAAATCTTAAGAAAAAACATTCCTGTAAAATAGTAGCTGTCCCTTATTGCCTGCAAAATACTGTCCGATGCCCCCTGCGAAATACATGTACTGTCCAATTCCCCCTGCTAAATACTGTCCGATTCCCCCTGCTAAATACTGTCCGATTCTCCCTGCTAAATACTGTCCGATTTTTCCTGCCAAATATTTGTCCAATTCCACCTGCTAAATACTGTCCGATTTTTCCTGCCAAATATTTGTCCAATTCCACCTGCTAAATACTGTCCGATTTTTCCTGCCAAATACAATGTACTGTCCGATTCCCCCTGCTAAATACTGTCCGATTTTTCCTGCCAAATACTGTCAGATTCCACCTGCTAAATACTGTCTGATTTTTCCTGCCAAATACAATGTACTGTCCGATTCCCCCTGCTAAATACTGTCCGATTCCCCCTGCTAAATACTGTCCGATTCCCCCTGCCAAATACTGTCAGATTGCCCCTGCTAAATACTGTCCGATTCCCCCTGCTAAATACTGTCCGATTTTTCCTGCCAAACACTATCAGATTCCCCCCTGCTAAATACTGTCCGATTCCCCCTGCTAAATACTGTCCGATTTTTCCTGCCAAATACTGTCCGATTCCCCCTGCCAAATACTGTCAGATTGCCCCTGCTAAATACTGTCCGATTCTCCCTGCTAAATACCGTCCGATTTTTCCTGCCAAATACTGTCCGATTCCCCCTGCTAAATACTGTCCGATTTTTCCTGCCAAATACTGTCCGATTCCCCCTGCCAAATACTGTCAGATTCCCCCTGCCAAATACTGTCAGATTGCCCCTGCTAAATACTGTCCGATTCTCCCTGCTAAATACCGTCCGATTTTTCCTGCCAAATACTGTCAGATTCTCCCTGCTATATATATATACTGTCCGATTTTTCCTGCTAAATACTGTCAGATTCCCCCTGCTATATACTGTCCGATTCCCCCTGCTAAATACTGTCCGATTCCCCCTGCTATATACTGTCCGATTCCTTCCAACGTGCCCCGTACGTACACGCTCGATCGAGGGCGCCCGGCCGGACACTATTTGGCACCGGACACTATTTGGCACGTATTACGTGCCAAATAGTGTCTGGCGCCCACTGCGCATGCTCACCGGACACTATTTGGCACCGGACGGTTTTTGGCACGACACCGGCCTTCGTCGTGAAAACACTCACGCTGACGTTCGGCTTATTCCCGGTCCTGCAAAGAACAGGGTGCCCAAAGAACATGAGTAAGTAGTTAATAAATACCATAAAATAAAAAGGAAAGACATGAAAGACAATGAAAGAGTTTCACACCTGTTGAAAATGCTCTATTCCAGTTCATTTTGTGGAGTTTTCGCGCACGGAACGACGAGCAGCTAGCAGACGATATTTGTTTACTTTCCAATTTTTTTGCATTTTTTTTCGCCAAGTGTATGGAGCAAATTTAATTCTCTCCAGACCTCGTTCATTTTGCAATAAGGTGATACAGGGTACACGACCTGACCGAAACATTTTTAAGTCTAAACTATTGAGGGCGCTCTTCCAAAATACCGGACCGCGAAAATCACCGATGTAAATGAGAAAATGGCGAGCAATCCCACAGTGTTTTTGTTGATGTTAAGTGGGCAAATCGAAAGCGGCGATGTAAGTGTTTCTGTTGTTAGTACCAGAGTAATGCAATAAAGTCTCGGACTGAAATGTTTTATGAGTCGTTTTTTTGTCTATGCCTGTGATAAACCGTGACACAACTTGTCAAGTGGGTCAGCTGCAGTGCCGCTTCGTTGTGTACAAAGTCTATGGGAAAATTGGAAACAGATTCATGACCCAAACAATATATTTTTTTTAAACTGGTTTTCAGTGGTTAGCCTATCAAGTATCATTAATGATTTGAGATTAAAGAAATAGGGCCATTAGGGGGAAGAATTCCATACAAGGACATCAATTATTTTTCCCCGCAGTATCACTATCAACCATGTCCATGATCAGAAAGCGATAACATGTCCTAAAAAGTCAAGGAAAATATTGAAGCATTTAGGGCCTACTGAGAAAACAATTGGATTGGATTTTTTTTTTGCGCAGGGTGTCAAGTGATGTCCAGGTATGGAACTCTTTCCGAAATAGTTGTTTCTCTCTACTGAACTGACTGTAAACGTAACTTGGCATTTCATCCGGACTGATGGATCCTGCTGAGTCATTGACGTTAATGTTGTTTGGGGAACCTGCTTAAAAAAGGTTAAATTTAATAGGCCTAAGTATTAATTGAGTTATTGACACCAAATTTTCATCATCAAATTTTGTCATGATATCCAAATAATTTACCCTTCTTGTCCTAGTTTCCAGAATTTGATGACCTTTACGTCAAGTACAATTTTGTCTTTGGACCAGATTGGGTCATAACATCGGTGAGTTACATCATGCCATTTTTTTTTCAAAGCACATGTAAAAATAGCCTACAATATATGATACATGATACAGGCATGCAACTTTTCCTCGGATCAGCTGATTTCCTCGTTTTTCACTTCACACTTATGTTATGCCATTAAAAATTGAAAAACACTGTACAAAGTCTTGTAAAGATTGGAGTTTCCTCTTTTTTTGCCGGTCCTTCCTTCTGGCGAATATTTAATATCGATCAACATGTATAAATTCTCTGTCAGTTGGGTCGATCCTGTGGCTGTGATTCATTTCCCAATTTTTATTTGTTCTTTTTTCTAAATGTCGCTTAAAAGTTAAATTCATGTTAGTTTTTCTCAGAATTTTCAACACATAGCACATGTGATAAAGATAGCCACCAGACTTGAAATGTGCAATGAACAATTTATCTTCTAATATAATATTAATAAAAGTTCTGTTTTGTTGATTTTTCCCACTGCCTGGTCCCTCTAGGGTCTTGAGGAAGGCATATCCCAAGTGTGCAAGAAGAGTCAGGATGGCAGACAACTCTTTGTGTGGAACTTCCCATTGGAGGTCACGTTCAAGAGCACCAATCCGCACGGATGTAAGGCCATTGACCAAACCACGGCCTTGTCTCTGACTGTGGCTTTGGGCTCCATCTTCATATTAATTCCCCTAACTTGGGAGACCCAGGAATAATATGAGTCCTCTTTTCTGCTATTGACGCATCAAATGAATTAACCCTCCTTTTGTTTGATCAGTCACAGACAGTCAAAAATCCAATCCTGTTCCCCTGCCATGCCTTTTACACAGGCTAGTCATCAACAGGCAGATCATATTTCATGTAGGCACTGTGACAGTCAAATTCCATCAACAGACAAAAGCAAGTAAATGGTAGGCACAGCCAGCTTTTCAATCTTCTGCAGTCAAAGCATGGCTATATCAGTTTCATAATCTCAGCCAGGCAATCCTGCTTAATGAAGGCAGGGAGCGCTGAACTGTGAAAAATGTCACTTGATTTATTTTGACTGCCGTACTGGCCTTGTTGAAATTGCCAGCCAGAGAGGGAGGAACATTTCATTTATTTCCAGATGAACCCCTGAAGCCATACAGTGCTAGGACATTGTTTTGGTAGTTTCAGAGAGTAACAAGCAGGTTTGGGATGGTAAAAAAATTAATAGAATTGGAATTGTGATCTTTCTTGATCGACTCTCTGAAGAAGCTGATTGAAATACAATGTAGCTGATCAATACTTTATTTTGTTGAACGGCCGCTTCTGAGACAATGAGAGCTAGTCCCATTGAACAATGCCACAGTTGTATCCTGCTGCATTCTGTGAGCACAGACTCTGAGGCAGTTTGGCCTTAGGACTTTTGACCTGAACGATCTTGCTGCACTGGGCAGGCTTGTCACTTAGACAAGCGTTGCATGTTGCTGCGTTTGGCAGGTTTCTAGCCAAAATACCCTGGAGGGTTAATGAACTGTACATTCAGTTAACCAGGATGCTTTATTTTTGGGTGGTTTACGTATTTTATACGTTGTTTTGATGAAAAGTCAGGGAAGTGAGTCCTCCAATTACCCGATTCCAGGAATCATACAATGCACATGCCTGTACACTCTTCCTTTATACCTCGAATTTCAGACAATGTATCAGAGTCTACTAACATTCGTGAACCTTGGTGAGTCATTTTGGTGGATTTTTTTGCAGTGTTGATTTAAGAAAGAAAAATGCCCAGGGACGAGTTTACGGCAATGGTTTTGTAGTGCCTGAAAGCTTTCGTTTTGGTTTGTTTCCTTATCAGGGCCCCAGCTTGTTGTCAGCGTGTATGGCTTGGACTTCAGCGGCACGGCTGTAGTCAGGGGGTATGGTGCAGTGCATGTCCCAATCGCACCTGGAAGGTAAAACAACTAGAGTCGGGCCCAGATTCTCAACTGAGGACATCGTCCTGAATCCTTTGAAAATTCTCCAAAACCTCCTGGTCTTAGATGTTTGAGAACCCGAGAGGCCAGAGAGAGTATCTGGTTATATACACGTATTTGTCTGTACTTGTTCACTTGTTTATTTTGATATCTTTTAGTAAAGTCTGTCACAAGTCAATGTGGGCAATCAGGCCGGCGTTTAAGTCCGGTTTCAGTAGCATGAAAAGACTGAGAATATTTCTGTTCCCCCTGGATGGGAAGCTAGTCCATCGCAGGTTATTACTCCCCAGCCAGTACCCATACTCCTGGGTGGAGAGAAACAAGTGGGGGTGAAGTGGGGGTGAAGTGGCTTGCCCAGGGTCACAACATATGACCAGCAGCTGGATTCGAACCCCTGACCCTCTGATCATGAGTCACGAACCCTAACCGCTAGGCCACACTCCCCACAAAGATGAAAGACAAATTTGAAATCAAAAACCTACCGCAGTCGGCTGATAGTGGGGAGTGCAGAAAACGTGACAGAAAGAAGGAAGTAAACTGGATTATTCCCGGGCAAGTAAAATGTAAAAGATGGGTCAATTAAAATAGAGGAAACCGCAGAATTAAATGGCGCAGTGCTCACGAATCACACGTATCCGTTTCCCTTTCAATATCGGTCCTTTATTCTCAGAAGATCATGTTGCACGCTATATTTGCAACAGTTTTATTTTTCATGGTAATTGAATCTTGTACCCTGAGGAGTGTTTAGTTGAAACTTGGCTCAGATTTGTGTTGGCAGCACACCCAGGCCTTGGGGGCTGCCCCCTCCCCTAGCTCCCACAGCGTGCACCTTCCCTCCCCTCCCCTTAAGAACTCATTGTTGCTCCATGAGCAAGGCCACGGAACAGTTCATTTTGTAGAATACATGCATTTTACGACAAAGAAAGAGCAATTCTATTAAAAACCTTCCGTAAATGTGGCACATTAAATCTTTGGTTACAGAAAATCATATCTAAACCTTAAGGCCCCCCCAAAAAATCTCCGGTTTCTGGTATGCGCGCGTCGCTGTAGCCATGCGTGTCGGCAAAATGAAAAAGTTTTTTTTTCACTGTAAGATGATTTCTAAAAACTGCCAAACTCACTGGTTTAACTGGAATCCTGCTGCTGCACAATTTTATCGTGTTTTTAGGTGGGGTTACGATCGAGTATAAGCTTTATGTGGCCTCTCTTGACTCAATATATTTTGCACTAAATTTAGTCGGGCACCATTTGCAGTCATCAGCCGAAATTTGAAGAAAAACAAAAGTTAAAAAAGAAAAAAAAAAAGCCGCGTCGTCGCACCACTTTTGGGGCAAGCTCCATACCAGAAACCGGAGACTTTTTTTTGGGCCCAATGGTGCTTGTAGAAGAAAGTGAACAGGTGTTTGGCCTAATGGTGCCTGTAGAAGAAAGTGAACAGGTGTCTTTAATAATTCCAATTAATCCATTAGCAGTTACTACATTGTATTACACGGCGTTTATTCACTGAAAAATCAATCAAACCCATTGAGTGCTGTTTGAAATGTGTTTGAAGGAAGCATGTCATGATTCATCCAAATTTTACAATTTCCCACAGTTCTCTGATCATAGCAGTGCACTAGTTGGTAATGAATCACTCCCTTTCTGTTTGTTTGTCGTTTTGTCCGTGTTTCTGATTTCCATCAGCCTGGACTTCATTGTCTTTACTCAAAAGTAAAATATGAACAAAAGTTTGAAGAACTGCATGCAATCTGTGCAGTCCATTTAGTCCAAATGAGCTTTCATTGCCTCAAGATGAACTTTCCTTTTCACATTTACGGTCCCTGGAAATGTAATTTTTGAAAGATTGTTCCTTTTTTAGCCTCAAAACAGAAGGAAGTTCACACGATCAAAAGGGAAACCACCCTAATATGAAAGTTGGTTCATATTTCTGTTATTATTTTCCATGCCCTGGAGCCATTGTGTTGGAGATGTGCCACTTTCTGTTTTGATAGAAATGATTCATTATAAAATCTCCATACTTACAGCTATGTAGTACTATGCCTGTACTGTATCTCCTTACTTGGCTGTCGTTTACATACATGTGTGTGCTGGGAGATTAAACAAAAAAAACATCCTTCATGACTTGTTTCTATGCGCACCAAGAACTGTTAATTTTTTTGGCACATCATCAATTATCCTATTGTTTTTTTAATCTTCAACCGATAAAAGGTTTTAAAATTGCTATGTCGCTGCTTTCGTGGTTGTGGCCCCCAAAAATTACAAACTGAAGTTCTGTTTTAGACATCAGATACAACTTATCAGGGCCAAAAAAACACACAAATTGGAGTTTTGGAACCGAGCCAGTCAAAATAGATGATACATTTGTACATACTTCTAAAAATGAAACTTCTTTCTGTGTGAAGATTGTTTCTGTGAGGGTTCCTTAACTCCTTGTTATTTGTTTGCACTTTAGTTCGCTGGGAAATTGTTAAAAATGGGGGGGGGAAAGAATTTACTCCCTAAATATTTCTTCTTGGGGATTTTAATGGGAGCCCCCCCCCCTCCAATAGAAAAGTAATTATATAATTTTGAAAGCTGTTAGAGTACTATTTCTTCTGGAACTTTGACTTTATATAAACAGAACTACTGTGAAATTCATCACCCATTGTCAGATTGTGTCCACACAACCATGACTACTGGTCTCCCTAGCTTAACAAAAACGAAAAACTTCTGCTGACTAAAGTAAAAACAAGTATTCAAAAAGAAACAGAAAACACCACATTTTGTGCGACTTTCTCTCTCAAATAAACAGCTATAAAAGTTCAACCTAAAGCCAAAAAACCCAAATGATAATCATATAAAACTTAAACTCATTGTTTAGTTGTTTTTTTTTATTGAAGTGACACTTGTTTTCATGTGTTTCCCTGTTTTCAGACACCAAAGAATCCTGCCGATGTTTGTGCCCGAGTCGTCTTCAAGATTCCAGAAATTCACCAGGTCTGCTGCTTTGCCCCATTTCCCATTCTTATCCTCGAGTCATTGTGCAATATCTGTCCTCTTGCACTTTCAGCTCGCGTGCAGGTTTAGATGTTAATGGTTTCACATTAAAAGTTTTCTCGAACTCTTGGTTTTCATACACGCCTGAACTTTTTTAAACTCATCTCGTGAGGAGTTCAGTTTAGTTTTCGCTTTGAGAACAATGGCCCAAGATGAGTACGTGCGGAAAGGAGCATGACCTCTTTCCCGGTTTCATGCAGTTAGTAGCAAGCAAAAACAACCCAACAAAACTTGAACTACTTTTTTTTAAGCAAGTTTTGCTTGGACAAACAATCACCAATTGTTGCTTAAATCGTACCTTTTTTTTCATGCTCAATGAATACATATGTGCATTTTATTATAAAAGCTCCTGGGAATCGTTGAGGTCAAAGTTCATGACCCTATGAGCAAGCAAATCTAATAAACTTTGGTTCATGATGTTGCTGTACAATAGTGTATTTATACAAGTAACAGCACCTGTATATAATAAATCAGTGTAGTATAAATAACTCCATAAATCATTTTAATGGAAGTTATGTATATACAGCATGCTGTACCAGAACATTTGAGCTCGGTGTAGTCAAAATTTTGCTTGCTATTTCCTTTAATAAAATACTAGCTGTGCTGGTAATTATCAAAAAAATAAGAAACAAAGGAAGGATTCGCACACAAAAATATTACAGTGATAAACCTTCAAGGAGAAAAAATTGTCTCATTTTGTTCACAAAATTTGAAAATGTGAAATTAGGTACATGTGAGCCAAGCAGGCTCAATGTTATGCTAAGCGAATAATTCTGCGCTTATGTGATCTGGGCTTACAGCAAGACCATTCTGCACTAAAACTGTTTGGCACATGCCAAATTTCCTAGCTGAAAACAGAGAGTTTCCTGCTGTTTTTTATTTTTAGGGGATATCATATTTCATTTGCATGGTAAGCCGAGCCATGAATCTTCATGCTTTTGTTGCATTTTTTCTCATTTATGTGTGCGATTGTTATTTTTTGTTATTTCATAGTTGGCTTTTGAGCAGACGCCCGGAGTTTGTGGATGTGAATGTGGTGGCGAGGAGTGAGGGCAGAGAAGGTAGGTCCAACAGACTTAGGTACATGCACTGCCATCCATGTACATGTACTAGTGTTGTAGAGGCCATCACAAGTCCTCGCAAAGTCATCAAATTGTCACAGGTCATCATATGTCCTCACAAGTCACCACAAGTCATTACAAGTCATCACAACTTATCACAAGTCATCACACGTCCTCACAAATCAATCGCAAGTCATCACAAGGCATTACAAGTCATCACAAGGAATCACAAGTCAATCACAAGTCAATCACAAGTCATCATAAAGCAATCACTGGTTCTCACAAGTCCTCATAAATCAGTCCAAGTCATTACAAGTCATAACAAGTCATGACAAGTCATCAGAAGTCATTACAAGTCATGACAAGTCATCAGAATTCATTACAAGTCATGACAAATCATCACAAGTCAATCACAAGTCCTGAAGTCCCAAGTCAAGCCACCAGCTTTTGAAATAAACTGCGACAAAGGCATTCCTTTGTTACTGTTAACCCCCTATTTCTCTTGACTGGTATATTGAAAGGACTTTTGATTTACCTTTTACCAGGCCTTCTTAAAACTACATTTCATTTCTGCATATTGGCAAGAAAAAAGTGTACGACCAATCAATTGTCTAGTCAATATGCCAATACATATATATTGACATAGCCTGAATACATTCACTTCATTGAAGCCAAAATTGGAAATTGCTTTGAACTATTCAGGACAATGACCTAATTAGAGAGTTCATCAAAACGAAATTCAAAAACGAAATTTTGTGGCAGGATTCTTTTTCTTCGACAGATAAATTTCAGTACAGGAACTGACCAAAAGCGTATATTATTTGTAATAACAAAACATGTGCGTGTCACAGAAAGGCACCATAGTTTTTGTTTCTTAGGAATGTACTTTGAGCTAGTTTTAACCTTAAGTGACCACAGCTGTTTCATTTTACAGTGCTGCTTGCCCTAAGCATTTTCTATATCGTGAACAATCCTTGTCTATATTTTCAAGTAGAAATATCTATTTTGACAATTTTATGTACATAATCAGATTAGAAAACAGTGACTAGTTCATGGTTTGTTGAAAAAAGGGGAAATAACACGCATTTTGCATTTCAGCTGTGGGTGCTTCATCCACTTTAGAGATGTATTTTCATTAATCTTTTTATTTTTAATTTGATATTTGGGAAGAATCCAACACACTAATCAATTTTGCTTCTCTCAACATGTGCAACCCAAGGTTTTTTGAGCTGTGGCCTCAGATGCTTATATGTACACTCAGTGGCTTTGTTTAGATTAGATCCATACCAGGAAGCAAAATCATAACTTGTCATTTATCAAAACAAAGATCAAGAATCAGGGTGTCTGTTGGCTCAATTTTATTTTTTGAAGAGTAACTTCCTTGTTGGCAACGATTGTGCAGCGTTCAGAAGAAAGTCTTTCACTTCTCATTCTCCCAGTTGCTGCCCCCTCTGATTGATATACTCTTTTTGATCTAGGGCCAGGAAAAACAAACTAGTCACCAAGTAGTCACACAATACCATCCTTGCTGAAAAAAAATCTTTCCCCGTCATATAATTTGTCACAGTTCAAGTGAAGTGTTAGCAAAATCCTTCTTTTTCTTTTTATTGCAAGTTTCGTAATCTCCTTGTAACTGCCACTTGGAGTGGACATCATTTTAAAAGTCAGGTTGGTGCAGTGGTGCATTCCTCGTCTTCCAATTCTATGGACCGGGTTCGAATCCCCCCCCCCCCACAAAAAAAAAGGAAACATACCTGATCCTGTGCGTTGCCCTTGGAAATTGTTTCAGCATTTTCCTCCAACCTTGCACACTGAATACTTTGTCATTGTCTTCTCTCTCGATGCTTCTCCAGGATTCTAAGCTGCGTGTACAAAATATGTAAAGTGCACATGCACTTTTGAGAAACCTTGATTTCATTGCCAACAACAACAAATAATAAAATGAATGAAATTAAGAAAGCTATTGTTTAAGAGGAATATGGAAAGGACCTTGGAATTTTAATTTTTCAATTGTTCCACTGAACTCTCTGTTGATTGCGTGACAAGTGTACTCTGATAAAATCTATACATTGGATTAGTTTGCGTGAATGCGGAACGTGTCTAGTAAAGTGCATGACACTTTTCCGAAGGGCAATGTTACAAACCAATCTTGTAGAATTATATTACAACAAACGTTCAAGGCCTCAAGATTAAAAAAGAAAGAAAGTGTGTGTCTTATTTCATGAGTAACTTACCCACCACATTGTGCCTCTCATTTGAGATACAGAATAAAAATGTGTGCCCTGACTTGAGATTAGTAACTTAATCAATCTCAGTGACATGAAAGACCGAGACTATTTCTAATCCCCTGGATGGGATGCCAGTCCATCGCAGGTTACTCCCCAGGTAATGCTGGTACCCATTTATACTCCTGGTCAGAGAGAGGCAAGTGGGGGTGAAGTGGCTTGCCCAAATACACAACGTTTGGCCAGCGATTGGATTCGAACCCCTGACCCTCTGATCGTGATTCACGAGCCCTAACCAAGCCACCCACACTCGTTCTGTAGTTGTGGGGACTACACATGAGTTGTCCCATGGTACTATGGGGACCAAAGACGCTGTGGGGACAGCAGAAAGTCCCCATAACTCAGTCCTAATTTGCCTAACACTAAAAAACTTCCCCATAACGTGGTGATGTTCCTCCCACTCTTACCCACTTGAGATGAACTCAATTATAATTCTGGTAAATGCCTTGGCATGCCAAAAAAATGACCTTACTCTCATCACTTTTTTTTTTTTAAATCCTCATATTCCTACCAATACACTAAGCCCAAGCACTTAACCACACAGTCTACAATGTAGTCTCTCAGACTTAAGTAGTGAAAGCAGTGTTGCAAATTTTCTAGGGACCAAAAAAGCGTTATTTTTGTTGACCATTTTCGAGCAAAAGTCCTAAACTTCAAACCGAAACCAGACAGTAGAGCAGGCTGGTTTACGTCTTTGTCTAGTTTTAAGTTTAAATATCCTTTAAAAAACACAGGAAAATGCTGGATTCAGTTTTCTTTTAATCAAGTGAAAGGTTACTGATACTAAGAAGGAACTAAAAACCACAAAAAAAAGTGTGTTTCCTTTCGGATCTAGGCTAGCCAAAAAAAATATAATGTAATATTATTCGTTTTTATCTTTTTTTTTTTATTTGGCATCCTTCCAGGAAAGCTTGCACCATAAGCTTTTTGTTTTGTTTCTTTGATACTAAAAGCATATTCACTATATATACCCAGGTCCACTGTACAGTAGAAATTAAGAAGGAGTGGGCATGAAGCTAAACAATTTTGTTTTCATAATTTGATTGTAGTGGAATTTGAACACCATGGCTTTTGAAAAACTACATGTGCTGATGCTCTACCAAGTGAGCTATTTTACTCTTAGTAGTTGGTTTATTGTTTAAATATTGTTTTACATCCAAATGCTGAATTACATGAAATTTACAGTATAAAAAAAAAAAAAAACTAAATATAAATATATTCATAAAAACAATTAAACTTACATTTACAAACAGTCCATTGGATAATGTAACAATAAAAAAAATTGAGAGGAAAAAGCATTACATGTGAATATGTAATATGCAGATATGAATATGTAGCTACGTGACCCCCATGTTTGTATGTTCTGAGTCTCCCAATTGTTTGTCTTTGTCTTTGAAAGAGTGCCAGTCAAAATCCAGATGGTTGCTTTTGTTTCTGTACAGATCCAAATTTTGGATCCTTGGGAGCAGTACAATGCTATAACAAACAAAACAGCACCTGATCCGGATCTTAAGTCACATGACTAGCCAATAGTATACATGGAGGAGGTTGTCATTGTATGTTGTTTCTTTTATCGCCATATTGAATATCTCAGGAAGGATCCCTGAGATCAGTAATCAGGATCAGAGCAAAACAAAGGGGTCCTTAAAATAAAACCGATTGTGCCATGTAGCCAGGGATCATAACCCCAAACCAAATACTAGCAGCTACTGCAAGACCGCTTAGCAGAAAAATATTGCTAAGGGAAATAATGTAATAAGCAAGTTGCAGCTGACACCAGCCACCAGCAAAAGACATATCAGCTGCTTACTGGGTTTGCTAATTTTCTGTGATTAGTAATTTCTGTGCCGAGCATCTCCACTCATGGAATTGCCCTGTTCTTGACTTTTCACTTTCTTGTTTTCTCATCTCATCCCCTCCTCATCCCACCCCTTTTCTGCCTCCCAACAGTCACAAGGGTACGATCTCAGGGCCACATCAAGGTCACCTTCAACGCCATCACCCGAGACATGAAAAAGCTCGGCTATGATGTAACTCCGTCCACCATCAAGATTCCCGGGGCAGACACGGCAGCCGCGCTGGCAGCGACATCGGCTCCAGCTGCAGCTGGAGCTGCCGCTGCGGCCAAGCAAACCACCGAGGCCAACGAGACAGTCACATGAGCTAGCACGTCTGTTTGTGGTGTAAATCAAGGATTTTCTTTTGTTCCTCTTCCCTTTTCCTTTTGTTTATACTTTAACTCCAACAGCTCTTATCGGTTTTGTACACGTTTTCCAACCGAGGAGTCCTCGATTTGGTTACTGACCTTGATTCATCGGTGATGTTGCACGTGTGTGTCCTCGATTTACACCATAAACAAATGCAAATTGTCCAATCAGGGGCAACTTTGTGCATCAACTTTGACTTTTTGGTTAATAAATCTTGGCTTGTCCTTCATCTCCTGCATCATTTTGAAGACTTCCACCAGTGTACTGGAAGCAGATATCACTTGAAATGGCCCCCTCTGGAGACACGGAATTGACGTGCTTCCCAAAGTCTTGACACATAGTTTTAATCTCTCTCTAAATAAGGCACACTATTCGGTACTCAAACAGCTGATGTCTAAGTAAAATTGAAAACACTCTAAATTTGACCTCATTTTACAGGTTTTTGAATGTCTGAAACGGAAGCTGTATCTATAAAAAAAAAAAGCTGATATGTGGTCAAATTTTGCGAAATTGTGAGCAAAATATGCAACCAGAGAGAAATTTTTGTGACAATGTGACTCCTTGTTACCCCTCAAAGGTGATGCTAGCAGTTTCATTTTTTGGAGGGAATTTTTGCGACCTCCATTATATCGCCACTGATTGTTGTAAAAGCCAACAAGTAAATGTCATTTTAAATCAAAAGCGTCAAGTGTTTTCTTGGTTCTAGATTCCAAGGTATTTATATGACAAAGTTTGGGATAGAATGTATTAGGCCTACATCACCTTGAACTCTTGCTGTTGGATTGAGTCTGTGGTAAAGCTGTTGCATGCCGTTTACTTATTAAACATGTGTTCAAGGGGTGTGTAAATGCTTTTGTTTCCTACGTGTAGGCGGTAACATTTTACACAAACATCAGATACTATTAATAGGATGTAAAACAAAAATGTAGACAAAGACTAACTTACGATCCATCTAGGGCTTGTGAGTTTATTGAAATCTGTTGTGAATTGTTCATTGTTTCTGTCACACAGCATACACTAGTTTTAGGGGATTGTCCTTCGTGAGTGTTGTTTTGAAAAGACATGTTTTGAAAAGTCTTTTGGTAGACATAATTGCACTGTATTCTTTATCAGCACAAGGAAACAAATTTATCTTAAAACTTGTTCTGCCTTTCGAAAGATGTTGTATATTTGTACCCACAGTGTGCAGTTTATTTATGTGATTGATCCATTTCAAATTCCATTCAATTTAATTTTTAGAAATATGCGTAGCTGCAAATACGTGTATACGTGTAAATACATGTGAATATTAAATTTGGAAAAATTAAAACTGGTCTAAAATTATGTGTGACATCAACAATTCCCAGTGTTAATCAGGCTTTTCCTTGTCTTTTTTTTTTTAAATCTAATTAAACACATCCCAAAGTTTGAAGTAGAAAAAGGAAGGGCGAAGGCCACAAGCATCCTTGAATCCTTGCAACAATCTGTGTGTAGGCGTGGCGCCCTTCATCAGGTCAGCGACAAAGCAGTTGCAGTACATTTCCTTGAGTTTAATGCATGTATTGTACGCTGCACCGCCTTTCCTTGCGAATTCTAAATTCAATATATGTATACTGTAGGCGTACTCCAACTGCGAACAGTATTCCGATGTCTGGTTGTGTTTTTATTCAACACAATACCAGAAGAAAACGCCCTTATATTATGAGATCGCACATGTTGCCGGATACGTTTTGCTTTACTCAGTCCGTATAACCGTATAATAATCAGATTCAGCGATTAATTATGCAAAAACTGCGTATTGACTTCGGGATTCTGACTTTTTAGCGGCCCCTTCTATATCGGGCCTTCCGTAATCCGTTCGTTTTTGTTTTACAAAAACATGGCATCCAAATTGACCAATCAACAGCTTGTCCATATTTCTGAGCGAAACGACGTCACAGTTTCTAAAGTTGACTGCGATTGGCTGGCGCGAGGAGTCCCATAAAATGTGCATGCTAGTACATATCGGACGTTCGTTCGTGTGTACATGCACTCGTGAATGTGTGATTCTGTAGACCTGCGATCGGCCGGGTGCGTTCTAAAACATGCGAAGAATAAAATGTTGGACATTCACAACTTTTTTTCCCAAAAAGTATGTGAAATCGTTGCCGAATTGGAACAGAGCCAACTGTTTCATTGTGTAGTAAATAATATCGGTTCAAGAGCACATTCAATAGTTTGATGACACACATTGCATATTATTACATTAATTAACGAGCATCAATACTGCAGACATACGTATATAATAAAGCATACAAATGGTTTATTACGTTGCATTCTAATGAGGTATACATTTTAGGTCTTGGCCTTTGCATTTAAATTTCGATATTGTTTATACATCGGTTTTTTCTCTTCCAAACAAAATAATCTCTGACAAATTTGCTTTTATTTGTACAGCCGAATAGCACCAATCTATGAGGTACACCAATGCCCTATGCGATATTATTATAAAATATCCTAAATTATTAATAAGGATCGTAGCTTTTTGTCACACTACACCATTGATAATTGATTGATAACCACCCCACCTCTGTTTTGACTCCACATGTACCCCTATATAAACCTTGCATGATGATGCCCCTCTTCGATGCATCTGATGACGGTAGTTGTAGCTACGAAAGCTGAAGCGCACTTTCACTCTAGTTAGTCTTTTCAAGTGCTACCTTACTTTTATATGAGGTTTTGCCTGACTAACACGGCTGCCCTCCACTATTTGCCAAAGTATTAAATAACTGCTCAAATATACGCCTAACTAGTCTTGCTTATAGTACCATTGTATTCATTAATACGTTTCTCAGCCAGTATGCATTGATATAACGTGTTGCTTGTAAATATAATGATAAACATCGATAGGTATAATCATAATATGACAAATCTGGATCACATTAAAACGTTTTCTAGTAAATATATATACATTCCTTTAGCAAATTTATGTCCGTATATGTGTGGCAGATGGGGGAAACATTTGGGGGAACTGTGTCTTTGATGATACAAGCATGTCATTTGGCACTGACGGGTCAAGATATTTGGATTTAGGGCCAACGGAGATTTGTCCTTTAAAATTATAGATGGAACAACAAGCAATTTTCAAACCTTTCAAAATGGCTATAATCGCTTGTTATTCTACCTATATTTTTTCAAAGGACAAATCTTCGATGGCCCTATAGCAAAATATCTTTCTCATGACATACTCTGACTGTGATCCAAATTCCATGCTTCATCGAAGACACAATCACCTATCTGCCATACTTTATTTCTAAGAATAAAAGAACCTTTTTTTACCTAGTTAATCGTCATAACATCATAACATATCTGCTCAACAAATTCTATATATATTTGGCGTTTACATAATGTTCTATAAGCCGCAGCCGATCTATTTGTATTTGTACATATTCTACGCCTGTAAATCTAGAGGCCTGAGATGGACCAATTCAGATCGAATTTTTGAAAGCAGAACGCACCATTGTGGTTCATTACTTTTATCAAACTTTTTACCCATCAGTTTGTTCCAGGATGCCCTGCTCAAGGAAAGAAACCATCATGCCGAAATTCACGTATCCGTATTGACTACGAAACAGTACACATCGCGCGCAGCCGCTATCATTAACACGAGATTTCTTTAACCGTATTGAGAAATTGTTAAAAATGGAACCTATATCGATAAACATGTAGAGTGTCTATGGTGATATGGCGATTCTAGGCCAAATTTACGCACAGTTTTCCAGAGAGCCTAATTTTTTTTAAAGATAAATTACTCTTTAAATACACTCATTTTCAATAATATAAAGCATGTTTAAACTATTTATCAGTAATGCAATCATATAATAATTCACCAATACATATATTTACATCTTGGTCCAGAATAATAGGAATCGAGATTCAAGAACCCGTCATAATTTACAAAAACCTGCTACAATTTGGAGACTTTTCTCTTGTTATCACATTAAAAAAAGTACTTTCAAAGATATTTTAATTTGACAACGCTTTACTGCTGGGCTGCAAGAATGAGTCCCGCTAGTACATCCACAATATCATGGAATTTAGAAATTGTACAATGCTTTTCAGACCATTTTTGACTAGAGAAACGCATGTGATTATGCCTAATTGCTCATTTAAATCAATAGTTAAATCTTTAACCCTTTTTGTCATGCTCCGTGTTTTGATACACGCCATTTCCTTAATGGTTTGCCGCATTCGATTAACTTTTAACAAGAAAATAGCGAAGACAACAATAAAGTGGACATTCAATTTGATATCGATGGTGTGCTGTAAGAGAGCTCACGAAACGTTAACGAGTGAAATGAAGTGTTCGAAATGTTTATTTTAACAACGGTCATTCTCACCAACGTTCCTGAACACGCGCCATCTAACAACAAGCGGGTACAAACGGCTTATTTCTGTGACAATTCTGGGGCGGATGGGGCCCAGTCATTGCTGATGAGACGTTGGTACTCGTTGATCTGCCGTTGACGGGACACATCCTCCAGATCCTGGTAGAGCGATTCCTCCTCATCCACGACCTTTGTCGCCATCTTTGGACGGGCGCTCAGTTCAGGAGGCACCCCGAGGTCCACCACGAAGTCATCGTTGACGTTGGTGCAAGATGCCTTGGCCCCTGTACCATTCTCCCGGATGTTCTTGGAGTCTCGCTTGGCACACATGAGTGTCTTCGCCTTGAGAGAAACCCAGCAGCAAATTCCCACCAAGACCAAGCACATCAGACCTCCGATGATGTACCCCATCAGTGTGCTGAGAGACCAAGTATCCGATGATGACGGCCCCAACTTGAGATAAGTGATCTGGGTAGTTGTCTTGACATTCAAAGCCTTGGTGGTTTGTTGGAAACTTGCCTGCAGGAAAACCTCTGCCTTGGGCTGATAACTACCCACGATTCTACAGGTTACCGAGGCTCCTACATCCAGGGTCGACACACCAGACACTGACAGGACGTGCTCTGAACGGTCCTCCACAAAGAATCTGTCAGTGGTGTTGAAGGGGTCGACGTCATGACCATTGTAGTGCCATACACACGGGGGAGGAGGAGAGCGCACGGGGGTCGTAATGCATTTGAACTGGGCCTGTTCGTCAACCGATGTCGGTATTTCACTTTGTTCAAGTCGGACTGTCACTGGCTTCACTGTGGCTCCAAGAGGTCGTAAGGTTATCACTGTACTTGCCTGATTGCTGCCAACTGCATTGTGTCCCTCGCAGGTTATCCGAGTTCCATTGTCGCGGGAGCTGATGCTATTTATCGTCAGCACGGGTCCTTCCTTTGTGACAGACGAGTGAAGATTAGGTGTAAAGTTCCAGTCAACGGTAGATACCAGTGGATTGCCAGAAGTAAGGCAGACAACGACCAAATCTTCACCGATGCTCCATCCACTCGTGATGGTTATTGTCACGTTGGGTCGGTCCAGGATGCAAGATCCGGCAAGCTCTCCCCTGAATGTCAAGGCGCATTCGAATCTTCCTCTGCTTGATTCGTCATCCGCCATCAACAAGCGAGCCTGGACAAAGTCCTCCAAGTCATCATCGGGCGTAGACTGCTCGAGAGGTTGTCCATCTTTCCACCACTGAAGGGTGACCGGCGGACTTCCCCTCTCCGACTCGCAGATAAATGTTCTCTCGTTCTCCAGAGCGCGGACCGAGCATACTGGATACTGGCTTGCTGGGCGCTGTTCGACCGTCAATCGCTCCCCGTTTGACGTGCCGAGAACCGTTTCACCTCTTTTCAGCCGGCATTTGTACACACCGTTATCTGTTGTGTCCATGGAACGGATCACGAGGTCAGCAAAGAACATGGTATCATCGGGTGGGTCTGCCGACAGCTCGTACTTACTTGGTGTCTCCGTTCCGGCTGGTTTCGGCCACTCTGCCACTCTCTGCCCGTCCTTGGTCCAGACAACTCTCCCTCCTGTTTGTGGATTGCCGCTGAAGGTTAAGATGCCGTCGTAATGACCGGAGCACGTCAGCCGGACCTCGGAATTGGGAACAGGGAAGCGATCTTCATCTTCTACGTCCAGCGTCAAAGACGTGGCTAACATGGCTTTGGATACAAAGGCGAACGTCACGAGCGCCATAAGCATCACAAAGCTACCCGAGGCCATGTTGATCCGTCTCAAAATCAAAGGAATGTTTCATTTGCTTGCACATTGCATTCCTTTATATACTTCTACTATCATGAAAGCAAAACTGATAAAAATGTAAACAAAAGGTTGGCGTCGGATTAAAAACTAAACAAAAAGTTGGGGTCACATAAGCAAGGCCAGTGGCATGTATACCTAAATCAACTCGCTGAAACTGACTCCATTTACACAAAGAAAGTTGTTTTGATTCTTTCTCCCAGCTAGGCTTTATCCCAGCTTCTCAAATCTTAACCATATTTTGTCTACTGCGCGTTGTTTAGAATGGGTTGGGATTTTGTTTTGTTAAGCTGTGATAGGCCTATTTGCATGCATTTTGCTAGTGCTTTTGAGGAATGTAATCAATAATCAATCTCATAATATTATAAGTCGTGAGAAAAGCCAAGAGCAGCCTCAAACGTCATCAGAAGTTTGGAAATCGTCATGTACAAGACCGTTGTTCATAGATTTTGCTAAATATGCCAGCCAAACAGCAGGCGCGGTTCTACCGGGGGGGGGGGCTAGGGGGGCTGTAGCCCCCCCAAAATTTGGTCTAGCCCCTACAAAATAAATTCCGTAAAAAAAAATTGCATTAGCAAAAAGAAGGATTGTGATGTACATGCGAACGGTCTCCCCCTAAAGAAGAAATAGCCGTGACGAGGGTGCATTAGTTAATATAGTGTGAATGATTTTAGGATTGTATTGGCGCTCACCATTGAAAATATGGCATGAGCCCCCCCCCCCTCACCTATTGATTTTCGGAGGCCTAAGTGTCTGGAGAAAATAACCGGTCAACATTTCAGCACGCCTCCCTGCAAACAATTCTGGATCCACCGTGCTAGCCCCCCAAAAATATTGGTTCTAGAACCGCGCCTGCCAAACAGTAATGTACATGATCGGTGATAATGCATGGCCTTCGCCTTCTGTTCAGGCAATTGTCGGCAGGGGCGCACTCAGTTTAAAGAAAGTTGGGCAAGTGGGTTACAATGTTGTTAATATTAGTGTTCTACCCATATTTTTTAACAGTACGAAGGCCGGGGAGGCGGGGGGCTCTCTTATCACCATCTTCTAAGGAGCAATGTGGCACAAAAGCATTAAACATGGAAACATAATTGACGTTAACCACGCCAGCACATACAGTGTAAACAAAAAGTGGGTAAAACAATGTTATTTTACACGGGAAATCATTTTTCCTGTTTTTTCCCCCTCCTTTAAGTGTCGTATTTAGGGTATGTAAGACCACATTTTGCAGTCAACAATCATTCACTCAGGTTTTGTGAGTAGGTACAACCAGAAATATGGCACCTGGTTGTTATATCACACTTCACACTCTTGTGGCGCTCACCTATGTTTTAACATCATCGGTGCAGTCGTTGATGCTGGAATTGGAAGATGAAAATCCCTTCCCTGTTCCCAATTCCGAGGTCCGGCTGACATGCTCCGGTCATTACAACGGCATCTTAACCTTCAGCGGCAATCCACAAACAGGAGGGAGAGTTGTCTGGACCAAGGACGGGCAGAGAGTGGCAGAGTGGCCAAAACCAGCCGGAACGGAGACACTCAGTAAATACGAACTGTCGGCAGACCCACCCGATGATACCTTGTTCTTTGCTGACCTCGTTATCCGTTCCATGGACGCAACAGACAACGGTGTGTACAAATGCCGGCTGAAAAGAGGCGAAACGGTACTCGGCACGTCAAACGAGGAGAGACTGACGGTCGACCAACCACCAGCAAGCCAGTATCCGGTATGCTCGGTCCGCGCTCTGGAGAACGAGAGAGCATTCATCTGCGAGTAGGAGAGAGGTAGTCCACCGGTCACCCTTCAGTAGTTAAAAGACGGACAATCTCTCAATCCATTTAAATATATCAATTTAAATTCAATACCGAAATCAACATCGATTTCCAAACCGAAATGAAACATTTACCCCATGTGCATGAAATGTTTCAGCAAAATTAAATTATAACATTTGTATATATAAACAAACAAAAGTTAACATTTCCTGTTATATTTTTTCTTATTCCAATAGTAAATAGTTATTTACCACACAAAAATTAGACAAACGGTCATTTGCAAACTTATCAAAATGTTCGTGATTAATTAAAAAAGAAACTTCAAACAAAACAAAAACTACAAACTTCCAGCACAAGGGAAATCAAATTTCCGGCTATGCATCAGTTTTTCCCTTTTAGTTTCGTATCTGGGGTATATAAGACCGCATTTTGCTGTGAACAATCATTCATTCATTCAGGTTTTGCGAGACGAAGTACAATATCAGAAATATGGCCCCTGGTAGCTACATCGCACTTCACACTCTTGTGGCGCTCACCTTTGTTTTAACATCGGTGCAGTTAGCTAAGTCTTTGACGCTGGACGTAGAAGATGAAGATCGCTTCCCTGTTCCCAATTCCGAGGTCCGGCTGACGTGCTCCGGTCATTACGACGGCATCTTAACCTTCAGCGGCAATCCACAAACAGGAGGGAGAGTTGTCTGGACCAAGGACAGGCAGAGAGTGGCAGAGTGGCCAAAACCAGCCGGAACGGAGACACCCAGTAAATACGAACTGTCGGCAGAACCAAGTAGTTCCATGTTCTTTGCTGACCTCGTGATCCATTCCGTGGACGCAACAGATAACGGTGTGTACAAATGCCGGCTGAAAAGAGGTCAAACGGTACTCGGTACGTCAAACGAGGAGAGACTGACGGTCGAGCAGCGACCAGCAAGTCAGTATCCGGTATGCTCGGTCCGCACCCTGGAGAACAAGAGAACATTCATCTGCGAGTCTGAGAGGGGAAGTCCACCGGTCACCCTTCAGTGGTTAAAAGATGGACAACCTCTCGGGCCGTCGAGCGAGCCGGAAGATGACTCGGGGGACTTTGTCCAGGCTCGCTTGTTGGTGGCGGATGGCGAATCAAGCAGAGGAAGGTTTGAATGCTCCTTGACATTCAGGGGACAGCTTAGCAGATCTTGCTTCCTGGACCGACCCATCGTGACGATTCCAATCACCACGAGTGGACTGAGCATAGGAGAAGATTTGGTCATCGTCTGCGTCACCTCTGGCAATCCGGAGTCTACCGTTGACTGGAACTTCAGACCTAATCTTCACTCGTCTGTCAGAAAGGAAGGACATATGCTGACGATAAAGAACCTTAGCTCCAGCGACAATGGAACTCAGATAATCTGCGAGGGACACAATGCAGTTGGCAGCAATCAGGCAAGTAGAGTGATCACCTTGCGACCTCTTGAAACCACAGTGCAACCAATAACAGTCCAACTTGAACAAACCGAAATACCGACATCAGTTGACGAACAGGCCCAGTTCAAATGCATTGCAACTCCCGCTCGCTTCCCTGCTCCCCTGTGTGTATGGCAGTACAATGGTCATTTCGTCGACTCCTTAAACACCACTGACAGATTCCTCGTGGAGGACCGTTCGGAGCACGTCCTGTCAGTGTCTGGTGTGTCGACCCTGGATGTAGGAGCCTCGGTAACCTGTCGCATCATGGTCGGTTATCAGCCCAACGCTGAGGTTTTCCTTCAGGCGAGTTTCCCACAAACCACCAAGGCTACTATCCAGATCACCCCCAAGTTGGGATCTTCAACATCGGAGACTTGGTCTCTCAGCACACTGATGGGGTACATCATCGGAGGTCTGATGTGCTTGGTCTTGGTGGGAATATGCTGCTGGGTCTCTCTCAAGGCCAAGACACTCCTGTGTGCCAAGCAAGACACCAAGAACGTCCGGAAGAATGGTACAGGGGCCAATGCTTCTTGCACCAACGTCAACGATGACTTTGTGGTGGACCTCGGGATGCCTCCTGAACAGATCGCCCGTCCAACGAGGGCGGCAAAGGTCGTGGATGAAGAGGAATCGGTCTACCAGGATTTGGAGGACGTATCCCGTCAACGTCAGATCAATGAGTACCAACGTCTCATCAGCAACGACTGGAACCCACCCGTCCCAGTATCGTCTCAGAGATGAATTGTCTGTGTCAGGTTGTTATAGATGGCGACCTTTGTTCATCTAAGAAAGTTGGGTCCGAGGGAGATTTTACCCCGTTAGCTGAAGCTGATTGATTAAAATTAGTGAATAGATCATTCAATTGCTGAGGGAAATTGCCTCAAATTGGACCAACTTATTGTTTACGCAAAGTAAAAATTCACGACAAGTTTTTCGCTTCAACAAAAACGGGACTTTGAGCCGTCTTTCCTAGCCCGAGTGTTAAAACAATTTGAGTAACGTTCATGTTGATGCATGGTTGTGTATGTCACGTGAGGTTTATGCTTACATTATATAAGGGAACATAAGGGATCGGCGGGACATTTTACCCCGTTAGCTGAAGCTTATTGATGAAAATGAGTGAATAAATCATTTTAACTGCTCAGGGAAATTGTCTCGAATTGGACCAAATTATTGTTTACCATGCTGTGCTCTACGACAAGTAGAGCACAGCATGGACTTTGGGGGACGTCTTACCTCTGGGGTATTCCCTCCCATCGGGAAGGGAATGACTTATTTTATTAAATCATTTTATATTTACAAAATGTGTTATGCTAGAAGAGACATTCATGCTAAGTACATTATACAATTTGCGAATGTAAACCGAGGTGATCGTTAGCCAGGAAGTGATTTGGTTTTGCCAACCACATTTGGCATGATATCCGGAGTATAAAACTATTTGAGTTCATGTTAATGCATGGTAATTGTATATAACATTGCTGGTCAACTCGCATGTAAAATTGCCTTATTTTATACTTTTTTTGTCACAATAAACACGTATACGATAACCCGTACTATTGGAATATCGTATGAGATTGATGCTTACATCATATAAGGGAATATATTTGCTAAATTAGAAAAGTAAGACTATTTGTGTGTGTTTTTAATCGATGTTTTGGACTACGAAAAGTAATACCTGAACAATAGTTTTATATAGTTCAAGAATAGTTTTTAAGAACAGTTTATTAACGGGCAACTGGTTAATTTTTTGACTATTTTCTGTACGAGCTTCTATTTGTACAAGATTAAGAGCTTTACACGAAATATTTGCGAATATACTGCATGTTTGCGTTTATACTGTTTCTCTATTATTCCAAGTTTACTGTTACTCTATATTGAGCCTGGAATCTTGACAATTTCCTGCGTCCTCTTTTGGGGACGGTTTTATAGACAAATTCCATCGAAATACGTCTTGTAAATAAAGCACTGCAAAACAAAACCAATCTTGCTATAAAAATGAACGGATTCCTTGAAGTAAAAAAAAAGGCGATGAGGCCTAAACCGTGTGTCCGGTATTGGAAACCCAATTGACACTGCTCAAGTTAAGAAAAAGTTTGAAATAATGTTTAAAAAATCTGTGTTTATGGGCCATTGTTAATTGCGGCATTTTTAAATTTAATCATGAATCAGCATGTTAAATACTCGCTGTTATTCTGCATTGTATACTAGCACATTGCTTATATACCTCCATTTTTATTGCAAAATATCTTGTGAAACTCGGTACACTATACACTAATCGGAATACATGTATATTTGCAGTCGAGCAAGGTATACGTGAAATTATAAGACATGTGATTTACAAATGGTTAAAGTCTCCGATTGGTTTCGTTTCTGCAGCTGAGATGTTACACGTGGAGCGAATATCGAATATTATAAAATTAATACGCTATTTTTCAAAAATCGCAACACTTAAGATATTGATCAAGGTGTAAATATTTAAAAACAGAGTGAAGTTGATCTTCGACAAAAAATTGCTTCTTATCAGTTTTACCCTAACAATTTTTGAATTTGATTGAGTTCATGACAAAAAAGCTTTAACCCATTAGCAATTGTAGCCTATTCTACATTGTATTTAATTGTCTGTATTTACTGAAATCATTACTGTGACAAATTTGGAAACCAGAAGTGAAAGAGAATGAAATGTATGATGTCCTTGAGCAAGAAAACTAATACAATATTTTGCTTTTCTGCTAACCATGCCTGTGGTGATTTACTATTGTAAACTGTCACATAAAGGGATGTATGTGAATTGTTTTCGTTTTGCTGAAAGAACACTAAGGCCCTCCCTTTTTGTGATTCGTGGACAGAACTTTAAAACGGTGGTTGTGTTTAAAATTCCATAACTTAAAGAGTACATAAGTGATTTGAATGATTCGTGTACTACAATCAAGATTATTAATTGGGCTTTTCTATCCTAGATTTTGAAAGGTCTACACGCAGAACTTCATTAACAAATTGGTCCTGACGTTTGGGTTTCTATTTGTTACTCACCCTGTAGTAGCGACGAGGGAGCCCCCCCCCCCAGTCGTTCCTATTACGAAACAGGTTGAGTCCCCTCCAATTGACAACAAACCATCCCCCCCCCCGGAAAAAACTTTTAAAAGGACTTAGAAAACGACGAGGCAAGACAGCTATTTCAGCAAATTACTTTGGATAAACTTAACAGGGATCACGCTTCGAGCTGACCTGACTAGCGCCCATGGAATAAAAATATTGACGAATTGGGGAACCGCCAACATATAGGACTGGATATCTCAGTTGGCAGAGCAACGGAACGGTAATCCAGGGGTCGTGGTTAATTCAGGCCCGCTCCAGTCTATTTCTTTGTTGAACCTTTCAAATAATTATTATAATTCACCAAGTCAGTTGTCCTTTGTGGTTCAATGAATACATTTGAACGAGTGAAAAAAAAACCTTCTAATTCAAAGCCATATGGCGAACAAATCTTTTAAAAAAATTACAATGCGAGGGCCAGGGGTGGGTGCCGGGGGGGGGGGGCGCAAAAACATTCAACATGAGTAAGATAATTGATGTTAACCACGTATCCACATCACTGTAAACATGTTGCGTAAAATGATAGTCGTATTTTATCCGTGAACTTCAGTCGAACTCTATCGGTGCGGCTGGTATAAGACTAGTACGTAATCGGCCGGGTTGCGACCAATTGAATAGTCAGCATCATTTAGCGAACCAGACTACGGGCATTGCAGCGATATTTTGCATGCGTAGAGCTAGTCTGGTTCCCCGACCTGACAATTTCCCCCGACGTGGCGTCCAGACGTCTAAATTGTAGGTCAGGCAGCCTCCGTAGCTAAATGACGACATTGACAGCCCTTTTTCAAAGCTCGGCTTCGTTTCCGAATTCGCTTTATCACTAATAGCTTTTAATGTTCCGATCACATTTAAAAAAAAAAAAATCACTTACTTCATATATCATACAGTTATGATATACAGTTTTATACTTCTGTAAGAAAACATATTGACTAATGTTGACCTGGAATCTTCAAAAGTTAGGCACACAAATATAGCACTGTTAACAGGCGGAGCCGAAAGAGACCACGCCGAGTTTTGGAAAAATCCCGGTAACGATCGTCAAATTCAAAATAGTACGTGACGCAGCAAAAAACTTCGCCCCCTCGATCGTATACGATCCGATCATCGAGTATACTTGATGCACAAAATCGTCGTTGAATTTCAAGTTTTGTAAATGAAAGCAATGAATCAATAATTATCAACTCATTTTTAAAAGTTTTTAATAAGCAATTAGCAGTTAATAAAACCTATAATATACTCGGAAATACTCGGGCGCTATCCGATTGTCGACGAAATGAATTCAGTAAACTTCGGTCATTTTCGGAAAAAGAAGGAATTCCTCCCATTTTAGTCACGTGACGTAAATTGTAATAATGACCTAAGATTCATCAGGAATAGTCAGAATCGTTTGGTCTGGGAACCAGACTAGCGTGGAGCCAGTAACCGGTACCGTACGCAAAACAATTACCGACTTGGCACCAAGTCTACTTCCGGGTGTGCAACTTTCAGTTTTGTTGTGCAACTTTGAGTTTTGGGGGCATAATAGACCGCTTTTTGCTGTAAACAGTCAATTCACTCAGGTTTTGTGAGCAGAAGTACAATATCAGAAATATGGCACCTAGTAGCTACACCGCACTACACACTCTTGTGGCGTTCATATTTGTTTTAACATCGGTGCAGTTAGCTAAGTCTTTGACGCTGGACGTAGAAGATGAAGATCGCTTCCCTGTTCCCAATTCCGAGGTCCGGCTGACGTGCTCCGGTCATCACGACGGCATCTTAACCTTCAGCGGCAATCCACAAACAGAAGGGAGAGTTGTCTGGACCAAGGACAGGCAGAGAGTGGCAGAGTGGCCAAAACCAGCCGGAACGGAGACACCAAGTAAGTACGAGCTGTCGGCAGACACACCCGATTATACCATGTTCTTTGCTGACCTCGTGATCCGTTCCATGGACATAACAGATAACGGTGTGTACAAATGTAGGCTGGAAAGAGGTGAAACGGTACTCGGCACGTCAAACGGGGAGAGATTGACGGTCGAACAGCGACCAGCAAACCAGTATCCGGTATGCTCGATCCGCACCCTGGAGAACAAGAGAACATTTATCTGCGAGTCGGAGAGGGGAAGTCCGCCGGTCACCCTTCAGTGGTGGAAAGATGGACAACCTCTCGGGCCGTCGAGCGAGCCTGATGATGACTTGGAGGACTTTGTCCAGGCTCGCTTGTTGATGGCGGATGACGAATCAAGCAGAGGAAGATTCGAATGCGCCTTGACATTCAGGGGAGAGCTTACCAGATCTTGCATCCTGGACCGACCAAACGTGACGATTCCAACCACCACGAGGGGACTGAGCATCGGTCAAGAATTGGTCGTTGTCTGCATTACTTCTGGCAATCCCCCAGTGTCTACCGTTGACTGGAACTTTACACCTAATCTTCACTCGTCTGTCAGAAAGGAGGGACACGTGCTGTCGATATTTAACATCAGCTCCCGCGACAATGGAACTGAGATAACCTGCGAGGGACACAATGCAGTTGGCAGCAATCAGGCAAGCACAGTGATAACCTTACGACCACCTGAACCCATAGTGCAGCCAATGACAGTGCGACTTGAACAATCTGAAATTCCGACATCGGTTGACGAACAGGCCCAGTTCAAATGCATTACGACCCCCTTGCGCTCTCCTCCTCCCCCATCTGTATGGCACTACAATGGTCATTACGTCGACCCCTTAAACACCACTGACAGATTCCTCATGGAGGACCGTACGGAGCACGTCCTTTCAGTGTCTGGTGTGTCGACCCTGGATGTAGGAGCCTCGGTAACCTGTCGCATCATGGTCAGTTATCAGCCCAACGCAGAAGTTTTCCTGGAGGTAAGCTTCCCACAAACCACCAAGGCTATGACTGTCGAGCCAACTACCAAGATCACCTATCTCAAGTTGGGGCCTCCATCATCGGATACTTGGTCTCTCAGCACACTGATGGGGTTCATCATCGGAGGTCTGATGTGCTTGGTCTTGGTGGGAGTTTGTTGCTGGGTCTCCCTCAAGGCCAAGACACTCACGTGTGCCACGCAAGACTCCAATAACGTCCGGGAGAATGGTACAGGGACCAGGGCTTCTTGCAACCACCTTAACGATGACTTCGTGGTGGACCTCGGGATACCTCCTGAACTGACCGCCCGTCTAAATATGGCGACAAAGGTCGTGGATGAGGAGGAATCGCCCTACCAGGATCTGGAGGACGTGTCCCGTCAACGGCAGAGCGATGAGTACCAACGTCTCGTCAGCAACGACTTAGCCCATGCACTCACTCCAGAATCGTCTCAACGATGAACTGCTTGTATCAAGTTGTTAGAGATGGCGTAAGTGCCTTCTTTATACATTAAAGAAACTTGGGTCTGAAGGAGGTTTCAAACTTTTAGATGAAGCTGAGTGATTAAATTGATTAAAAATAATTGATTAAAATGATTGAATAGATAACTCTAATAGCTCAGAAAATTGCCTCGAGTTGGACCAAATTCTTGTGTACCACGATGTGCTTCACGGCAACTGTTTCGTTTCAATCAGAAATGGGACTTTGGGATCATCTTACCTCTGGGGAATTCCCTGGGAAAGGTAATGATAAGTTTAGAAATCTTTGGTTGTTTGCTAGGAAGTGATTTAAAAAAGATCGGGTTTTCAACCACTTTGGCATGGTAGCCCGAGTGTTAAAACTGTTAAGTTCATTGTTAATGTTGTGTCAGTACTCTGAGTTGTGTTTAACAACGCTGGTGAACTTGCATACATCTATAAATTGCCTTTCTTGACAGACTTGCAATTGTAAACATGCACAATATAAACCGTATAGTGAAATATCGTATGAGTTCAATGTTTACATTATCTTGGGGGACTTATTCCGACAGATTTGCTAAATTAGACGGATTGGATCGGGCGAAGTAAAAAACAAACAAACATGTTTCTCGTCCCCGCCTGCCTCCTTTTTGGAGGCCGCCTGGATTTTTTTTATTATTTTTTATTTTTGAAAAATGCAGTAAAAAAACACCAAAAAGTCCACAAATTCGGCGGTTAAAGCAAATGCATCTAAAACTGTTCATTGTAAACCAATAGGCTACAACTCTAAATGACACTGTAAATATGTTCAGTTCTCTTGTCCAACTTGTCTTTCATTTTAAAAGTGTCTTTGAACAGTGGAAACACCAACGGTTGCAGGACATTTTAAATGGCGGCCATCTTGAAAAAATAAAATAAAATAAAAAGCCCCTCTTCCTCATTTTTTTTACTTCCTCCTTTTTTTCAAAAACCCGGACGAGAAACATGGTTTTTTTATTCGGACTCATGTATGTTTTTTTTCGCTGTTTCGATTATGACAGGCAATACTTACACGTGTTTTATATAGTTTAAGAGTTGTTTTGCAGAATAGTTTAATTGGCAACTGCCTTTTTTTAAAACTATTTTATGTATGAGTTTCTATGGCTACAAGAGCTTTATACTAAATGTTTGTATGTATACTACATGAAACGGAAACGTTCTGTTTCCAGGGGCGTCGCGAGGGGGGGGGGGGGCAAGTGCGAGGGGGGGAAGGGGCACTTATTAAAAAAGGAAAAAGAGGTGCGAAGCCATATTAGTGTTCATTTGATGGGGGGGGGGGTAGGGCAAATGCTCCCCTGCTCACGCTCGGACAAATGATAAATTCAGAATAAAATGAAAAAGTTAAGGTATTTTGGGGAACAATTTGCTTTACCCCCCCCCCGGAAAAAAATCCTGGCGACGCCCATGTCTGTTTCTTATTCCATTTTTACTGTAATTTAATAGTCCATTGTGCTGGGTAACCTGATAATTTCTTGCATCCTTTTTCAAGGACGATTTTATAGACAGATTCCATCAAAATACGTCGTTTATATAAAGAATTGCAAAAACAAATGGATCAAAAATTAAATTATGTTCCGACAAGCTGTTTTACTATAAAAAAAAAACGAAAGGATCCCTTGAAGTAAAATGGGCGATTAAAAGTTGTGTCCGGTGTTGGACACCTCCATATACTGCTTAACCTGAGAAACACTTTTTAAAATATTGCTTAAAAATCTGCGTTTATACGGGCCATTGTTAATTGTAGTATTTCTTTATTGACATAGTTTTAATCATTAATCAGCATATTAAATACTCGCTGTTATTCTGCATTGTATATTAGCAGATTGCTTACATGTATGTAACTCCAATTAAGTTGCGATAATTCTTGTGTGAAAATCAGCACACTTTACATTAATTAAAATACATGTGCATACAGATCAAAAATCCGACTGCATTCAAACAAGGAAATTTTACGCGAAATTAGAAAAAAATTGATTAAAGAGTAGTTTCAGATTGATTTCGTTACTGATGTGATGTAACACCTGGAAAGAATATCAAGTATCTACACAATTTTTCAACAATTGCAATACTTCAGATACTTATAAATGTGTAAGTACAAATCAGAGTCAATTTAATCTTCGACAAACCATACCATCAGTTTTATCCTGAATATTTTCTGAATATTCTTTTAATTTGACGAGGTTTATAGAAAAAAAAACTTTAATGTGACAAATGAAACAAATAGTGAAAGAGAATGAAATGTATAATGCCCTGAACAAAGAAATTAATAAAATATTATGATTTTCTGCTAACCACGCCTGTGGTGTAAGTACTGATTTATTGTTGTAAACTGTCATTTGACTATTTCATACAGTATTCCATGAATGATTTAGCACCCCACCCTGTCGCTCTATCATAACACAGGTCAAATGTTTAATATCCCGGCTCCCATTGATACCCCCTCCCCACCCCGCACCTTCCAAAAAATATACATATATGGAATGAATAGGGAAGACGGCAATTTCAGCACATAAGTTTTGTTAAATTCAAGATCAGAACGTGCCTGTTAAGGTCCTCAAATGCGGCAACGCCAACGCGGGCGGCTGGTGACTAATGTAAAACCAGTAAAGTCGGGCCAACAATAATACAATGGAATGCTAAAGTTCCAAATGTATTATTGAAATGTCTCAGATATGGAATGCAGCAGAACTGATCGTAGATTTCGAAACAAATTTCCGGGGGAAATGCCCCCGGATCCCCCCCCCCCCCCAACAGATAGGGCGATCCTGAAACTCAAACCCCCTTATATCAATTCCATCCCCACCCCCGTTTCCTGAAAGCTGGATCCGCCCCTGAACGGCGCCTCCGAATGTCGAGTGATGTCCACCCCCCGGTGGTATTGCGCAAGCTCTTGCATTGTGAGAGGGACCAGTCACGTGAGATGATTTAACAAATAAAAGGGAAAAGGAGTCCAAATTCATACGAGTTCAATTTTCATATCACAGGTCTGAAAACAAAAGGTTTCCCATGAAAAAAAATTTCTCTCTAAACGCGACTGTATGGATCAGATCTAATGACATGTGGCTGAACGATTTGGAGTCATCAATCATCATGTGTTTAATATAGTCTTAATACTCGGCCAATCATAATTACCAAGGGCTATTTTACTACGTGCTTTACAATGACTGACACAATTATATCTGCTAATTGTGACGTAAAAAATTGGTTTACAATGCACTGTGCAGGGTGCATGTTAAATTGACCAATCAGTGATAGGAATCCTAATTATGGAACAGGTGCGTCCTCAACGTACATACACAGATGATAATTAAGTAGTTTTTTTTATAAATTAATGACGTCGATGAGATCAGACCAGGTAGAGATAGGCAACCTGATTATGAAAAAATGTGAGTGACAACTCGTACTTTAGCAAAATGAAACAGTATAGGCCTATGGTTGGTTCCAGGATTAACTACCACGAGTACTTCGTCAATTATAATATTGTACTCTCATACACAATGGGTTTTATGCAAACAATGCCGAGACTGAAAACTGTCTGATTTATCAAAACAATGTAACCAAAAAAATGAAAGGTTTTGATCACTTTCGTAGACTGATATGTATGGATATGCAAAATCAAAAGTTTGCACTTTAACCGTGGCGTTAGTGTTACACGATACATCGAGCCCAAGTACAAGCTTCGGCTTTCTGTCAGCCTCCATGCACCACACTTATCACATGATTGTTGTATATACTGTAAATTTTAATTGTACATTATTACAACTTTGATGTTTGAAAAGAAATCAAATCAAATATTATAAGATGGAATTTTGCGTCGGGGTGATATAAATCAAATCATCAATACACCAGATTCGAACCTGCCAAGCGATCCCGTTAGCTCGGTGGTCCAGTGGTAAGACATCTGCACTAGAAAGCAGGAGGTCGTGGGCTCGAGTCCCACCTGAGTGATTTTTTCCAACTTTCACTCGGGAGGTAACACACTGAGTAAGCAGTGTTCAAACGTCGGTGAAGGGCAAAAACCTAATTTGATTTAAATCAAATATGTTAAATGGTGTCCTGCAAACACACAAAGTGCTCACTAATATGAACCTGGCTTTTGCAGTTTTCCACATTTTTTTTCCAATAAAGATCACTGTTCTCCTGGCTATGGCAATTCTAACTAAATGTATCACTTCCGTTGCACTGCCTTCCTATCCTTTATACACCCGGCCTATATGTAATTTTGGCTTGTTTTATATGCACATGCACTTCCCTACTTAACTATTAAGAATATCATAAGATATCACTGTAACCAAACACTATTTACTAACTTGCGCATTTTACAGCTTTATACATTACATACCGAAAAACAAATTTATTTCTAAATTGAATAAAACGTACTTTTTCCCCGTGCACAAAATGTTTCAGCAAAAATTCAATTATATTTGAACGGCGTACATAGGCTAAGCATTATACACAAGCATCATACACATTCGATACAAATATAAAATCCGGGTTGTTTACATTATTCTAAAATCTGTCACGATTATCTATCAAGAACTTGGCATTGTTAACTATTAAAATTTGCTTCTTTTTTCTCGAAGATTACCTTTATCAGCTGTACTTTTCAGTAACAAGTTTTGGTGCTTAAAATTTCTCAAAAAGAAGGCACGTAATATTCCATTTAAAATATGAAATTTACGAAAACTTTCATACCCTCTGCTAGAGGCTATTAAACTTCAGTGCTGTACATATCCAACGCACCATTATAACAAGTAGGCTAGGTGGAGGCAATCTATGTACCTCATCACCAAACAGCAAGTTGAAACGCCTGATAATAACATTCACACTGTGGAAAACGATCGCACCTCTGAACCTATAGGAACCCTCAAGGATTAATTTGAATTAATATAGAACCGTGTTGATTTGAGCTGATTTGTGTTGATTTGATGCTCAATTTAACAAGATTCTGCACAATATTCGACAATTGTATTAACAAAGAAATTGTTCGATACCTTGATCACTGATCGTTTAAACATTGTGTTTAGTGTGTCAAATAATCAAATTTAATCAATTTAATGTTCCTTTCGTGAGGTTTGAAATTACAAGTTAAGATGCTTTCCATAGTGGAAAAGTAAACTGTTGAGAAATCACAGAATCACTTCACTTTGAAAACCGAGGTGGTAAGAAAGTGGTCTGAGAAAAACCGAAGATAGTAAACAGAGTGAAATTACTGACTGGCTTTTGAGAACCACCTTTCCGACTCATAAGAGGTGTTCTTCCACGGCGCTGAACATCTACGGGATTGCATTCCCTACTTTCGTGTTCTGTTCCAGTCTTTGGTGTGTTTGAAGTTTTCAAGTGAAGAGTAAGTCAATCAGTTTGGTGTTTAAATTCGGGTGGAATGTAAACCAGCAAAAATATGCTGAATTGGGATCACATACAAGGTGAGTAAAAAAAAAAAGAATCCAAATGTCGGGACCCCTGTTTTAGTAAAGTTCTGCATGTAGCACTTTCAAAATCTGTAGGATTTGAAAGCCCAAATCATAAGCTTTATTTTAGTACATAAATCATCCAGATCACTCATACACTTATGAAGTTACGGAATTTTAAATACAACCACCGTTTTAAAGTTCTGTCCACGGATCACAAAAAGAGTGTGCGTTCTTTCAGCAAAACGAAAACAATCATACACAGCCCTATGCGATTTGTTTTCGTTTTGCTGAAAGAACACTTACTTTTTTTTGTGTTCCGTGGACACAACTTTAAAACGGTGGTTGTTTTTAAAATTCCGCAACTTGTAAGGTACATAAGTGATTTGAATGATTCTTAATACTAAATGAAAGCTTATGAATTTGGCTTTTATATCCTAGAAGTGCCACATGCAGAACTTCACTAAAACAATGGGTCCGACATTTCGGTTTCTGGGTTTTTTTTTACTCACCCTGTATACCTGCAGTCAGTTATTGTTTTGGAATAGTTTGTGGTTGATTGCAATCACTCCTTGCAACACGACACAGGAGGTGGCATCCAGACGTTACTGATGAGGCGCTGGTAGTCGTTGTGCTGCAGTTGGCGAGACACGTCCTCCAGATCTTGATACGGTGACTCTTGCTCCAGCGAAACCTGTTTGGTCACCAGCGAAGGGGGTGGAGGTAAGGATGTGTTCGGGAACGCTGGACGAGCCATCCCGATGTCAACCATGAAATTGTTCTCATCTAGGCGGATGCAGGAGGCCTTGACGTCCGCACCACTACTCCGGGAGCTCTTGGTGTCTCGCTTGTTCCACAGGAGTGACTTGGCCTTCAGAGCGACCCAACAGCCAATTCCGATAAGGACCAAACACATCAGGCCTCCTATGATGTATCCAAACTGCGACCTGATGTCAAATTTCCACGGATTTGACGAATCGTCCAGTTTAGGCATCAGCGGGACTGATGGTTTGCTGGTCGTGGCTACAGTCATGGCCTCAGTGGTCAGTGGAAAGCCCGTCTTAAGGACAACTTCTGCGATGGGCTGGTAACTGATCGTGATGCGGCAAGTGACCGAGGCTCCTACATCCAGGGTCGAAACACTAGATACTGACAGGACGTGCTCTGAACGATCCTCCACGAGGAACCTGTCAGTGGTATTGGAGGGATCGATGTAAAGACCATTGTAGTGCCATACACAAGGGGGAAGGGGCAAGCGAGCGGGAATCGTAACGCACTTAAACTGGGCCTGTTCGTCAACCGATGTCGGTATTTTGGTTTGTTCAAGTTGGACTGCTATTGGCTGCACTGTGGTTTGAAGAGGTCGTAAGGTTATCACAGTACTTGCCTGATTGCTGCCAACTGCATTGTGTCCCTCGCAAATTATCTCAGTTCCATTGTCGCGGGAGCTCACGTTATTTATCGTCAGCACGTGTCCCTCCTTTCTGACAGAGGCTTGGAGATTAGGTCTGAAGTTCCAGTCAACGGTAGACGCCGGATTGCCAGAAGTAACGCAGACGACGACCAAATCTTGTCCGACGCTCAGTCCGCTCGTGGTGGTTGGAATCGTCACGTTTGGTCGGTCCAGGATGCAAGATCCGGTAAGCTCTCCCCTGAATGTCAAGGCGCACTCGAACCTTCCTCTGCTTGATTCGTCATCCGCCACCAACAAGCGAGCCTGGACAAAGTCCTCCAAGTCATCATCGGGCGTAGACTGCTCGAGAGGTTGTCCGTCTTTCCACCACTGAAGGGAGACCGGCGGACTTCCCCTCTCCGAATCACAGATAAGTGCCTTGCCACCGCGGACTGGCCGGACCGTACATTCCGGATACTCGCTGGAGGGTCGTTGTTCGATCGTCAGCTCTTTCTGGTTGGACTGAAAGTGGACTGTCCCATCACTCTGAAGCCGGCATCTATACAGACCGTTGTCTGCTGTATCTATCGACTTGATCTCCATGAAGGCAAAGAACCCATCACTGTCGAGATCCAAGTGGGATAGCTCGTACTTGGCTGGTGTCTGGAAACCAGGCGTCTCGGGCCACTGGGCCACCGGCTGTCCGCCCTTCGTCCAAACAACGCTCTGCTCGCTGAGATGACAGCGACCGGTACAGGAACAGGTCAGCTCAACGGTGGAGTATCTCACCGGGAATGCATCTTGAACGTTGAGCGACATTTGTACGGTGGCTGATGTTGATGTAGTGCATACAGCGATAGTGAGCAGATTCACAAGAATTTGACTCCAAGCAACAAGCGCCATTCTGGCCCCTCCTTTTCAAACTCAAGAGTCAGCCGTTTTCTTGCTTTATGACTTCACCACTGAACGCTGGCCTTATTAATACCAACCAAACCGGAAACAAGGGAGAATTAAAAGTTGTTCACTTCCTCATAACTAATCCAGATGTTATCTCTCTGAACAAAGAAATAATGCAGTGCGATCGGATTTGTGATTCAATAAACCGCCTAGGCAACTTAAATATTTTTTTTGTAGATTTATGTATCTGTACATCTGCTAGAAGAAATTAGGTTTAGAGCTGGGAGGAAAAACCGAGAAGAATATTCTGATGGGGAAAACCCGCGGAATCAGGTAGGGACTGAAAACCCAATCCACATTGACCCATGCGGGATTCGAACCCGGGTCATAGCGATGGAAGGCGAGGAAAGTACCGCTACATCAACCTGACTTTTTATGATTTAAAAATATAATCTGCTGCATTTTATTTTCTGCAGTCCAGAACAATTTCAGACGGCCCCCCTCACAGCTCGGAATCCCATTCATAATTGCCGTGCCGCCGTGACTTTTCTCCGTTGTCAGAATGTTACAAAAAAATGCACAAAGTGATAAGTTATCATAATCACTCATTCTCACTGAAATAATCTAAGAACCTTCGAATCTCAGAAGCTTGACTGGACAACCCCAGATCTAATGCTCATTGTAGCGGAAACTTGCAATTGATGTCATGAATGATGAACTGGCTCGTGATGTCGTCACAACCCAGGCGTCCCCGACATGACATGACATGACACAGGCGTATAGGTCAATGGCTATTTATAGTCACTAGAGGGCAGTATACAATATCCGCACAGCCGCAGATTTTCAACATGGCGACTGGAGGGGCTGTCAGCGAGAACAATCATGAAATGGAAACGGAGGCAACTCGGCTAAACGGCATCCAAGAAATGCCGAAATCCAACACGGCAGAGTCCAAGTGGGTTCGGTTGAACGTTGGGGGCACGTATTTCCTGACAACAAGGACGACATTATGTCGAGATCCCAAGTCTTTTCTATGCAGATTGTGCCAAGAAGACCCGGACTTGAGTTCAGATACGGTGAGTGTGCGTACATCATATTGGGCGCGATCGGTGGATCTGCGCTATCACTCGATCGCGCAGGAATGCATTTGCGCGATCGGTCGATCCTGTAGGAAATTCCAGTTTTTACTTCCCCTTTTCCTAACATTCCTCCAGAACCGAATTAGAAAGAACACTTGATCATGTTGATCGACTGACATGACTGATGGGAGTGATGCATGGCGGCGCGATCGACCAAGCGACATTATTGATCGACCGACAGCGCAGCGCGATCAACTGATCGTGCAGATCCACCGATCATGCAGATCCACCGATCATGCAGATCCAGCGATCATGCAGATCCACCGATCATGCAGATCCACCGATCATGCAGATCCACCGATCATGCAGATCCACCGATCATGCAGATCCACCGATCGTGCACCAACATCATGTACATGTACATTGTAGCAAGTGTATATTTAGCCCCATAATTAGGCCAATTTACTGGACTACCTCCATAAACATAGGCCACACTTCCACATGTACAAAAACGTGTTGAACTTTGTCAAATTTTAATTTTCACATTTATGCTTAGTTTGTAGGGTTTTTTTTGCTTTAGAAGCATACATGTACTCCCCCTCTTTATAGGCTAATCAGAAAGTGCTGCCTTTTTCAGGTGTCTATTTTTCGTGAAATTTCCAGATTCATTTGCACACGTTTGCATATCAAAATTTCAACATGAAATTTCACAAAAATTAGACACCTGAAAAAGGCAGCAATTAAGAAATTACCTTCACCGTTAAGCATCACCCAATGGCCTAAACGTACTTCCAGAATTAGAAGGCATCTTTCCGTCAGTGTTCTAGCATTGTTATTTTTTTGGGGGGGGGGGGGGGCCAATACGCTATGCTTTTGGAAATGCACTGCCACTTTGATAGACAAAATACCTTTGTCTGGAATTCCAATTCCTGAAACACAAATCCAACTCTTAAATGTTTTGGAGCCATTGACATTTGGATCATGGGACAATTTTTTGTGTGGAAAATCTGAGCTTTTACTCACCAGCCTCGCGTTTCCGATCCGACGAATTAACGGGTCATGCTTCATGTGTGTTTACATACATGTACATTGCGCGTGCGCTGATCTTCGCGTGACCTCAGCAGATCAACTCTACATTCGGCTCGACCATTTGGGATGGAGGGGGAATTGTAGGCTATGCTTTGCATCGCGCAACAGTACATAACGTACGTCATTTTTGCACGCTGAATACACTGCGCCCTATCGTTACAAGTTGTCAGTTTTGGTGGACTGTTTTTAAATTTGACAAAAAAGAGATGAAAAGATCCATTACTTTTTACAGCCTCTGGCATGTCAGGGGAGATTTTTTTCTTCTTGAGTTTCCTAAATAGGCCTAGCCGCCCAATGTTAGGCCAGTACATGTATACATTTGGGAAAGAATGTTGCATCCTGATGCCACATTTTTCATCATATAAAAATCCCAATGAAGGTCAGTCACTGCAAAAATGTTGAAAAGACATGAATCTGGGACTGAGAAACATTTCCAATTTTGTTAGAACTAATAGAAGATACTTAAGAAATATGCACTGGACTCTCCAATATCCATAGACTTTGTACACAACTGAAGAATTGAAGTCTACGAGTACATTCTTTCCGTATTGTGTTAAACGATTAAAATCCAACTGATTATTGATGTAGATTTAATTAATCAATGGGCATGGCTCTGTGAGACATTTTTAAAAGGGAAATGTGCATGTACATGTAGGCCTACAATGTATACATGTTCTTGGCTTTGTGGGCTAGATACACTGTGAAGGAAATATTTTTTGACCTTAGTATTTTTCCCTGCAAAGTAGGGACATGTATACATGTACAGTCGAATCTCGTTAGTACAAACTCTGTTAATTAATACAAACTTCTGGTTATAACAAACATAAAGCCTTAGGCCCTGCTGTGCATTTTTGTGCACAATGAATGGGACTGATGTTCCTCTTAATACAAAATTCTGATATAACAAACAATTTGGCTATGTCCGAACGAGTTTGTATTAACGAGACTCGACTGTACATTGAGTTTTATCTGAATTAGCTAAATGTTATACATACATGTACATGTGTACATGCACCAGCTAAATGTTAGCGCTTTCCACTCATCACCCAAAAAGCTATTTCGTCTTACATGCAAGTCTACAATACATGCAAAACCACTTGTATACAAATGTACATGTAGTACATGTCAAACAATATGTACTAACTTACTATGGCCTGTTGGATCTTTCAGGTTTAACCTACATGTAGCATACATACTGTACATTGTACATCGTGAAATATTTGGCCTACCGGTAGGACTCAGCTTCCTGAACTGTCCAAAACCAAGCACTGCAATAAACCAAAATCCAAATTGAAAAGTGCAGTTTGCATATTAACAAAGTATTTTTTTTTACATGTAGGTGTACTAATGCAATATTTAAGAAGTTCTTAATGGAGGCTTTTATGGAAGTCTGGTTGCGAAAAATGTCAAACCACTCTCAAAAAGAGGTTTCTATTTTTTTTGCTTCTGGGAAAGTAGTCACCATTGTCCTTTCTGTATAAATCAGGTGTAATTTTTCCTCAGATCTGCTGATTTCCTGGGTTTTTTATTTCTCATAAATGCCATTACAAATTGAAAAATACTGTACAAAATCTTGTGGGGTTTGGATTTTTTTTTTTTTTTTTTTAAATGTTGCATGCCTGTAGTTCAAAAAAAATGTATTTTCAGGTTTCTTTTCAAAGTAAGTGCTTCTAAATAGGCATCCAATAAAGAAACAACACAAGAAGTGCTGTTTGTTTGTCAGTTCTTTGTAAGAGTTGGTTGGTCATTTGGAAAATCCCCCACAAATAGTGTTTGTATGCATTAGGCTTTTCACACCTCCCAACCTGGGTTGAATGCAACCCGGGTTGAACTCAACCCTGGGCAAACCCAGTGCTGCCCCAGGTGGATTTTTAAAAATTTTTCAACCCCGCATTCAACACTTCATCGTTTCACACTTGTTTCACGCAAACTGAGCTTATTTCGCTTGGTTACTATTGTTTTGAACCCTGGCGAGAGTTTCAACCCGGGTTGAAATCTCAACCCTGGTCTGGAGCAGGGTTGAGACCTTTCAACCCAGGGTAAAATCAATCTCAAGGTTGACGCAGGGTTGAAGAGGTTCAAGTGTGAAACGCTGCATGTTATTCTGTCTGTGAAGTTTGCAAGTGAATCCTGGCTAGTAGGCTTAATCTACCGTCCGCCGTCGTCAACTGCTTCTTACTGGCCGAAGCTCAGAGATGTTCTTCAACATGTAAATATGGACGATTTTGACGGATGCCTCGTTTTGGGCGACTTCAATGTTGATTTTAAGTCATCTGAAAGATCGAGTCCCCATCGCACTAGACTGTTGGAGATTTCGTCCGACTTCTCTCTTGAACAACTTGTCACCTCTGTTACACATCCTACTCATCCTGACAATTTATCTGTTGGATCCACTATAGACTTGGTATTCTCCAATCGCCCTGACCGCTTTGCTTCCATCTCTACCGGCCCGAGTCTCATCACATCTGACCACCTGGCTGTACACATTGTGTTTCGCTCCAATAAACCTCCACCTAGACCAGCTCTTCTGCGTTCTTTTTTACAGTTTCACCGTGGGGATTTTGGGCACCTTGGTACACTAATCCACCTCATACCCTGGTCTGCATTCTTGGACCCATCTGATCTCAACTCATCATGTGAAACTTTTATGGATCTTCTTGACGCCGCAGTACGGGACTCAATTCCTTCCACAACAAGGCGTAAGACAAGATTTACACCTTGGATCACCACGGAACTAAAAAAACTCATCAACAAAAAGCATAAGCTATTTAGATTTGCTCGTAGATCTGGTTTGTTAAGGGACTGGCAATTGTACAAAATCACTCGTAATATGGTTAAGAGTCAAACTCAGAAAGCTTATTGGAAATATATAAATGACATGTTTTCCTCACTTGATAACAGGCGAAGGTTTTGGTCTTTTGTCCGTAGTCGTAAACAATCCCCACCACCTCCTGTATTCACTCATAACAATGTTAAATTATCTCAACCTGGTGTTATTTCATCCGCTTTCAATGCATACTTTTCCTCTGTGTTTAACCCTGATGGTATGGTTCCCAATGACCCATCTCCTTGTTCACTACCATTACCTGGTCTTTCAGAACTGTATGTGTCTGTAGGTAAGATTAATTCTATTATACGTAATCTACCCACCAACAAATCTCCTGGCCCTGATGGCATTATTCCTGGTATATTAAAGAAGATTTCTTGTCAAGTATCCATCCCTCTGTGCTTGCTGTTCAACACCTCTCTAAGCTCAGGAAAATTACCCGATGCTTGGCGATGTGCAAACATTACCCCCGTTTTCAAAAAGGGTGATAAATCCATTCTGTCGAACTACAGACCTGTTGCACTGACATCCGTTCTGTGTAAAATTCTAGAGCGTGTTGTTGCGGCTGCTATAACAGATCACGTTGGTATGTTTGGGTTGTTGAACAGCAATCAACACGGCTTCACAAAACGCCGAAGCTGTGTTACCCAACTCGTCAATGTTATGCATCAATGGGCACTGACTCTTGATGTTCCACGCCCTCCCCGAATTGACGCTGTCTTCCTAGACATGTCAAAGGCATTTGACAGGATGCCACACCATATCCTGCTTAGTAAACTTTCATCGGTTTACAACATCCAGGGTGTGGTCTGGCGTTGGGTCAGATCATTTTTGACTGGCAGGAAGCAACGTGTTCTTTTCCAGGGTAGTGTTTCCTCATGGGTCAGTGTTTCGTCTGGTGTTCCTCAAGGTAGCGTTCTTGGACCCACCTTATTCAACCTGTTTGTCAATAGCATTCCCGACTGTGTCTCCTCTAGCTGTGTTCTGTTCGCTGACGATGCTTTGCTCTTCCGAGTCATCCGGTCGGTTGAGGATGAGTTCCAGCTGCAGAACGACTTAAATAATATGCAAGACTGGTGTTTAAATCATGACATGCTCTTCAATACAACCAAAACTAAGGTTATGCACGTCACCAGAAGCAAAAATATCCATCCTCCAGTTTACACACTTGGTGATGCTGCCCTGTCCACAGTTACCTCTATTCAATATTTAGGTGTCACTATTAGCTCCAATCTTCAATGGAATTCCCATATTGACTCACTTGTCTCACGTGCAAATCGCCTCCTGGGTTTCATCCGTACTATTGCTGGCGGAGCATCAACTCAAGCCATATTCTGCCTTTACAAATCTCTGATCCTGCCTATCCTGGAATATGGCATTCCAGCGTGGGGTACTCACACTCTCTCTCAACAGCAAAAGATTGAGCGCGTACAACGCACTGCCACCCGCATTGCTTTGAAACAAAGGCGCGGTGAAATGTCATATGAGGATAGGTTGGGTCAGTTAAACTGGTCTTCTCTTTCATCTAGAAGAGATTATTTACTTTGCTCTTTTGCTTTCAAATGCTTATCTGGTGTTTGCAGGTGCGAGTCGATCAACGACAATGTTTTCATAAATGCACGTCATCCAGAATCCCTTACCTTCCGTCATCTGCCTTCTCGTACACAAGCTTTATATCATTCTCCTACTCGTTATCTTCCCAGACTTTGGAACCAATTTCCACCCCATATTAGGGATTCTGCAGTACTGGACACTCTACCTGTTTTCCTTAGGAATCTTCGGCAATTACTTTTCTCAGACAACTGATTTCATTATCCTCATTAGTGTTTTCATATACATGTACTTGCTGCATTTAATTGGTGGGGACTTTCACATGACTTTCACATGATTTGGGTTTCGTTGCATTAGTCTTCTTGCTTGCGTGTAATTTGTAACAGGGGCCAGTTTTTTTTTTTGCTGTTTAATATTTTCATTATTTTCTTGTACCTTGTTTTGTTCTTGTCTGCGTTTGTCTGCTTAATATGTGCGGGGTTACATACCTGTGGGTAATAGTAATTAAATTTACTTTTGTGACCCCTGACCCACATATCGTCTTTTTATATATTGTCTTCGGATGTTTTCATTTCATTTCATATTATGCGTTGTTTTGTGGCCCCTACACTTACACTTACACTTATACAGTGTCATCTTTTGTGTTTATTTTGTTTTATTTTGTATTTCGTAGCTTTCATACATTTTTGTTTAGTTTTTGTGCTTCATACCGTGTTTGTTAATTGTGTATTGTTTTGGTCGAATAAATAATAATAATAATAATAATAATAATGTTGTCAACCCTGCGTCAACCCTGCTACAACCCCGAGATTTGTCTAGTGTGGAAGGCCTGTGCATGGTTACCCTTGCACAATGGCAACTTTCTACTAGCTTAGTGTATGTATGTATGTATGTATGCGAGTACACATGTACATGTACATGTACACAGGTGTACGCGATATACACGAACCTGCCTGGGCTAGGAGACAATGAGTGAGGCACTGATAATGTCAAGGTATGCCCGTAGCAACAGTGACCAACATTTTTTTTCTTTCATCTCGCTTTTGCTTTCCCGTCTCCCCTTTGTGGATCGTGGGCGTAAGAACAATCACCGCCAACTAGGACTGACCGTAGCAGAAGCAGCAATTTGTTTTTAAATGTCAGCTTGAATTGTTGTTTTGAGCAGGCCAAATGAGAGCCATATTATTATACACATGTGCCATACCTGTACATGTGTAAACAGAGAGTGAATTTACGGTCGAATATTGGTCATTTTTGTACTGGTCATTTACCATCTGTTTCAAATATGTTTAGAATATATATATTTTTTGCCTGAGTAATTTTGCCCACTGTAAATTATAGCCTATACATATAAAACAAATATGAAAAAAATAAATTTCTTTGTGTATTTTCAATATTTGTTTTCTCTATCGGTGATCTTTGCTTTTAATTAATTCTGACAGAATTAGTCCTCAGAATTAGTGATCAGATTTCTCTTTGAAGCACCGTACATGTACATGAACACCGGTACATGTACATGTCTGCATACAGTGACTTATGCTGCTGAGCCTAGTGGCAATTTTAAATTTTCATCTTTTTTTTATTATTACACTGAATTGCTCAAATGAAACATTGATCGTTCCCTGAGCACTTACCGTGCATGCATTGATGAAACAAAAACAGATGTGTTCCGTCACTTCTTGAAGTGCATTTTCAAGTTGGTGAATGAAATTGACACTTGCATGTGACAATGCAAAAAGTTGTTTGCGTGATTGTCAGGAAATTTTTCGTGTCCGATTTCAACCTCGTTATGATTCTTCATTGCACTTTACTATTTACATGATTTACATGTACTTGAAATAGCTCATATGTGGCAGGTGATGTAATGTAGATGGGCTCTTTTCATTCTTTGATGCCCAAAAAGTCTCATTTGGCAATAGTGATTCAGATTTGGTTATACTAGACCAAGACCAGTGCCACATTAAAACATTCCTATTAGTTTGAGTTTAAATAAATTGTACAGTTGAAAAGATTAACCCTAATCCTCTTGAACCCCCTCCAAAAACCTCTTGGCAGTTTTTGGAGGATTGTGGATGAATGGTGTTTGAGAAACATGAGGATTTTAGAGGATTGAGGGTGAATGGTGTTTAAGCACATGAGGATTTTGCATTTTTAAAGGCAGGACTGTCGGATGATTTTGAAGGATTGAGGCACTGGGTATCCTTCATTTGAACACAACATTGTAGAGGATTTTGGAGGATTGAGGATGGTTTCTAGTAAAAAGGGCCTAGGGAGTTAGGGTTAATTTTTTTTTCATCATTCTCAATTGAAAATCAAACATTGCTGTGATAGTGTAAGAATGAACATCTTATTTAGTGAACATGGTGAAGTGAGACTTCCAATGGAGCATATAAATAATTATTTTTCAGATAAAAAAGAAGGGAAAAATGTCAAGTTCAGCCATTAAAAGCAGTAGACCGTTGATTTAACCCTAACCTTCCCAAATTCTCCATAATCCTTTTTGCAAATGGAGGTCTTGGGCCGGACCTTGTGTTGTTTATGCTCAGCTGTGCATTCAATTTTTGCCTAGATTATACTTGAAATCCTCCGCACTGCTCCAGGATGTCACTGGCTCTGCCTCAACATATTGACAGTGATTGCTGGAGGATTTTGCAGGATTGAGGCAGTGGTCGCCCCTCCAAGGACCATTGCAGGATTTTGGAGGATTGAGGCTGTATGCTATTTTTACATGGAGGCAGTTGGAGGAGTTTGCAGGATTGAGGTTGCATCCTAGCAAAAATGCCTCTAGGGAGTTAGGGTTAAATATTGGGGTAAATTCAGTGACGCAAGTACGGTACGTGTCAGTTTTAGTGTTTTTCAAGCTTCATGAACTGCTACGGTGTACATGTTTCACTTTATGTTCATATTACTACCAGTATATTACTCATTTCCTTCATCCCTCAAAAACAAAACAAACTCAAAGGTACATGTGTTGACCTCACACTTGGCAATAAAAAGCTGTTATTTTTTGCAGTTCAGTGTTGATGGTAGTCGGTGCGGCCTTGTCAAGGTGTGAATTTCCATTATGATGCGGGTTGCATTGTGTTCATTGCCGCTTCCGCTGGTCTACCGTAAAACAACTACATGTAATTAAATGGACAGATGATTCAGTCTGCAAAATATGGAAGCTGCAAATACGCAATGAACACAAACAACACAATGAACAATGTATGATACAATGGAATACACACGTGTACTTACATTGTATACCGGTACATTAATACAGAAAGTAGGCCTACTGTACATGTAAAAAAAAAATTTTAAAACACGTAAAAAACAACAACCTACAGGTTTATGTTTAGTAATTTACATGCATAAAATATTACTTTGGCCTTCACCAACATACATGAACAGTGTATTGTCCATGTACAAAGTGAAGGCAAAACATTGAAATTTGCATCCCCTATGCAGATGTCCTTTAATTAAACATAAAAGTCAATTTGAAGAGTGAAGCTTGCTGCATCCAACAGGATCCAAAAACACTGCTCAGAGCAATAAATTCCAACAAGAATTGTTTCAGTTGGTACTTGTGAGATCCAGTAATGTTAGGGTTAATTTGACATTAGGTACATGTAGCTTCTCCCAAAAGTTCCAGCATGATTAAACAACTTGCAAGTGTAGAAGCTCTTGCCGCGGCGCCTTTGCCAGCCCCGAGCACCAGGGGCGGGACATAGTACCAATTAGGGGGCCCCACTACTATAAAAAATACATGGAATACCATATGGCTTTTGCCATGGGGGGGGGGGGGGGGGGGGCGGCAATTGTTTGCCGGGGGGGGGGGGGGGGGGGTCAGCCCCACCGGGCCCCACCAGGCCACCCCTTGGCAATGGGCCTGCCTTGCCGTGTTGCAAGAAGTCTTGCATGAAATCGATCAAAATGATCCCTGTCATGACAAATGCAATTGGTCAATTTTCGGGACAGACCGACCGACCGACAAGTGACATGTAGAAGCTCCTACCAGAGCTTAAAAAAGAACTGCTCATGAACTTCATTTCAAAGAATGCCCTTTCTTGTTTTTCTCTTGGCAGGATGAGACTGGTGCCTATTTGATCGACCGTGACCCGATGTACTTTGGGCCTGTTCTAAACTACCTGAGACACGGCAAACTAGTGTTAAATAAAGACCTGTCTGAAGAAGGTAAGATAACACATTTCCCCTGTTGCCCCATTGACTTGTTTTATTGAAGAAACAAAACTGTTGATAAATTGTCGATGTACTGCATCAAGAAATACTTGGCCGTTTATAAATTCTGAATAATATTTGAACTACAGGTATTTCCAGAGACATTTTCAAATTATTAAAGCCACATACGAATAGCTGGAAAAGTTATGTTATGTTGGTCTATTTTTTTCCCCTTGCTACCTGTCTTAAAAAAAAAGTTACTCCCGCTTGTTCGTGGTGTTTAAGTTGTCAAGTGACCCATGTAAGATTTCTCAATATAGCAAAATTAAATTTGATTTTATACAAATTTAACAATTGTCTGCTCAAAGTTATTTTTTTCAGTGCATCCTGACATGTAAGGATTTCTTGCTTCGCAATAGTTTGGGGTGTTGTTTACAATTTTAATCTTAATTTAATAATCCCCTACATATATACTGGTATAAAGCCTTTTGATAGATGATTAATAAACAATGAATGATAATGATAATAATTGTATTCATTGTTAACAGGTGTTTTAGAAGAAGCTGAATTCTACAATATCACGTCGTTAATAAAGACCGTCAAAGAGAGAATAAGAGATAGAGATACACGCACAGCACAGGTACACAAACTTCCTCAACAATTCAAAACCTTTTTCAAAATTCACCTTTGTGCTCATTTTACTCCATTTTCCTGTCTTCGTATTCCATCTCTAAGCGAGCTTAACGACCGTTTATGGTTTTGATGCTCATGGAAATTCTATATTCATGAACAAAAAATGTTACTTGTACTTTGTTAGAACATTGTTACAGGTACTAATGAAGCATCTGAACCTGCCAACATTTTCCGTATTTTTCGCTGTGGTCAATTCACTATTTTGTTATTTTGGTCTTTTTTGGCATAAATTCTATTTCACTGTATGTATAAATTTTCAGTCAGTTGATTCCGATGTCCTTTTTTTATCTACACAGGGTTCCTTAAAGCATGTGTATAGAGTATTACAATGTCAAGAAGAGGAAATCACGCAGATGGTATCCACACTGTCCGATGGTTGGAGGTTTGAGCAGGTAAGAGTACAGCCGCCATCTCAAAATGGTTCCTTTATCTCCTTGAAGTACATGTATTCTGGGGAATTTTCTAACTTGCATTCATGAACCTAAATTGCACAAGCCAGCAAGAAAGGACACTCACGAAGAAGCTGTGCTGTCTGAATTTTCCTTGGAACTGTATTAAAAAACTGCCAATTTGGAAGAAAACTGAATATGAAATCCACACAACACTTTGGTCCAATAGTGGTGTCGAACCCTGACAGGGAACATTGTGTCTGTGTTCTTGGGCAAGACACTTTACTGCAATTGCATCTCTCCACACAGGAGTGTAAATGGGTGCATTGTACCTGAGAGGTAGAGACCAGATTGCGCTGACCTCGAGCTGCTGCAGGAAAATGGTCTCATGACCAGAAAAAAAAATGAATGCGAAGTCCACACAACAAGTGATCCAATACTCTGGTCGAACCCTGATGGGGAACATGGTGCTTGTGTTCTTGGGCAAGACACTTTACTACAATTGCATCTCTCCACACAGGAGTGTAAATGGGTGCATTGTACCTGAGAGGTAGAGACCAGATTGCGCTGACCGCAAGCTGCTGCAGAAAAATTGTCTCTCAGCCAGAAAAAAAAATGAATGCGAAGTCCACACAACAAGTGATCCAATACTCTGGTCGAACCCTGATGGGGAACATGATGCCTGTGTTCTTAGGCAAGACACTTTACAACTACATCTCTAGACCCAGGAGTGTAAAAGGGTACATTGAACTTGAGAGGGTAGAGACCTGATTGCGCTGACCTCGAGCTGCTGCAGAGAAATGGTCTCATGGCCTGATGAACAGGGGTACTAATTTATGCTAGTTTCCTGTGGCAAATGCACCAGTTTATTATCATAAACTTTCTTTTGAGAAAATGGAAAAATGCCAATGCTAACTACGACGGTAACTCGCTGAAAGGAAACCAGAGGTGAATCACTGCGGATGTATCATTCACTACTAAGATGTTCCTGACAGGCACAAGTACATGGATATGTCTACAGCCAATTTGAAGAATGACTTATACAGCACATACATGTAACACATACATGTACATGAAGCAGCTGCATTATGTTACTGCCATGTACATGTACATTATAATTGAATACACATTGTGAAGCATATCATATTTTGACCTCGAGTGGGTGAAAAGTGTTTTGTCTACACCCTTATACTAACTTATACTCTACACTACACAGGTTTCTTGTGAAAACCGAAGGCTTGGTTTTGTTCCAGTGTGGCTATTCCGAAAACAAAATTACCTTTCATCAAAGGCAGCAATTGTTTTCGTGGCCAGACCGTAGATTGCGGGAAGAGTGCCAAATTAATGAACACAACGGCTGAGAAATTGCATTATTTACAGTTGACGTTCTGTGCATCCATAGTTGCTTCAGTTGATACTCATTTAATTGTGTGTACACGTATGCAATTGTAACTTCACTCCTACGGTGGTGAGCACTGGAGGTATTTTTAGATTGTAAAGGGTGTCCCGCCCAGTCCCCCTGAGTCCTTGTTTCAGACTTGAGGTGTTACCCCTTGACTACTTGGTCATCGCAAACGTGGGAGGAGGGGCTTTGGGAAAAGAGGGAGAAGCACGTGCCTACGGTAAATGTCGTTGTAAATTTCCCCTTGGGCATGTACATGTACACGTAAGTGTACGTGTATGTACATGTATATACACATCTTGCCTACATGTACAGGGTGTCGAAAAAAACACGTAGCAGTCAAACATCATTGTTTCTTAGGACACTACATTGTTTTTTTTTCTTTGGGTACAAAAAATACCATGAGATGAGTGTTTCTTTACCCAATGGCAGTATTTTTGTTCTGTGTGATTTGGACCTTTTGTTTGAAAAGTACGGCGAAGTTCGTAAAGACAGTAAAAATCTGTTTGGGCCACTTGCTTCACCTTTTTGGTATGTGAATACCTTTCATTTACATACATACCGGTAGAAACCAAGTGGCCCACCGTGGAATTCAAGTCATTTTATTCAAGTAGCTGTATCTCTGGACTGGGGTGTCCAAATGAGACGGGATAAAGACCATTGTGTAGAGTATTTACTATATTTAAACCTTCAGACTCTATAGATAAATGTTGCAAAAAAATTGCTTGTACTTATTACATGTATTAATGTTTATGGGTTGACTGCTACATATTTTTGGAGACACCCTGTGCATGTACATGTATGTTTATATGTACATGTACATGTACATGTAAATGGTACAATAGTGTACAAATACGTAGAATGTGCAGCCATAAACAATTACATGAACATGTACATCGCGTGTTCATGAAAGTCAGGCTGAAAAAAAATGCTCAATTGAATCTGTCACTACGCTCCCCTCAACCAAATGCACGTGGATGTGATAACAAACACAGTATCGAAAGCACGATGAAGAACCTGGATTTCCTTATCCAAAAACAAGTACAAACAACAGTTGGATTCATCGCACTTTCACTCTGCACTTTCACATGTTATATCAGTCAAGTCCAGCACTCCACATTTCCTGCCTGGCCCATTCTGTCAAACAGGAAGCCTTTCCATTACATGAATTAATACATCAAACTCTACCATTACATACATGTAAATTACTGTACATGTACTTCCGATAAATTTTCATAAAATTTTTTTCTTGCATAGGAACCTCCCTGAGCATTTAGCTGCATAGACCCTACATATACCTGAATCCTCAACATTCCACCATTGTGCAAGGAAATAAATGCACCTAAGTTTACTTTAACTTTTGGAAGGGGGCATCAAACCCAATTGAATCCTAACCTTCCCAAATCATCCTAAAGTGTAAGTGTACATGTACATGTACATGTAGGATTTCAAAGGATTGGGGCTACATTGGTGGCAAAAAATGTTAAGCTGATTTTGGAGAATGTGTCGAGGTCTTACAATGTTTTAGGCCGAACCTTGTGTTGTTTATGCTGAGTCGTGTATAGATTTAGGCCCAGATTATATATTTGTACTTGAAATCCTCCACTTTGCTCCAGGATGTCACTGGCTCTGCCTCAACATATTGTCAGTGATTGCTGGAGGATTCTGCGAGATTGAGGCAGTGGTCACCCCTGAAATATGTCCAAGGAGCACATTCAAGACATAAAGGGTGATTTTAGAGGATTGAGCTGTATGCAATTTGTGCACGGAGGCATCAAAATGCCCAGGGAGTTAGGGTTAAAGGAATAGTGGCTCGGTCCTACCTTCCTTTGCAGCAAAAATCCTTCCAAACCTCCAGGTGGAATGTGCACAATTGGGGGACCAGGTTTTGCTGTGTTTCTGTGGATGCTTGTATCTCAAGTATCTAAAGTTTTCCGGAAAAGCAAATAATAAAACTTATACATTTTGTCATAAAAGCACACACTTGTGTTTTGGTTTTGTTACAAACTTCATACATGTACATTAATTTCTATTTGTATCGTTAATGTTTTTGTTTGTTTGTTTGTTTTTTAGCTGATAAACATTGGCTCATCTTATAACTATGGCAACGAGGACCAATGCGAGTTCCTGTGTGTGGTATCCAAGGAACTAAACAACACCGACGCAGTCAATATGGCCGAACCCACGGACAAGGCAAAGGTTGGTGATTGCTTTTTTACCAATTTTTTTTTTTTTTTTCAGGAAATGGCAGCTACATCCCCTACTTTGGTTTCATCTTTTGCTTTCAGAATCGTTTGAAGCCATAAATATCCAAAACAATTGAAATACTTCCCCCTGTGTCCTTGTAGCTGATGTGCTTTCCTGAAGCTAAAAAAAGTGGAACCAAATTGAGCAGAAGTCCCTCAATTCAGGGTCCTAAAATGCTAATGCAGTTGGTTTTTTTTAATGAGTTTTGTAACTCACTAGGGCAAGTTCAATTCAGGACAAAGTCAACTAGTGGTTGATTTGTGATGTACATGTTACTTACATCTGGGCACTAACACATGTACAGCGTGTGAACCTCTCCAGTCAAAGGATAAGTGTCATCACAAAAGTTCTTGGTCCTGACTCCATTCTGTGCATTATAAGGCTGGGAGGAAGAGCAGTTTTTTTTCCAACTGATGTGGCCACCCTGTGCAATATATCAGAAAAAAAATAATGAAGATGCTTGCAGCTTTTGTAAGCAGCGATGCAACCGACTTTGGTATGCTGGTCCCAATCAGTCAGCTAGACTAGTCCAACTTTTGTCGACTAGTGTGGAATCCAGCAAAGAAATTCGAACTAATGCTCACTTGAACTTGAATCAGTATTTTTTACTTTCATATGTTGCAGATATTGCAAGAACGGGCATTCCGGTTGCGAGACCACAGGTCATAGGACAAGGTTCAGGGGTCAAGAGGTCAGCTTCTTTAATCAAGTTTAGTTTTGCTCCGTTGTTTATTGGTCTTCAACCTAACACAGTTTGCCTTGTGCGTTGTTTTTTTTCTTTAGGTGGGCTGTAACTTTTCCTTTGCCATTCTCTTCATTCTTTTTAAAAAAGCATTATTTATATGTTACAGTGTATGTTTATTAAGTCTTTTCTGTAATAGCTATGGTGTTGTGTCACAGTTTGTGACGGTCTGTGTCAGTTTGTCACAGTGTTTCACAGATTGTCACAGTTTTGATGCTGCTACTATCGTGACTATTCATGTGATCCCTGGGCACACAACGTGTATGGGCAGTGTGGCTTCTGACTATTATCCCGAGAACAGAGATGTTGACAAATTTGGAAATGCCAAAATAAGGCCCAATACGGCTTTGTCCGTAATTGAATTCTAGAGCTACATGTACATGTACATGTACATGTAAAGCTATGTCTTTTTTTATCATGTGCCCAGGAGTTTTAATTATCAAAGTGAGAGACAATGGGCTCTGTGTGCCAACGAAAGAGGGCGCCCTTTTACCTAGCAATGACTTCCCATGGGCGGGACATTTAGCAGGTCGACGCGCACCGTTCCTTGTGTGTGACGCACGTACCGGTACACCAGGGGATTTGTGCTATGAACACACAGTGGTACGGCCGCGCGTCGCGGCATAATTGCAGTCAGGCAAGATGGCGTCGGTCGGTCACCCCCAACTGTACTTTCTTTGCCTGTGAGGGGGTACTTGTGAACGGAGTAGGATAGCCCTAGATGAGAGATTCAGACCTAGCAACTCTGTGTTCGTAGACCTCCACCACAGGTAATAAGGATGTCCCATTTTCGAATTCATCTTCAGTTAAATTTTCTTTGTTCAACTTTGAATGTATTATAAACTTATTTTTGTCATGTTGTATTGTACATTTAAGTGAATGGGATACTGCCTTACACACCAGAAAAATTGAATGCATTTTTTTGTGATGAGATAGGAATTGAAAGAAGTAAATTGCATTACAGATTAATTTTGGTTTTAGTTATTGTGATAAACAAACTTGAATATCTCAAGTTTGAGATTTTTTTTGGGGGGGGGGGGGGGGGAAGTAGTGGAATTGATGCACACACTTTAGGTACATGTATGTATGGGGAATTTATGCACAGTTCGATAGATTTTTCCGGTGTTTTTCCAAACCGAAATCATTAAAATCTTTCAAATCTGAATACATGTGAATTGTACACCCTGTACTTTATATGCATACAATACGCACAACGTTCTTGTGGGGCCCCACGTGAGTCCAATGATTTCAGGGACAAACCATTTCTGTGGGGACATTTTGAAAGTCCCTGCAAACCGAAAGTACATGTACATGTACATCTCTGTATTTCGTGTGCATTTTTACGCCTCTACCAAACACGTTTGTCGATGTTAGAAGTGATTGTGTTATTTTGTATACTCTGTGATTCTACATGTACGTAGTTATTTTTCATTCTGACCTGCGTATGATATAGATGGAATGCATGTGGTCATAGAGGCTTCAATACAGTAACTGATGTGGTTTTAATTACTATGCAGACAAATTTTGTGCCATACTTTGTAGCGTAGACTTTTTTTGGTGAGGCAGTGTTTTTTGTGTGTATGGTGCACAAGTGGTATGCACTAAGGGCAATTTTCACCGGCAAGTTGTAGGCATTTGCAAGTGACAGGAACCGTTCATAAAAATGAATAAAAATTTTCCAACAGTTTATGGAAGTTCCGGAAAGAATGTAGTATCCAGACGCCACTTTCTTGGTTGTGTAAAAAGTGTATGGAGAGTCGAGCGCATTTTCGGTGTATTTTCCAACATTTAACATTTGAAATGTTTCTGAGTCCCAGATTCATGTCTTTGTGACATTTTTGCAATGACTGACCTTCATGGACATAATAATATGATGGAGAAAAGTAGCGTCAGAATGCAGCATTCTTTACGAAGTTCCTAAGAACATTGCTGGAAATTAAAAATTTTCTGTCATCTTTACCTTGGAGGACTCCAGCAAGTTGCTTATAACGTTGCCTGGGGTGACACGGGCCTAATATTTTTTTTTCGTGGGTGTGCAAATAACGTTTAATTGTTTAAATTTAACTTCATTCAGTAAGTGGATTTGAAATTGCAAGCACTTTCTCACCGAAGTAAGATAGTTGTGTTTTGGTTGGTGCAATTTTGTTTGTTTGCTTTTTCATCTTCATTTCGGGTGATAGTGATGAAAGAGCAAGTATGAGAGCAGTGTACATAACTTAGAATTTTTTTAGTAGAAACAAAAACTAATCTTTGGAAATTCTGTTAAAAAAAGGTAAAATAGTTTGCACTGGTAGTCAGTGATGTACATGTAGTTGAGACTGGTTTGAAAACTTGTTTAACAGCAGGTTTTTTAATTCCGTTTTTTGATTTTCGAGGACTTCAAGAATACTTTCTGCTGTTACTACCTCGGTCTTGTTCCTAGACTCGACTACAACATTGCTCCATTCATTTCCCATTGGCATGTGTACAGTTATGACTAAAAGTACATGTAAGTACCCGTAGCGCACCACTCCAGAAATGTTCGACCTGGGGTAATTTCTGTCATCCTCGCTTATTTTTCGGGGAACCTACAGGACTTTTAATTATAACTGTACTTGGACGTGTACGGTAGCATGAACAAAATAGTAAGGATGTAATTTAGTCAGGGTACTGAGTATTGAATACTTTCGGCTGTTGTTGTAGGGGTCTGCCCGATGTTCCCCAAAACCTATGTTCCCCAAAACCCTTAGGGTTAAGGTTAGGGTTAGATGGTTAGGGTTATAGTTATGGTTGGGGAACATAGGTATTGGGGAACATAGGTATTGGGGAACATAGGTATGCCCCCGTTTGTAGTAGTGCAGCATTAGGTTACTGGGGTTTTCAAGTTGGGTAACATATTTTTTTTCAGAAGAAGAATAAGATGTGAGAATCTTTTAATTTTATGGTTTCTTGTGCTTTCTCTATCAGGTTGTGAATAAAATTAAGCTAAAACTTTGGAATAACTATTTCAAAATAAACAATTAAGATCTAAATTTAAGCTTTTGTGCTTGCTCTAACCTGTAGATGTGGATTGGGTTATATACATGTAGTTAATTTTTATGAGCCAACTTTTTTGAAAATCCTACGATGATTTTGTTTAGTAGACAGTTACTTGGACCTACATTTGTACTCATTACAAATGTTAATGAGCACTGTAAGGGGCCATGTGTACATATTTTGTTTTGTTTTACATCAGAACACGGCAGTGCCAAAGCAATACAAATTTCTGGCAATCTCAGTGCAAATTTGGCTCAGTGAAAGGAAATTTCCCAAACTGAAAGTTAAATTTAAAAAAAGGGTTTGAAAGTAAAAATAAATTGAATGACCACTAAGTTCTCTTTTGAACGTGATGCTAATGTTAATGTTCTGTTTTGAGGGCACTGTGCACTGATATAAATGTAACTTTTGGCATAATGTTTATCTTAAACACAACTGTTTGGTTTATTCTTTATTTGTGTCTGCTTTTTCAAGATTTTTCACTCAAAAAGTCGATGTGCCTAAATTTAAAGGAGTCATGACAATTATATGTGTACATGTAGTACAGAGATAGAGGAATTTTTCTTTTCTTTCAAAATCGTCAGTTCATGTAAAATCTTCTAGAAATGTTTCTCGGATTTTGTAATATGTTCCCTACGACCTAAATATACAAGGCAAAGGTCACCACACAAAGGCAGATTTTGCCTTCTGTTTTTGAAAACACTTCCTGTAGTTGCATAATGTAAATAGACCAAAAAAACCCACATTGTATCGTTAAGTTTTGAATACACTCATGCAACTATTCCATAAGTTATATTTATCATTTAACAAGACAAGTGTACATAGAGGTAATTAGATAGGATTTTTATATTTGATGGTGTACCATGGACATTTATTGGGTGTTGTTATTGTTGTTACTTTCACTGTGTTTACTCAACACACATATGTGGAGAAATGTCGACCACGACTGAAAGACATAACTTAGGTGGTATATACTTGAGCACCAGTTGCATGTGTTTTTAAATTTGAGATACACATGCAATTCTGTCCTAAAGCAGCACTGCATGCTTGTGTAAGATCAAGTTCATACGAGTGTGGTAACCACTTAAAGAATGCCTTCTAGTAATAGTCGCCAACTTTTTTTCAAAGCAAATTCCCTTTTTCCCCATCACATCACCTTTTTGAATTTGTAACGTAAATACTGGTAGGACACTTGGAGCTGACTTTACTGGACATTTGGACATTGCTCAGATAGACAAAAGCCATATTGGCCAACAGATCCCGAGTCTGGGGGCCAGACTAATCTGCGACCATAACTACTGTTATTTGAATTGACCAATCAGCATTGAGGACAGTTTGCTCATGTACAGAGTACATGTACATCCACTTTTTTGAAGTTTTATTTTGAAAGGCTGCATTATGGTGTAACTTGTACATTGTTTCTTTCTCTCTGTAGTTGTACAGTTTAGACAAATACATTGTATCAACTTCTGTTTTGGAGGTTTTATTGTCATGCATAATGTAGGCCTTTACAAATGCACAGACTTCTCAGTCATTTTGAAGCTAGAGAGAATTTTGGAAGATTTGCAGGCCTCTAGGCCTATATCATTTTAATATCTTGATCGTTATACAGAAGGAACAAGTCTTCTGTTCTGTTCTGAATTTTGGGGGCATGTCCTCTGAAACCAAAATGAAGTACATGACAAAAAATATCTTTTTGAAAATATTCAATTCATTTCTTTACTGTGTCTGTAGGATGTGATAATGTCGATTACCAGTTTGTTGGAGAAAGGGAAAAGCAGTTTTAGTTCTTTTTGAAGGGTTTATGAGGAGCTCGAGAATTGGTGAAAATATTGGAGAAATTAGAACTTGGAGAGAAAAAAAGAACTCATCCCTTGCAATATGTTCCCCAACTATGCTACACCTTGGTAACTCTCTCTAGTTTCCCTGGATAAAGGTAGAGGAAACGGTTGGAATTGTGCCACTTTGTAAAAAAACAACAACAACTTTTCGTTCATTTATAGGTTTGAGATGTTAAAAGTTGAGTTCATTTTAATTTAATGTCTTTATTTTGTAATGCAAATTCATGTGCCATTTCATTATTTTATACCAATTATGTAATCAGCATTGGAAGTTTGATATGAAAAAAAAATTGAAGTTAAGTATTAAAATATCAAATGGTTTCAAACAAGTTTTCCAATTGTGTGTCTCACTTGTGCAGGCCGTCATAAATAAGGCAAAGTTTAAAAAAAAAAAAAAAAAAAAATCCCCCCAAACAACGTTTACCGTCCCCGCCCGCTTCTTTTTGGAGGCTGCCTGGAATTTTTTTAATTATTTTTTACTATAAAAAATGCAGTAAAAAACACCGAACAGTTATTAACAACATCATTTGACACAACCAGTTTGAAAATTGGCGTAAACCGTGGAAGAATACCTTTTATATGATTAAAGGAATGAAGTGCTTAGAATTACGAGAAATTCATTTCGATTCTGAATCTATTTTAATTGAAAAGAAAATGAAGCACTGTTTTGGAGACAGTAACTCCAGAAGAACAATTTGTACTGAAATAAAACTTCGTTTGATAATACGTCGTGATGTAATGACAAAAGAAAGTGGAAATCGACTGGAAGTGGAACCGTGGAAGAAAAAAACACACACAACGGCAATAACCAACTGCCAACAGTGCATGTGCCAGGACATTGCGTACATTTTGCTACCTTCAATGCTTTTTTTTTAAGAGGGCGCCCTGCACAACCACTGGTCAGCACTGTAAAGACTTCTGTCGTGATGTCATGACAGAAAAAGTGGAAATCGACTGGAACCGTGGAAGAAAAAATACTCACAACGACAATAATCAACGGCCAACTGCGCGCTCCGTACATTTTGCTACCCTCTATGATTTTTGTCCTGAAGAGGGCGCCCTACACAACCACTGGTCAGCACCGGACTATGAGCTATAATTGTGTGTTGACATGACGAGAAAATACGGAGTGCATGTCCCGCATATTTCCTTACCATTGCAAAATATTAGAGGAAATTTCATTGCAATACAATGTGTTTATCTTGAGTTCCCATTTTCACAGTAACTATAGTTTACATCTCGAATGGCCAGACGTCGGATCGGAGCGCGGTACGGTGAGCAGTGTTTCACTGTTTGTGTAGCGCGCCCTCATGTAAGAAATTGTTGCATGACGATAAAATACAGAGTTCATGGTACTGCAAATTCCTTAAATTATATTACATTCATTCTTCGGTAGTTTTTGTCAATTTTCGAGACTTTCGTGTCAAACACCATGGCAAATATTACAGGAAGTTTCATTGCGACACAATGTGTTTATCTTAATTGAGTTCCCGTTTCCACAATAAATGTGTTTACATCTCGAGAAGCCAGACGTGGGAGCGCGGTGAGCAGTGTTTGTGTAGCGCTCCCGCTTTTTGAAAAAAAAAAAACATTCATGACGAGAAAATACGGAGTGTCCTTTACACAAACACTCGGTGCTCACTGAGCCGGCGCTAACGGCCGCGCGGAGATGTTCTGTCAATTCACGATGTAAACACAGTTTTTAAGCACAAAAACTCAGGTGGAGGCAACAGATAGGTACACAATGTTTGCAATATTTCTTACCGGTTTAGTTTCTCGGTTTTTCATCAAAGAAGTTTCCTCCTTGCCTAGCTAGCTGCATCCTCATCATCTTTCAAAATCTTTAACTGCGGCGACTCTAGCTCTTGGCATGGCCATGGTCTACACTGGTTCCCGGTCTCTCCAATGTTCTTCACACTTGGGAGCGGGAACCAGTCTAGCCGGCCAATTGCCTTCGACCAAAGTTCCGAGGTCCCAAAATTGGCGGGAGTTTTCGTTTGGGCACAAAGTATCAACTTTATTTAGGCCTACAAATTGTTTTTCTCTTATATTTTTGAAATGCTCTCGAGTTTTTTTAACTTGTATTTCCTTAAATTGTTTCATTCCTTATAAATTCAGCAGAATGTTACAATTTCCCGAATTATACAAATATAAAGGAAATTGCCTTAACAGTTAATATCTGAACTCACCAGCTGTTGACAGACGATCGAACCCGTAGGCGGTTGAGGTGAAGACTGCCCTCTCTTGTCAGATTACGCCCACGAAAAAAATCATCCAATGAGCGCCCGAGCTGAGTGCAAAGAGTTCAGTGGTATGGTGGCTTTGGAAAGGACATCGCATATGACGTCCGTAATAACAACAAAAATATCACGCAATTTGGTCGGTCGCTGCAGACATCATACAAAATGGGAGCAGTTATATTTTCCAAAACACTATTCCCAAACAACTTTAAATGCACATTTTAAAACCTTAAAGCTAATATTTCCATCATTTGCTAAATAACAGAAACATAATTTTCAGAAAGGATGGATTTAGGGGTTAGTACATGTATGTTACACTGGCCTGTTTACAGTTTTGTTCAGAGATACTGGAAAAGCCAATGAAAAAATGCAGTTCTTGTATAGCCTGGTTCCCCAACCCTATTTCAGACAAAACAGAGCAATTTGTAGACATCGAGGAATTGTCAGGTCAGGGGACCAGACTTGAACGGACTTGCACCCATTCACGGACGTGTAACTGACTGCATACAAAATGTGGACTAACTAAAATTGTGGCAGGTCTTTTTCAATTCATTTTTTTTTCTTCCAACGATGGTCAGCCGACCATCGTTGCAGATTGATACAAAACTTTCGCTTTTCTTGAAAGTGCCAGCACACCAGGTTCCAAGATTTCACAGGATGCTTGAGACTATGTATCATTCACTTACAGTCAAGTTAAATGTAGATATTTTAATTTAATTACAACTTTGGTAGTTTTTTTTTTAATGTTCGCAAATGTGTATAAAAACGAGTTTTTGCTCTGCTGTCCAATATTAGGTATAGTACAAACAGAAAAGAATGGAGATACGCAAAGGAATTAGTCCTATAAATGTGACCGAAATACTGGTCTACCTCCGTATATACTGAGGTAGTCCAGTATTTCAGTCACATTTATGGGACTAAAAAGGAAAAGAAAAGAAAAAAAAAACAACGCCACATTTGTTTAGGATCCACACATTTTGTGGTCACTTGTAAAAAGTTTTATTGTTTCTATTACACTGAGTTTCACCACAAAGGAAGACTCCTAAACCTATACATTAGACAATAGACGGTACCATCCCCAAATTCCTCATAAACATACCCTACGCACATTCCAATAACAATTATATATTTATAATATTTATAGATAATCATATAAATCACATGAAAACAATACTTCATATAATTCTTTGTACAACTTACTTGAGTGCCTAATATTCTGTCCAGGTATAATTCCATATTTACAGAACTGGAAAAAAAATTAGAACTGAAGATCGGAAAAGAGAAAAAAAAAGGATCGCTATTTGATGCTATGCTGTGGTTTGAAACTGTAACCCCCCCCCCCAGAATAGTAAAATGCGTTGTGAATATTAAATGAGATGTAAATTAGCTGACAAATGCCATACAAGTACTGCCACTGGATTTATGTACAAGATATAAATGACGACTGGTAAACAATGCTAATATTTATAAATCTTCTTTTGCTAAACAGGTGTTTTTTCCAATTTGAATGTCGATGCATATTTATCATCCAATGCAACTTTTGTCACAACGCTAATGATTATACTACAGCATAGATCCTAAACAACAATTTTGGGTCACGACTCTTTATGGAGTTCTGCTTGTACGACTGCTTGTACAATCAATATGCTGTACATCAAAAATAACTTCCAGTGCATAAGTATTTAAATTACAACACCCTCACAATTCCAACCAACATTAAATACAACGTTGCAATTCTGGTTTTTATCTACAACACACCGATGAAGTTTAAATATTTAAAACTCGCCAGCATGATTCTTTCTCCTGCTTTTTATTCTTTAAAAAGTGTCCCCAAGCAAGAAGTTCAATCCACACTTCCGCAGAATTCTTTGATCTAACAGTACGCCCCTCCTTCCCATAATTCCTCAGGCTTCCGGCACATCCCTTTGGGAGCCTATTTCACAGCACTGCTTTAACTTATTAGTCCCTGTACCGCCCCAAATCGCCGTGCCTGTTACTCCATGTAGTGCCACCAACTGCCCTGCCTGTTACTCCCTGTACTGCCCCAAACTGCCCTGCCTGTTACTCCCAGTGCCCAAAACCGCCCGAGCATTCTATGGTTTTTACAGATTCTTCTGTGTATAAATATGACTTAATACAATACAGATCAGAGCCCAATTTCATGGCGCTGTGTAACAGTAAGCAGAACATTTACTAAAATGCTTACTAAAATGTCTAGCGGAAAATTGTGCTAACCTGAAGCAGTATTTTGCTGCGCACATTGAGATTTCTTATTACATCACTGATTTAAGCAACATTTTCCTCTGGGCCCAGTCTGGGGTTAAGCGTGCTTATATGCCATGCTAACTGAAATTGACGAAGGCTCTGTTAGCGGAAAATATCGCGCTTAGCAGCGCAATGAAATTGGGCTCGGGTGCTAATGGGTTAATGCTGGTACTAGTTTGCGAGGGTCAAGATAAGTGACATATGGGGAACACTGTACAGAATTATTTGCCACATGTTTTACTCCGAGATCCAAACCATCATACAACCGCAATCCCGAATTAGTTTGGAAAAGTCTGATAAGACGGCATGCAATCATTTGCATATTTTTTTTTTTATAAATTACAGTTGTTTATAAGCATTTCTGGGTTTTCTAGTGGCATGCAGTATCATGTCCTCTGTTGAAATTCCAACAAGTTTCATCTGCAAACTACCCACAGAAACACAGTGACGTCCATTAAATTTTAGTTAATTTTTTTATCTCTCTTTGTTTGTCAAATTGCATATTCTATCACATACACACATACAATGACAACTCCTTTTTTAATATTATATTTATTTAAATATGTACAAATCCAGCGTGACTCGAGTCTGAGATGTCATGGGTCTTACTGTCTGTGTTTTCTCAGGTTTACAATTTTCCGTCTACTTTGGGTATTGCGTTTTGCAACAACACGATACACGTTCGGTAAGGAATGACGTTTTACCAAAACTACCAATACACAGGGAATGCTACAATATTAGGGTATGCAAGAGCCCAACTTTTTTTTAAGACTGTTTTTTTACGACTTTATTTGTGATTTTGCAAACTAACATCTGATTTCCTAAGCCTTCCGTAGACTTCAATATCCATACTGAGATAAATGTACTCCGAATTTTGGCCTATAATTATGAGATTTGCGACCTATTCCACGAAACTGTACACAACGGCAGAACTTCCCTTGCGCCGATATTTACTGCGCAAGCTGCGCAGCATTTTACACTGCCCGACATTTCACACTGCGACGCCTACGCGCCATTTCAGTTATGACAAATTTCATGAAAGTTTCATAGTGCTTAAAGTCTGTGACTTGCCCAACAAATTTATGGCGTAAACTGCACAATCATTTTAGGTGGCGTAAGGCAAAATGGCTGAAAATGAGCCATTTTACTAGCAAATCGTGGTTTTTGTGGAGCCCGTCATTTGCACAACTTATTAAGGTTGATACAAGACACTCACAGCTTTGTGTTTGAGGTACATGAATAATGATTTTACTTGGGAGAGAATTTTGAAAGTTGCCGCATGATTCCGAAGAAAATCTGGCAAAATTAATTTCAAAATGGCGGCAGGAAGAGATTTAACGACTGTTTCTTGACCAAGCACAATCATGCACAAACACCTGTTGAAAAGGCTATTTTGTCCTCTTCCACGATGTTTACATTTATATCATTGCGAAGCTACGCCAAGTTTTGTGAAATTGATCGTAATTTTATTGCGCAGCTGCGCAATAGATTTGCTGTGCAAGTTCTACGCAAGGCGTAAGTTACGCACTGTTTTGTGAAATCGGCTGCTTTCTGAAGCAGAATTTGCCCTTTTGAGCTCAAGTCCCCCACATCAGGGGCCTCTACTCCTCAGCTCTGAATGGATAGTCAATGGTATTTGCCATAACATTATGCCTATTCCTAAAGAGATGCAAGAGTTTGAAACACGAACCCTGGTATGTGGAATAGTACTCCCATCTCGTACACAACATGAATAATCAATACTTTACTACGGAGGCCTTGTGAAGTTTTCCCTATTTTTTTTGCTTGAGTAGTCTTGCTGCGGCCTCCCGCTTTAGGTTTTTTTCTCATTCTGGTACGTGTGCCTGTACACCTCTTCGATGGCCCGGCACCATTCTAGGGCGTGGCCCTCCGGGTCTATCAGGTAGTATAGCCTGTTTGGCTGGTGGTTAAAAAAAGGAAGAGTTTTGAGACCTACATCAAAAGGCATTTTTCTTGGAGTATTCCTACAGCACAAGCTTTAAATAACCTTCCAAACATCATGCCCATGTAGAAAAATGGTTTCTGGGGTTTACCTTCTACAATCCTACAAAATTACAGGCATGCAACTGGGAATTTAGGAAAAAAAACGAGGAAAATCCAAACCAAGACTTTGTACACTACAGTGAAATTAAAGTCACACCTCAGGGGAATGGGCTTAAATTTTGAGTTAAGCAGATTTTTGAGTTAGCAAATGGATTTTCTTTTCAACAACAATAGACGGGAATAAGTTCTTACTGAGAGTTAGAAGGGTTTTCGATCAAGCAGGTTGTGACTTATCGAGATTTCACTTAATTTTTTTAATTTGTTATGGCAAATGTCACACAGGCAAAGGAAACAACTGAAACATCCCCCAAGTTGTTTTTGTAAAGGCCCAGTGGTCATTTTATGCGGCACCTCACTTGTCACTTTTTGTCAGCATGACTGTGAGCTGAATGGGAGCTTTCAGTGAAATCGGATAACCGTTATTCGGTTTGAAAAAAGTTAGGATAACCAGATTTTTTAAATATTCGATTTCTCCCACCCCTATACAAAATATTCTATAAGTCTGGTAAGTTTAGGAGGATCTTGGATTTTCAGAGGCACAAATCTGAGAAATATGCAGCCAATATGGTTTCCCATCTAAGTACCTCTGCCAATCAATGTTGCCCAAAAATTGATGATATGCAAGTCAACCTTCCGCAGAGCAAATTGTCTGGGACAATGTTTGCATGGAAAGTTCGCTACCTGAAAAGTCTTCAACTAGCACTATGTGCTCGGCTCAAAGGAGTGCATGTGATGACAATGACTACTACTTACTGTGTGCACGAAGTATGTCTTGAAATTCTTGACCTCAACGCGGAGATGATGCGACCTGTACAAGAAACAATGCATAAGGAATACCATATATTCATCTATCTCACAAGAACCCTTTCTGAACTTATCAGAAACACCGAACTGCAACCTAAGTCCAACTACTCACACTGAAACTAAATTGCTTTAGCACATATGCATTAGTGGCCAAGCAAAAAGTACTGGAGTGCAACAATGGTACAAAAAAATATTTTAGTGCTGTCTTTAGAATAAAACAAGTTCTTGAAGGCCCGCTGACACTCCAGTGCTTAGACTTAGTACTTGGACTTGCAAACAGTACTCCAGTACAACAATACCACTGGGACAATAAAGGTACAGGGAAATGTGTACACTGTACTATTTAAACTTTTTTTGTTTGTTTCAAGATACTCAATCTAGAACGCCATGGTCCAGTGGTTACAGAGATTGACTCATGTATGATGGTTCGTGGGTTAGAACCCTGCCAGGAACATGGTGTTTGTGCCCTTGGGCAAGACACTTAACTACAATTGCTTCTCTCCAACTAGGAGTATGAATGGGTACCTGTGAGGGTAGAGGACCGAATGTGCATTGATATTGGCTGCCGCGTGGTCTCGTGGCCTGATGAATGGGGGAATAATTGTAAAGCGCGCTGAGATTGTTGATATGATGGAAAGTGCTTTTATTTTATTTTTTTACTCTAAAGTTTGTACTTCTTAGACTTACCATGGTATTTCTCCTTTAAGGACCATGTTCTCTGGATCCACATAGTACAAATGAGGTCCCTCTGTGAGTAAGAACTGCCTTCTCCTGGCAAACAGACCCTGCCAAAACCAAAATAAAGATGTCAGTGATAATGAAGGACAACAATAAAAGCTGAAGACAGCAACAAAAAAGTTACGTAATTGTGTCTGGACGCTACAGTTCTGAAACCAACAAAATATAATGCAAAGTCTGAGTGTGGATTTAGATGAATTCAGGGTACAAAGAAGGTTTAAACACCTAAACACATATCTTTCTACGCTTCTGGATAGTCTCAAAATATGGCAAGCCTTTGAGATGTTTGGGCAAAATCTGAACCTTTTGTTCTGTTACGGGTATTATTTGCTATAATTGTTTTCACCCACATTTGTCGCCACTTGTTTGGGCATGTATAAATTTCATTTCTGACACAAACATGCACATGGGCCTGACGGTGTGCATGAAAGAACTGGCATCATGATAACATCATGATGACATCAACAAATCCATAAGGGATGAGGCACTGGCCCATCTCGGACTCTATATCCAAGTTAGACTGGAGACCTGACCTGATATCACACATGTATATGAGGACAGGCCATGTCCTCAGTAGCTATGCTATTGGTTGTTTCGCCCCTTGATGTCACCACCTTCCCTGTGGTCTGATTGGCCTACTTCCGTACGCTGCCACATTATGCAGAACAGGGCCCTATTCGTATGTGCTTGCATATTTAGATCAAGACGACCTCTAGGTCATAGGTCATAGGTCATAAGGCAAACAACCTGGTAGATCTCAGACTCTTACTCGCCATCTGCCATCACAACAGATTCTGAGGCTGTACTCAGACTACACCCAAGTGAAAGACACTGCATGTGGGTCATTCTATAAATTTGGGGTCCACTTTTTTTCCCGTCCCTGTTACAACTGACATCTATGATTGTATAATTCTGATGCACTCCTTAATGCAGTCGTCCTCCAAGAGTGATTATGAATAGCAAACTACCTACCCAACAAATAAACAATCATTTGAAGTCACTTTTAATGATGCTTGAATGGCAAATTACAAAGTACCAAGGTAACAGGGACGGGAAAAATGTCACACTTTGGACCCCAAATTTATAGAATGACCCATCTGCGTTCCAACTACAACTCACCCTCCTCTTGTCAATGGACGCCATCTTCAAGATCAGGTTGCCTTCCACAAACCGGTGCCACTTGCACTCCCTCTTCTGCTTCTCCAGCAGGGCGGCTTTCTCCTCTCTGGTGTAGGGCAGGACGTACTTGGCCTTGTACTGGTTGGTGTCCTTCTGCCTGTTGTTCTCCTCGTTGGTCTTGATCTGTCCCAGGAATTCGCTCAGCGGCGACATGTCAAACTCATCAATCTGAAACACAAATTCAGAAACAAAGTCTTTGTTGCTTTGTGCATGACTTTTTCACTGATTATCCAACATGATCTTTTGTCATGTGCACTGATTTTGCACTACTGAATTCGCTGTGAATTCGCTGTGCATCCACAGGGGGTGAATATGGGGAAAAGTGGTATGTGAAATGCCAAAAAGCAAATATGAATGTACATTCATTTCACTATTATCCCAAGGTTGAGCAAATGTGATAAAAAGCTGTGAACTGTGGTGGACAAAAGGTGAACTGGGTTAACCACGATGTTACAAAAGTGAATCGTAATGCTTGAGAACGGATCTAAGGAGGCAATGTGTCCTTTATAGAACACCGACTGGTCAACCCCATAATGGCTTCAAAGGACTTCCTTCTGCAGTTCTCCAGTAATTACAGAGATCAGTAGGTTTTTTGCCCACCTAAACAATGGCAGCCACGCGTCCATGTCGGTACGTCTGGGTGTGCACGTAGTATAGCAAGTGCACTCTCTAGTTTTTTTTATTATAACTCTATGACTTCAATCTTCAACAAGACAATAGGAACCCACACCCCACAATGTGAAGGACAAATTCTTCAGTCTAGTTCAAAATGTTTGTTTACTTACATAGAAGTCGCTGTGTATTTCTTCGCCGTCAACCACCATGCAGGGTTTGAGGGTGGGCGGAGTCTCGTTGGGTAGGTTTGCCCAGTTGATGCCCTCAAAGAATGGATGGGCTTTGAGTTCAGCGAAGCCCCCGCAATCCTCACATCCTATTCTCTTCACTGGGTCTAACACCTGCAACGTTACAAAAATGCCAAAATGGTTCTTAGTGTCTTACTGAATGTGCTTTTCCCAAGTACGTACAAGGGCTATAAAGGGTTGCCTGACTTCCACCGCCATGACCAAGGTTCGATTCCTACTTGGGCTAATATGTGGATTAGGTTTTCAGTCCCTGTATGATTCTGTGGGTTTCCCCAGAATATTCTTCTGGGGTTTTCTTCCCACATCTAAAATTGAAATATCTTCTCATTGTCTTCTCTCTACATGTTTCTTCAGGCTTGCGAGCTACAGTGCCTGGGGCGCTTTTGAAGAATCCTTGGTTTCATTACCAGAAAAAAAATTAACATTAATTTGCTTATCAGAGGGTATTATTGCCAATGGATTTTTTTTTGAGAACTTCAAATCATGAACAGGAATCTTTTTTTTTTTTTACATTTTTGATGACTCACCAATAGTCTTGAGACGAGGTCCTTTGCCTTCTCAGGGAATCCTTCAGGGAAATCATAGTCTAGCTTGATGATCTTCTGGAATATCATGTACTCATTGCTGAAATGAAAACAACAAGTCATTGAAGGTTGAGTATATTGCCAACATTTTGCCGTTTCCCGGACTGTGCCAGCTATCTGTCCCAACAATTACTGCTCATTTGGAGTATTTGGTCAACACAACCATGGTGCCTTGGATTGATTCCTGTTATAAAACTATTTAGGCACGCAATTAGATATTTAGAAGGGAAAAAACGAGGAAATTCCAAAACACCAAAGACTTTGTATGTTTTGTTTTTTTAAATTTGTAATGGCATTCATGAGAAGTAAAAAAAACGAGGAAACAAGCAGATCCAAGGAAAAGTTGCATGCCTACTAAAGTACAACTTGGGAAGTAGAAAAGGACTACAAACTGCTCGACTGCTGGTAACTGTTTTTGCCACTGTAGTCCAGTGTTCTCAAATTTTGAAAATAAGGTTGGTGCTCCGTCGACAAGCGTTCCCGACCCATCACACATGTGACTGTTCTGACCGTACATATCCCGCATTCCTCATGATCTATATTTCACTTTCCGTTGAGTTTTTGGGACGATAATAACTGAAGCAATTCCTTTTAATGCAAGTCAGGCCCAAGTTTACTCACGCCGGAGCCACGAACATTTAACGTTCCATAAAAATGTACTGACGCTTTTCGCCTGGACTTACTACCTATACTGTAACACGCCTTGAAACAAGCGAAGACTAATGTGCATGCTGACTGCCATCACGTCACCATTTGTCGCTCGCTTTGCCGTTGCAAGGTACATGTAACTGTGTTTCACGTACTAGGTTATTTTGAGGAATGGCGGGGCACCAGGGTTTTTTGACAGGCTGGTCAGAGAACACCGGCAGTCAGTTTTTTTCATGAATGCTCTCTTACCTTGCTCTGAATGGAGGCAAGCCCGCTAGAAGCTGGTAGATGAGACAACCCAAAGCCCACAGGTCAGAACTGACAGGAAAAACAAAATCAATCAATCATTACAATCAGTATGTTATCAATCATCTGGCATTTCAAATTCTCCTTTGAATGGCAGCAAGTTGACTATTAGTTCCTCTCCCCCCCCCCCCCCCCCCCCCCTGACCCTGTGTCCCTCCCTGTACCATTGTACCACACCAAAACGCCCCAGCACTCTATGGGTTTATGGATTGGTCAGGGAATAAATACAATGTAATACAATGTAATACAACGTAAAACAACGTAATACAATGTATTACAACGTAATACAATGTAATACAATGTAATACAATGTAATACAATTTAATACAATGTAATACAACATAATACAATGTAATACAACGTAATACAATGCAATACAATGTAATACAATGTAATACAATGTAATATAATGAAATACAACATAATACATGTACTAATGGATTTACATGTATTAATAATTTGTATTAATTTTGGTTCAGTGGAAACTACTTCAATATCTAGCCCGCACGTGGGTATTAACATTTTTTTATACAAGCGTCCTCTATCATTTTCCATGTATTTCTTGTAGCCTCACCTTTTCATGGCAGATTTTTCTGTTAGTAATTCTGGCGAGACATACTGCGCTGTGCCGACGAAGGAATTTGCTCGTACTGCAAAGAGAAGTAAAAATAAATCCTGCATTCAAAACTTGCTTCATTTGTATCATAAAAACCCTTACGTATTTTTGTGTTAAATACAATGTACTTAAGGAAAAAATCCTTTCCTGTGAATAAACAATGAAAAAAAAATTACACTTACTTCGGCAAAAAAAAAAATAGTCGGTCTCTGGTCAGACCGAAGTTCTGGAATTGATGCGGCGACGCGGGTTGTTTTTTTTTTTTTGGTGGCTTTTTTTTTTTTCAAGCTTGTATTGTACAGACAAGGTGGGTACTACATGTACATGTACATGTATTTTGCTTTTTTGTGTCCTCATTATACATTGGTGTCCTCCATAATTTGCCTTGGTGCCCTTTATCTTTTGCCTTGGTGCAATTTCCCTATTCCTGGTGCTCCTTGGTACAAAAATTTGAGGAGGTGCGGCAATAGAGGGTGCTGTTGTAGCTTCTGTGTTAATTAAAAAAAAAAAAAAAGGTTGACGCGCATGATTAAAATCGACGCACGCGCTGACCAGAGACCGAGTATTTTTTTTTTTGGCCTTAGGTCTACAAAAAATATTAATTCCTGAAATAATTCACTGAAATTGCTTTTTTTTTTAATTAACTTCTTGTATCAATATCATAAGATGGAATTTTTAATATCGTTAGTATACAATGCAAGTGGCAAGTAAACCACAAAAAAAGTTAGGAGTTTTTGCATTACTTCCTAAAAACATCCAAAAATATTACTTCCTGAAAAAAAAAAACATTTGAAAAACATACAACCAGGAACAAAAATGATATTAAAAACCGGGGTGTTTCCCCCAACTCAGCCGACATTCATTTCCAATGACCTGAAACTAACCTTGCACAAATACACAAGTTTTTTTATTGTGTTCACCTACTTTTGTAACCTTTTGAAAATATTTATTCTACTTCTATCTTTTTGGATGATTAAATAATCTACAAATGAGAAGAAGGAACTAATCCTTTAAAACACAACTGTTTGTCACACAATTACAGTAAAAATGTTGTTTTTACACTTTAAAAGAGATTGATTCTGAAAGAAACATTATCAGAAACAGGGACGATACCTGAGTCTTATGTAGTGCACGCACACATATCTACCAAAAATTAGGTACTGAAGTTGCTGGAAATTATGTCTCTTATTAAAGACAGGTAAATGAAGTTTATGAGAAATATGAAACCCATTATGTAGCACCTTATAAGGGTCTACAAGGTGCTGCGGTGCATATTGCAGCCACTGTCAGAAACACTGGGGCAAACCCCTTGAGATTGCCATGTTATAAAAAAGTCTGAACATTGAACACATGAAAGGTCTGATGAAAGATGCATTTCTTTCTATACTGATAATATCTTTCTCTCAGATTAAAAAATCTGATTTCAGACAAAAGTCTGAAAACTCTCATGGCTGCAGAAAGCACTGGTGCAACCCTGTAGAGATCTAACTTGAGGCTATGCAAATTAATTCGCAAATTTTACATGCGCATAAAACATTTATGTAAATTTGTTCGAGACAGAAAGTTCAGTCACTTTGGTGCGTTTATCTCCCTGGACAGTTCGGTGTACTTTTATCTAGAGTCATATACAAAGTACACAATAAATACACTGAAATGAAAACGAAAATATTATCTTTTGAAATTGTAAAATAATTAGAGTCAAGCAATACTATTTCAATACATTATATCAAGATATCTTCTTTAAAATGACCTTTGCACTTCAAAAATCCCGGTAGATGGTATTTTATCACAGCCAAAGATAGCAATACAGTTAATTTGGAAAGAACGGGACTGTTTTCATTCACCCAAATTTATTTTAGAATGACTTGAACACAAATTGAATTCTCAGTGTTTGGCTCAAGTCTTTTGTGGGTAGTTGTATTTTTACAAATTGAATGAAGAAACTTTCACTATCTTGAAAAATACCTCTAACAGGCGTATTACATGTACATCTTGCATACATCTCTCGAAAGCTGATATATGTCAGTGTATAAAAATGGCACCTGCCCAAGACAAGTGAGCACTATTTGAAAGTTTTAATTCAATCTTATTAAAGATAGAGTAGACCGTTTGTAATTTGTGCCTTTTTTCCCCGTTTGAATCATCAAAAGTGCTCAAAACCTCAAGAGAAATGCTTAATATCTAACCTGATGAAGTTAAAGCTCTGTGAATGCTGTATGTATTTCGAGAAAACAAACAAACAAACATAAAAACAATATTTTGGATCTCGATTTCAATTCCAAAGTTGCCGAGTCATATTTTGAATTGCGCCCTCTCGTGACACAATTCCAAAATCAGAATTGCAAACAACTACAACTTAGCATGCATGGGGTCCGATTTGCAGAAATTTCCAAAAATGTGTCAGTTGACATATCTTTGGAAATGACCTTCTTTTGTTGTTTCTTTAAAATGACAGAATGCTAGAAGGAATAATTTCACAGGGAGTTCAGTGTCATTACTACATGTGTGTATCTTTAAACCACAATAATTACAATAATTTGGTTTGGTTACTTTTTGGATAGCTGCAAATGGTCTACATGTACTCTACCTTTAAGATTTTTTCCGGGACTGAAAAGAACTTAAAAAAAGCTGCATACCTTCTTTTGCGTTTGCATCCAGTATCTTGACTGTGCCAAAGTCAGTGATCTGTATGTGCATATCCTCATTCAACAGGATGTTTTCCGGTTTCAAATCCCTGGGTGATCAACGAAATAAAACAAAGATAAACATGAGAGAACGGATTGTTATTCTGTTCTGTTTGATTTCAAAACAGTTTTGGTGCCAGTACAATATTTGTGCAGTGTATTGTGCATGTACTTTACATCATGTAAATGTATGTACTGTACAAGTCAAGTCTACATGTGCATAAACACCATCAATTGTTGACCCTATTGTCCCTGTTTTGTTCATACATTAACATTTTACATGTTTTAGGAAGACCTCCCATGTTTCATACACGATCTTCAACCGTGAACCTTCGGTCAATCGTGGACCACTGGACCCTATTGTCTTCTATCATTCAACGACCACAATTTGAATGTGTTTACATGTACATGTTCAGCCCGCCCCCTCTCCCTTATGTGACCAGCCCCACAAAAAAGGATATTAAGTCACGCTGTGCTGTATCGTGTATAACGTTGTGATGGTGAAAATTTCATCAAAATGTGATCTTCATTTTGTGTCATAAAAGACATCAGTAATACCTAAAGTTTCAAGATTTGTTTTCAAAATTTCCACAAATGGCATTCAATACCCATCCTTTATCATTGTCTGAGAAACTTGACAAAGCAAGTTGTGAAATTTGTTATGGGTACCCGATCCCATAATCTGACGTCAGCAGTCGGGTAACGAGTTCTTATGCACACCCCTATACTGTGTACTATACCTGTGAATGATGCCCATATTGTGGAGATACTCCAGCGCTAGTACAACCTCAGCGGCATAGAATCTGGTTGCGTTCTCGTCAAAGGAGCCAAGTTTCTGTATGTAGGGTAGCAGCTCGCCCCGTTGCGCTAGACTCAGACCGAAATCTGACAGTGGCAGGGTCAAGGGTCATATTCAAGACTGATGTTAGACTGGATATACCTGTCCTCATTATTACAGAAATAAGGACAGACAATTTATGTACAGTATAGGCAATCTTTTCAGCGCCATATATGTCTCCCATAATTATGCACGTTATTTCTAAAGCCCTGTTCATACACGGTGCGAAAGCGAAAGCGAACGTGAATTTGTGACGTTGCAGCAAGTTTTCGCGCTGCGAATTCGTAAAAGTTGAACATATGTCAACTGGGGCGAATTTCGCAGCGAATGCTTCGTGACCTCAAATTCGCTTCGCATTCGCGTGAAGTATGAACAGGGCTTAATGGTTCTTTTGAATTCCTAACCATGTGGTTGTACATTGTATCCAAACTCGTACTTGTATTGTGAATAAATGTGTTTAACCGTAATCCCCTTGAGTGATTTACTAGGAACCTTCCTCGTTCTTGCAAAATCCAACACCATATGGTAAACTCTACACCCAAACTGTTAGACTCTGATTATGGTGGTATGCCTGACCCCACGTAAAGCATAATCAGTTTACTCTTGCAGAACTCACTCCAACAGAATCAAACAAAACTTGCAGTTGGAGTTTGAAGGGTTGGGGCTGGTTAGGGTTAATCAATCATTTCTTCATTCATTTACACTTGCTAAAAATCACAACAGCGTAAGGCATTAATTTAATTCTGTAAACCCATTTTCAATAACTCACACACTGAAATTTGTATCCTTGTGAAGACACTTCTTTGTTCTCGTGTACTAACGTTTTTTGAGTTTGAAAGTACAGTTTCAAAATTTATTTTAACCAGAATTAATTTCCTTGGCTGAAATTAGGACTTAATATCCCTTTTCAAAAACTCTTACCATTTGCAACAGATCAACATACCTTGGAAATTCCTAGTGTTTGAGTAAAATCCATATATCTATTTCGTGAAAACCTTGTGGAGACATATTCATCTATAGAAATTGCCCTGTGGAGACGTTTACAATCTGTTGTTCCCTATTGTGTGCATGTCTCCAGAAGGCACGGTGTGTCAGACCATAATATCAGTAAAGTGTTTATGAAGGTACCGGTACATGTATACACATGTACATGTATTCTTGGAAAACAAAAACAAAAGTTAGTCTCACATGAATATTTGTTTAGATACGACCACTGATTTGTCCAGGCGGGCTTTTCCTGGGACACACTTTACATGACCTCTATATTAAAAGTCTGTACATGTCATAAACAAATGACACAACAACAAGCCCGGGGCTGCACACACGTAAAACAGCTGTCAATGGAATCAATGTACAAGGGCATAATACCTGTTCACAAAAATAAAAAAATAAGGCCAGGTCGGTCTGATGACCTCGAATGACCTTTCCTGCTCACAACGTCTGGCCACAGGGGAACATTTATAAACAACCCAGAATTTATTGAACCACCAATCCCAAATACCCCCTTGGGTTGCGCTGGCAAAACTAACCCATGTCTGGGGCATTTTTAACCTATTTTTGTTCTATTTTATGCCCTTGTTTGTTTCTGCGTTCACTCCCTTAAGATTTACGGTCTGAGCGGTTGGCAACATATGCTGGTCATATTTCACGGCCGGCCGGGATGTGTTTGGGGCTGTATAGTGGCCGGGTGCGCATACACAAACCCCATGTGAGGGTTTGGGGAAGTACATGTAAATAATGTAATTCTAGGAATGTGATGCCACATTCTTGACCCAGATAGATGCAATAACATCCTGGCTACAGTTCACTGTGGTTCATGTGATGCTATGTGCAAGAACATGCATACATGCACATGATGTTGCCGGGCTGACGAATCATCATAATGTGTGAATTGTGCAGTACACATTGAGTATAAGTATAGTGTACAGTACATGTACATGTACAAAAATGTAGGTGCACTCCCTGAAATATGTACAAAATGTACATGAATAAGTTAAATTGGACATGCACAGACTACATACATACATGTACATCTACACGTACTGATATGCCTGCCAATCCTGCGTTTTGTTTCTCAACCAAATCAAGCCAATAAAACCACTTCGTTTTTTTTTTTTAAAGAAAAAAAAGAAAAGTGCCTTTTGAATTTTTCAAATTTATCAAGCAAGATTTTCAAGTTTGAAATTTAAAAAAAAAAAAAAAAAAAATTGCCTTTTTAATTTTTCAAATTTATCAAGCAAGATTTTCAAGTTTCAAATTTTTCCACGAGTTCAGTGTTAGAAACTGCCAACAGACAGACTTGCAACAGGCTAGTCTCCAAAAACATAAGAAATTCAAAAGCTTTGGGAGGCATACTAGTCATGTTTTTTTTTTTTTTTTTATAATTTAAGGCATTTGAGAAATAGGTGGATATCCTTTCACTCAACACAATATTGAAATTAAAAAAAAATCTTGTTATTCTCTTTTTGTTTACTTAAAAGGGAAGTGCCCAGGACAGAAATGTAAACTTTTTGCGGTTATAGGTGCATGTACCGGAACATGCATACAGTGTTCCATTTTATGATGTACTGTAGTTCAACCGAAGCAATGCAGGTGTGCACATAACACACCTGGTCCACTGTCAATAGGTTAGAAGGCTATTTCCTACAGCAAGGAGCGTCCGGTTTTATATTTCTCATCAACACCTGTGTCCCAGTTTTGATTGAACCCCCCCCCCCCCTCCAACCTAACTGGAATTCTAGACTCCATACCTGACCTCACACATGTTTTGAGGACTTGCAATGCCCTTCAGAAATTTGACCTCTGGGTAAGATGTACACATGCACTTCTGAGTAAAATGTGAAGGGTACAATTTCATGCTTCTTCGTATCATAAGTGAAAAAAAATTCCCTTTTATTTCTGTGTTAACCATTTGTGGTTTCGGATAGAGTTAGTGGTATTTTATAGGGTAAGCCTTGAAGTTCAGCTTGTGATCGCATATGGACTCCGTGCTCGAACTAGAGAGGGCGCTGTTTTGACCACCTTCAAGAACCCTGCGTACAGGATACACCAGGGGCATGTATGGCGTGAAGTACGCATGACTTGATTTTAAATGTGTACAAAGTCATAGCATCATCGCGTGATGAGTGCCAAGTGTCATCGCCAAATGCGTTCAAATGTCCCTCCCTGTGATCTAGCACCCTCAACTCTTCGTTTATTACCGTTGAGGGGGTAGTTGTACATGGAGCCCATATGCAGTCGCAGGATTCGGTTCTTGCTGGGTAATGGCGCAGAATTGCGTAACAAACTCTGCATGGTGATCGTAAATGCGGAATTTGTAGTTAGCAGAGACAGGAAATTGGGGCCCAGTTCTGTTAATATTTGTAAGAAATCTCAAAACAAAAATGATCTGGAATGTTAAAGGATACAAAGTTTATCCTTGTCCTGAAAGGTGAAGTACAACTTGACGAAGAACGGGTGGTCCAGCTTGCTCAAGACCTCCCTCTCTCGCATCACGTATTTCTCTTTCTTCTCCCGGAATATATGCCGCTTCACTAAGACTTTGACTGAAGTCACAAATAAAAGGGGGGGGGGGGGGAAAGGTCACATATTGAAGGAAGTAAATTTTGGAAGTTACAAATACAATGTATGTCCTTTTTGTACATCATGCAAATTTATGGAAATGATTTCATGAGAGTTGCTTTTATTTCAAATTCAAGAACATCTCTTTCTTTTCCGAGAGTTTATGCTGCCTCACAAAGACTTAATTAACCCTAACCTTCCCAAATCCTCCTACATCCTGTTTGTTTGCAAAATGGAGGATTTTGCAGGATTGAGGCAATATGGCAAAATGGCTGATTTCGGAGGATGAACTGTGTCAAGGTCTTGGGCCGGACCTTGTGTTGTTTATGCTCAGTCGTGCATAAATTTAGGCCTAGATTATAGTACTGGAAATCCTCAGCACTGCTCCAGGACGTCACTAGCTCTGCCTCAACATACTGACAGTGATTGCCGGAGGATTTTGCAGGATTGAGGCAGTGGGTATCCCTCCAAGGACAACATTCAAGAAATAACAGAAGATTTTGGAGGATTGAGGCTGTAGGCTATTTTTACATGGAGGCAGTTGGAGGATTTGGCAGGATTGAGGTCTACATGTAGCAAAAATGCCTACATGTACATGTAGTTAAAAATGTAGGGTTACAATTGAAAGAAAAAAGAGACCAAAATATGAAAGCTGTGAATTTAAAAATTCCATTCCTTTACCTGATGTCCATATGCAAATTTATGTAAATGATTTCATGGAGAGTTGCTTCTTTTTTAGCTCACAATTCTTTTGTGCATCACAAGAACAGCTTTACAAGACCACACAAACTGTACCATATGCACCATATTTGGCAGGTAAACTATATAAATCTCTCTACTTTTCATGTAAATTCTGCAAGAAAATCAGTGCCAAACTGCCCAAACAGATGTGAAGACCGAAAAATATTCACTTACTTGCATATTTGTTGCCGGTGGCAATTTCCGTGGCAAGAACAACCTGCAAAAAGAAAAGAAGACAAAGCGAATAAACCGCCATGATTGGGAACCTTTCTGGGATGCCACGAACAATTAGTGAAGTGTGCACTTTGGTGCTCGACCCACTAATGGTCGGCGGACGAAACGGACAAGAAAAAGAAAAAGAAAGGAGACAAAACTCTCAGATTTACTTCGTCAGTGCTCGATCACTGTTTTATCAGCATACGATTGCGGTGTGCTCGGCCAAAGTGCAATGCCTTACGGGTAGGACTCTCTGTGGGAATTTACAGACAATTATGCTGAGACATTTCATTCCGGGAAGAGTATCAGACGATCTTCTTTTTTTGTTTTTTTGGAATTCCGTTGTTGGTGCGCAAGGTGGCAAGGATCTGTGACAAGATTCTTCCGGGCTCTTGAATTACAAGAGCTTGTCAGATACCTGAGACTATTTGTTAAAAAAAAAAGTAAGGAGGCACTTTATTCCTGGGTTTTTGCATATTCAACAAGTCGACAAAAGCACACTCATAACCATTTATCATGTTTACGATGTACATTTTCAACGGAGCTATGAAGCTATCAAAAGAACCGTGCACGGCTTTTCAAAGAAAATCAGGAAGTTTAAAGATTTTCGATTGCCACAGGGGGTTTGGAGGGATTTTGCAAGATTGACGAAGGTAGAGCCCAGCCATTATGAATTTCAAAGTTCTCTGCAAATAACAAGGATTTGGGGGGAAAGTCGTCATTTTTTTTTTCAATCCTAAATCCCTGAGGTTTTTGCAACCTTACCAGTTGTTTGCAAAACCTCAGGGACTTAGGATTGAAAAAAAATGACGACTAAAACAGTCCCATCAATAATACATGTATTTACAAGTATAAACCTGTTTTCCACTTGTAAATGCAATGTTATTGCTCCCGGTAAGGTTGAACTCTGTTTTCATCGATGTGAACTGTGAACATGCACATGTGTATACATGTGTATTCATTCCTCAATTGAATATTAAAAAAAAAAGAGCAATTTTTTTTTTTGAAAATAAAAAGTAATGGTAATATAATGCCATATCTAAAGCACACCCAACCTTAAGAACAAAATTGTCTGCATAGCAAGCATTGTGCAATCAGCTTGTTTACTCCGCAGCAGAGTAATTCCATACTGGAGCGTTATCATAATATTACTTTTCAATTATTTATCTCTATTCAGTGGAAGGTTGCCAAGGCCAACAAGACAGCTGGCAGACAAACATGTACATGTACAAGTACAAAACATGTATCGTACAAGTACAAAACATGTATCATGTACATGTACATGTACATGTATCATTCATGTGCATTGCCATGTACATGTACCGGTACCATAGTACATTTTTAATATTGTACATGTACACTGTACATGAATGGATTATTTAAAGAGGTTGTGGAATGCTGAAAGTCGTTTTGTTTTTCATATTTTTTTTATTGTAGAGTAGACTCATATATCATAATGACAAAGTCCAATTCTTTTGTAATGTGCGTTTATATGTTTATGAAACTGAAATTCATCGAGTAATTAGTTGGTCGGCGAGTGCATAATTGAAATCAACAGTCGTCGGGTTCTTCGTAAAATGAGAAAAATCGTGACGTAATAAACAGGACTCGTTCATACTATGCTGCATCGGGAGTCCTGTTTATTACGTCACGATTTATTATGTTTGGTTTGCTGCCCCCAACGACGACTTTTACACAAATTGCAGGTTCGGGTCGAAACAGGACATGAAAACCAGCTCTCAAAGGTACCTTTTGTACTCATTTCATGACAGACACAATAGTCATTACATGTATAAAGTCCTCATTTGATTTGATGCTGTACATGTACACTGTGTACATTTTAGATTGCACCAATACCTGTATCAAGAAACATCCAAAATATTGGGGGCAGCATCCCGTATAATGTCCACGCAATTTTCCTGCGTAAAACACAGAACGTGAAGTCCCATCCTTCATGCACCCGTATCTGTAGCTTTTCAGATTGTTCAAGGGACTCGCAAAACATCATATTGTTTTTTTGTTTTTCTGGTCCCTGGCTGTTCAATGATGCCTAATTGATCGCCCGCAGCCGGGTTTTCCACTCAGATGCCCAGTCAACAAGCCGGCAATCGCTGATTATCAAAAGAGATCACTGTGATCTAAATTATCAGCGATGTACATGTACATGTAGGTATGCGATTTATTTTCTTTAGGTAACAGGGAAACCTTTGTCACGTACAGATTACAATTGTTTTTCTGGTCCCTGGCTGTTCAATGATGCCTAATTGATCGCCCGCGGCCGGGTTTTCCACTCAGATGCCCAGTCAACAAGCCGGCAATCGCTGATTATCAAAAAGAGATCACTGTGATTTAAATGATCAACGATGTAGGTATGCGATTTAGTTTCTTTTGGTAACAGGGAAACCTTTGTCACGTACAGATTACAATTAGTGACAGAAACTTGTTTTGCCGCACAAGTTTCCAGGACTGTTGAAAATGACAGCTGAAAATCCAAGAGCGAAGTAACCAATATAAACAAAATGGAAAGCCTATGAAAAATATTTTTGACTCCCCCCACCTACCACACTAAATGAAGATAAATTGTACATACCGTACATGTTTTATACCGGTACATATTGTATGAGACTTGTAATTGATCACTGCTATATTAATTGCAAGACTGAGAAATGCTGCGATGAGATTTGCCACAAAAAGGCATCGCAACATGCAAATGAAAGTAAGATTTGAAGTGCAATTCTGTGTTTCTGTTTCCAAGTGAAGGCATCTCAGCCTCTTGTTCCCAACATTTCCGATCTTTCTTGTGCATAGCCAGCGACAGATCACTTGCAAACAATGTCAACATAATTTGTGAATTTGTGAAAGCGGAAACAACACACAGCTTTCCAACAAATAGTAGAGAGGCACAAAAGTTGTTGAACAGCATCCACTTTATCGGTGCACAGAATTAACTTGATCAAGGTGCATGGCACTATGTATGCAGAGTTGCTCTAACTGAAAATCCAGCATAAGATGTAACATGTAACAAATAACGGTCCTCACCTCAGAGTACGAGCCCTCTCCTAGAATCTTGCCAAACTTGAAATCCTGCCGCTGTTTCTTCTTTGGCGCGGCGGCCGGCTGCGGGGACTGGTTCATGTCTTTTTTGGCAAGGGCCGACGTCCCGGCGGACGCTGACGGTCGATTCTGCAAGTACTCGGAGCTCGTGGAGGGCAGGGACGACGAAGTCGGTGCGGAGGAGGGAGAGGACGAAGGTGACGGGGAACCACGCTGGCAACTGGTGCCCGCCGAGACGGTCCGGCTGGCCTGTGGCTTGATGCACTGTGCCTGCGAGCGCCCATTGGTCGCCGTCTTGTCACGTGACTGGCTCTCGCTGCTTCTCATTGGTTGTCTGGCCTGCTCCTTAGACTGTAGAAAAAAACAAGCGAGATATTTGCTTACGAAGAACGAACGGCAGCGATAAAAAAACACTGGGAGGATACAATAAAATTAATATTCCCCAGGCAAGCAATCCGTGCAAAAAAATAGCGCAAAACGACAAAAACAAGAAAAAGTTCAAAAACACGTGTGGAAATGTCAATTACACAATTGCGGAGCCCCAATGCCAACCGAGTGCACAAATATTTATTTCTGAGATTCTAAATTTATCATCGTCTGAAAAATAATAAGCCTTTCAAATTCCACTGAGCAGAGTTGTGAATTGCAGATTAAGATGGTATGCTGTGTAGACAGGCGGTAATTGCGTTGATTGCTTTCACCTTGAAAACACGTCTACAACTGGAAACACTTACGGTAATTACAATCTGTGTCATTAAACTGACAGAACATGTCTGTCAATTAATGAATATGCTGTACAAAACATTTACTGTAACTGTAGCCCCATGTGTGTTCGCGTACATGTACTGTACACATGTATACATGTACATATGTAACTTGTGAATTATCCTGTTTGCCTGTTCAAATTTGCTTCTTTTAAGAATTCACGGAAAAACAAAAATATATTTGTTCACAAGTACCATTACTGTACCGGTACTGTACCGAAAATTGACAGAGACAGATGGTTCAAAATACAGAGAAGTGGCTGTTCAAGGAATTGTTGTTTATTTCTGACTTGACATGTACATGTACAGTGTGTATGTACATTGTACATGTATATTGTATACATGTACATGTTGTATACCACAGTACAAACACATATTTAATGTCAAAAGTATAATTGTTTTTCTTCAATTTTTTTGAGAATGGCAGAAACCTGTAATTTCAGGAAGAATACGCCACATTTTAACTGACTGTAAGTTAACCCTAATCACCCATTGAGTCTGTTTGTTTGGTGCAGATCCGGATCGCAATCGGTGATCCGACGCGTCGATAGCTGCTCCAGATCACGTTTTAACACATCCTGCTCGCGAGGTGGGCTCGCAAGACGTCGCGAACCGCGACTGGGTCACGAAGAAAAAAGGACGTTTTTTCAGTACATGTACATTTGAAGCATTTATGAGCTTGTGTGACAATATTCTTCAAAATTCTTTTAGAGTGTAAATTTGCGATTAAAAAAAAAATACGATCGATCTACTTTTTCTAGAAATTATAGACAGATTATCATAAAAATAGCCCTTCTGCCAACAAAATCTGAAGCAGATGACATTCGCGTGCGCCCTAAAGGATTTGACGCGTGAGAGCGGTCCTGTTGTTTTCGCACGGCGCTGGATCACATGATCTCGTTCAGGATCTAGAACGAAACAAACAGGCCCTTGGCCTCAATGATTTCCAGTTGTACTCGTACTCGGCCAAATGTTTTCCAGTGCTTCGTGCATGAATTTAATAAGTGGGGGAGTTGTTTACATACATTGAGCTAATTATTAACAACCTGTTCTCCTGGCACAAACTGATGAAAAACTTCCTTTTATTTTGCTGCCCACAAAAGGGGAAGGATCCACTAAATCATCTACTAATTGAGACAGAGACTCCAAAAAATAATAAAATAATAACCCGCACATTGTTGTTTTTTCCATTCTTTTGTCTCAGGTGACTAGCCAGACTTATGCGGGGAAAGAATTCATTAGTGCCGGAGAAAAACAATACGTGGAAGTCATCTATCAGGGCTTGATTAAAAACAGGACAACCGAAAAACAAAAGTTTCTTTTTTATATTATAAGTTAATTGGATGTTTGTACGGAATGTCTTTCAATTGGCCTTCCACATGCATGCATCAAGAAAGCTTAAATTCACAAATTGAGGTATAATTTTTCATTCTGTAACACGAAACCATTTTCAATAGTAATGGCAAGTAATTGCGAATCAATTTGGGACCGAGCACAAACAGTAGATCATGACACTTTTTAACGACGTTTACGAGCCCAAAGCTCCTTTTGAAATTCTGGCAGGAGTTTCTAGTCGCAGTCGGACGGTCGGTCAGTCTGTCGGTCCCCGGAAATTTGTCAAAAACAACCCTCTACATTGCAAGTTTCCCATAAAGTATAACTACCAAATTTTAATTTTCAAAAAAAAGGCAAACAGAAAAGTAATTACTGTATGTAACAATTGTAAAGTTTAAATGAAAATTGTGTAAATGGAGGCAAAATATGTGCAGTAATGTTATAGTCACGTGGTACACGTGTTTGTAACGGTAGCACGCTATACATAGCGTATACAGCGCTATATATACATGTACATGTAGCACGCTATATTTTATGGGAAACGTAGGAGGCTTACAATGTACATTGGTAAATTTTGGGGGACACACTGGTGCAGCGTGATTTTCCCGTGGGACTGTGGCCCAGGCTTGTACGCACAATCTCCTGTCAGCGTTACGCAAGATTTTTATGCAAGATGGCCAGAGCTTATTGTGCACGCACACTTGTTTCTTTCTCTCGCGATGGTCCACAGGCTACGCAAGTTTATAACCCTGACAGCAGGTTTTCTGTACAGTGATTAACTCTTCAACGATGCTTCAACTTGCTTGCAAAAACAGCCCCTTTCCTGAAAACAGGCAGCTTCGAACGAACGGAACGAATGAACGCATATAATAGTCCCTCTGGGGTTGTCAAGAACTGACAATGTTATATTCCCTCTTAGGAATTCATCACTTCGGGGCCACTTCAGGATAGCATTGGCAAAAAAATATCCTTGATTGAGGGGAAAATCCATCACTCACTGCGAGAAAAAGTGCCTCCGATAAAACATGTGAACGAACATGATGGAGGGCTGTGAAAAACACCTCATCGTGGTTACTGGAGATGGGGGAGGTTTTTTTTTCTTCTTCTTCTTCTTCTTCATCTCATTGTGTTTTTCTCACCAGGTGTATTTGGAATCAAGGAAATAGGTCGTTAGCTATTTTGCTTGGGCTTAATTGAAACAAATTTGTTACTTCTCTATAATTTGATCTTGTTTTTCAGTCGGTGGTCAGTCTGTGGCTGGTACCAAGTGACACTGGCCTTGGACTGGGGGAAAGGGGGCAAGGGTGCTACCCCATATGGCAAAACAAATTTGGGGCACAATAGGACAAACAACTTAAATCATTACAGTCCCAACACATGTGAAAAACAGCAGTGGCTGTGATAATGCACATGTACCGGTGGGTGTACAGTACAGGTACATAAATACATGGAAATGTACATGTACTAGCACGTTTGTTTATGGTGTAAATCGAGGATTTTCTTTGTTTGTACTCTTAACTTTTTCGCAACAGCTCTCATTGGTTTTGTACACGTTTTCTTATCGAGGTCGTCCTCGATTTGGTTCCTGTCCTCGATTCAACGATGATGTTGCATGTGTACGTGTGTGTCCTCGATTTACACCAACGCATTGTAACTATGTGTTCAGTACACACATATGTACCTGTCTGTAAGCTGTATGATGTACGTGCACTGAGTGCAGAAATATTACTTAAATCAGCTATTGGTATTCCTAAATTGAGCTCTACCTTTTAAATACATTTAACTGGCTTTTTATTATTTTTTTCCACGGTTCTGCAGTGACATATTGTACAGTACATGTACATGAATATTCATTGTTGTTGACTTGAATCGCTGACTCATGTACTTGATTCTGACTAGAGTTGATATTTTTTGACTTGAGACTTGACTTGACTTGAAAAAAAAAAATGACTTGCAATTTTTGTTGATCTAAACAAATTTGACTTGCTGACATTAGCACTTTTCCTAAACACAAACTTGCCATGCTTGCGGGTGTAAAATGCAAATTAAAAGGTGTTTGAGATAGCAAATTTGAAAATTGTAAAATATTTATTTATTAAATTCTCCCTACATGCCCTACATGATGCATCCTTACATGTAATTACCCCCATCGCCCACATGTATGTAGGCTGGTTCCCTTAATATCCAGCAAACTTGGACAAACAACTATTAATTAATGGCACAGGCCCTGGGTGTGCCATGTGCAATGCTAATTGCACTGCAAATTGTTACATTGTTATTCACAAATGATCATTATGTCAGCGTCCGATGTTGCACAAAAGGCTGTTTTGACGAAATCACAGACTCAGTCACAGACACAACGAATGCAAAACCTGTACATTAAATCCATAATTGCCTGAACTGACGTTGCGACATTTTTACAGGATAAACAAGGTGGGCCCGGCTCAGAAACCTGCCAATTACATTTGTTTATCCGGACACGCTACCTGCAGTCATCCTGCAGAACTGGCACGTACCGTAATATTACGCCACGCCGTACACAACGTGGCCTGATGTGCAGTTAACCAGCCTGACAATTTAATCACTCCATTTTTTTACCCTGGCAGATTGGACCGCAATTAGATTTTGTTCTTGTTGTGACGCCCCCGTTTATTCTTCCAGCTAAAGACGAAAATCGGCTGCAATTATTGAATTTACAGTATGATCCTGAAGAGACAAGCATGTAGGCCAACTGTCATGTAAACAACCAGAAAGTCCTTTCAAATTCACACGAGGCCAAAAAAAATCCAATAACCATTAGAGATTTGCTCCGTGATCAATGGAGGTTAAGAAATCAGAAAGCATGCCGGTATTGATAATCTTGATACAAAAATGACGTGATAAAAAATAACGAAAATCTGGAGTATGTATTGTAATCGGTGACAACGCCTTTAATTCTCGGGGGGGGGGGGGGGAACGACTCTGTTCAATCTACTTCAATGTAATTTGTTACTAAAAATGAAAGCTTTTTAAATTACAAGCTTTTTTCAACATCTCCAACTACATGTACATGTACATGTAGTGAAAACAACCCCATACACACGTAGAAAAATAAAATGTCCTTGAATTCATCAGTTTACAAAATTTGCTGCTCCACAGCTGAAGATATTACGGGCATGTAGTTGGCGCAAGGCTCCCTGTGTTTAACTAGTCTGGGGAATTCAAGTTTAAATCTTCAAATTTAATAACAAAAACCTGGGTACTAGACATTGCAGAAATTTAATACAGGTACACGTACAGACAAAGATGTTTGTACAATAACAATGTACATTTGCAATTACTTTTCCCCACACATGTTACCAATAAATTGTATTTCAAGGTTAAACATCTGTTGAAAGAAAATTACACCATTGAACCAACAAACAAAACAAGTGCATGCCTTCCACATACATGTACATACATAAAGAATCACAACTGACATTGAAGGGCAGAAATGTATCACACACAAAAAACAGTATGAAGGGTATTGAAATATTTTTCAAACAAATGTTGTAGACAAAAGAATGTTAGAATGCCATACTGTACATAGCTGTGTGTACCTGAACATACACACAAACATGTACTGTGAAGCGAAGGGGAAAAATTGACATGTTTTGTAAAATTTTACATGGTTCATGAAAATAAATCTTCACCAGATTCAGTTCATTGTGATTTAAATTATTATTAAGTTTAGGACTATGTATCAATTAAAATTATATTACTAGTTTCTAAAAAAAAATGGAGAAACAGTTCAATAAACTGGCTGCATCCTCAAGAGAATCCAAGCTGAATTTATGGTACAATTATGCACAAAGACAAGCAAACAAAACACCCACATCTACCTTCTTTGTTTTACTAGTCCACCTCCTAAACGCCACCGCCAGCATCCTAGCAAACCTCAAGACAGCAAGCCGGCTCTTCTTGTTATCGTTGCCTCTGCCACTCAGTCCCTTGTTGTTTACCGGCCCAAGCTCCGAGTGACCACACAAACAGCTGGCTGGGACCAGCTGGGCACCGGGGCTAAGCAGGGCGCCGGTCGGCTCAGCGGTTCTCCGCAGGCTGTCAGCGGAGCTCATGGAGCCATAAATTACGCCAAAAGAACAAAATTTAACTAGGCCTCTGAATTCTTGCAGGATTTACCCCTCAAAAAAACAAAAAAACAAAGCCGTTGGATTTTCAATTCGAGCAACTTTCAAAATCAAGTCCAGTTGATCAGTCAATATTACACTGAGCGTGTACAGTACACCATCTCCAGCAGACGTTGGAACAGCAGGTTATGAAGAGGATGTCAGAGGCTTGTTTACTGCAAATCCTGCTGCAATCTTACCGGGAAGGATCCATTATTCCTGAGGGGGAGGGGCAGCGTGACATGCGGCAAAGCCTCACGTGGGTGACTGTTTTCACAACAGTTTTTGTTTCTGGAATCAATGGAAAATCTGCTAGGACTAGACCTAAATGTATAACTAAGGGTTGCACATCCATGGTGCAAAAAAACAAAAGGGTCCACACATGTAGACACACATTTGGAAATGGCTGTACATGCAAGGGTCCTAGTATAGTGATAACGAATAATGGACAGTGTTCACTGCATAATCTCCCTATGACCACTTTCATAACAGTAGCTTGTCTTACTGAGGGCAAGGTTGCTTCATATTGCAAGATGTCTTACATATATTGTATGCAATTAAAAATATGGTTTTGCGCAGTGCATGCTTAGATAACGGGTATCGGTTTAGAATGGAAATCGAGCTTGGGGTCAACATTTTTTGGGTTAAGTTTTATTTTTCCATGATGTACAAAAATGTATGACTTTCATAACATTTTGCACAAAAGAAGTATTTCTCAACATTGTCTTTGCAGGAAGTTTCTTTTTTTATTTAAAAAGATTCCTAACCACGGTCTGTGTAAACAGTGTCCCTTAATTGTTTGAAATATTAATTAGTGTGGAAAACAATTTGCCAATGATGCCAGGTGATATGCAAGTTACATGTACCGTATGGTACATACATGAATGAGGCCACTTCAGAACATCGATCATGGTTACAATAACCTTTTAAAAGGTTAGGCCTAACAGTAATAAAGCCTTACTGGCAAAATAAGATGGAACTGGGCATAGGCAAAAAAGCAAATGGGGGAACATTTTTCTTCTGATTTTTCGATTGATCGATATTTGTAATCTTTGATCTACATGTAGGCATAAAGATACATGTAGGCCTATGTCTACAACACATATTTTAGAAAATAGTGTAAAAAAAAAACGTGGATAAGGCCAAAAAAAAAAAGTCTCCGGTTTCTGGTATGGAGCTTGTCCAAAAAGTGGTGCGGCGACGCGGCTTTTTTTTTTTTTTTACACGACTTTTTTGCTTCAAATGTCGCCTGATGACTGCAAATGGTGCCCGACTAAACTTAGTGAAAATATATGGGAGTCCAGAGAGGCCACATAAAGCTTATTCTCGATCATAACCCCATCTAAAAACATGTTGAAATTGCGCAGCAGCAGAATTCCAGTCAAACCAGTGAGTTTGGCGGTTTTGATACATCATCTTTCATTGAAAAAAAAACTTTTTCATTTTGCCGACGCGCATGGCTACGGCGACGCGCGTGCATACCAGAAACCGGAGACTTTTTTTTTTTGGCCTAAAGGTGATTTTTTTCAGAAAAACACTGGGCATCTTTCATTTTTCACAAATTACAAATCTCAAACTTTGAAAGCCTATTTCTCAGTATTTTTTACTCGTGTGGCATGTCGACAACCATGATCTTTTAGCATATCAACAACTTGTCAATAGAACATCTGATTGAAATGCAACAAACAGTATTGTAAGGTGAATTTCACTTTCTCTCCTAATACCACAAAGCCTCATTTCGACCTCTGCCCAGTTCTGTCTCATTTCACCAGAAGTCGCCTGTTATTTGTGAAGAACTGTAATGTCAGCATGTATGGTACACTACCGATTTGCACACACTTAGTGATAAATGAATTAAAGCTGTCACTGTGTTAGAATTTTAACAAACGAGAGTGCATACATTGTACATAGCCAAAACTGTTGTAATTTTTTAATATTCAATTACAATATTCCACAAATTGCAAACTGTACAAATTTTGTGTATCAATTGAAATGTGCGAGAATGTAATACAATAATTTGGGAGTCTTGTGGGAGTGTCGCAAAACACACTTGTTTTTCTACTGTCTTCTGAATGACCAGTGAGTCAGCACCACTTAACCGATCCCAGGAAAACCCACAACTCAGTCGAGTCATCGCAACAGGCAGTTCAGGAACTACCAAAATGTACAACGGCTCAAATTTTTGGTAAACATACACCATGTACATGTACGTGTACCGGAACGTGCAACGTACATGTACAATAACATGTGCATATAGGGTACACTATACATACCGTACATGTAAAAATGTACATAAACCATACTAGGCTAGTAGCTAATAAAAGCTAATAATAAAATTTACTAAGACATGAGATAATTCTTCTAAAAAAAATTAAACCTAAAAAAAAATGTAACATTGATATTTATAAAAATTAATGTGTGTAAGTGTTTGATTATAAATTGTAAATAAGATGTGTTTATTATAAGATGGAATTTTGCGCCGGGGTGATATAAATCAAATTAGGTTTTGCCCTTCATGTGTTTACCTAACAAAAATAACATGTGTTTACCTAACACAAACAAAAACACTGTCTTTATATGGCTAATTAGGAGGGACGGGCAACAAATTGTACGTTAAACAATTTACCAAAACAAACCCCCAAAATATGTATCTCCATTGACGTGTTTTCAAAATTCCAAATAACAAGCATCCCCAAAAATAGGCTAAGCAATAATTGCTACCCTGAGCCAACAACAATGAGTGAGAAGTCATCCACGAAGAAGTAAACAACTGCCGGCGGGCCAGCCTCTCCTGAATGTCGCAATCTGCCCCGATGATAAGCGTGAAAAACAAATCTTGTTGACGAAAAAACCCAGGCCACCTGAAAACAACAAAAATTCCTCCGACATGGAGAAGGGCTAGGTAACCCAGTACTACGGACGAGACGTCAACAACAGCAGCCCAGCGACACTAGAAGCCTGACGCAGCAGATGCTGTTACACTGGAAACGTGGTACATAACAAAGGTCATCTACATCTAAGAATGAAGCTGTGTCGCACAGGACACTTTGTCGAACGTCATACGATAGCCTCGGGTAAAAAAGAGAAAAAAAATTGACCCTTTTTTAAAAAGAAGGACACAGGATATGAATTCTAAGTGGTTTTTTTTTGACAGTGTGTGTGCTGCTTTTGTGTCCAATTTTAACTCACCGAACAATTCAGTTTTGATTTACAATGTATGAACCTGAACTAAGTCGTACATGATGCATATGTGCATTCATGTATATTCCCATAAGAAATGTGTTTATATGTACGGCACAGACATATTCACACAACAGTGCAAATTTATTTTTGGCAGGCAGGACTGATACGTGACACTATAAGCAGGGATTACAAGAATTAAAATGTCGCCCACTCAAACTTGGGTGTATTTTATAATCACGCAGACAATAAATATGTAACTTTAATAGCCTGGTAATTCACACGATGTGAATACCAACATGTAGGTCAAGCCAAGGAAAAAGTTGTTTTTGTATAATTGGGCCCTTAACCTACAAGTTTTTTTTATTCCGAATTTATCACTTAACATTTGGCATATTTATGGAGAACACAGGTCTCTAAAGATTAAATTAGGTTTTGCCCTTCACCAACGTTTAAACACTGTATACTCAGTGTGTTACCTCCCGAGTGAAAGTTGGAAAAAATCACTCGGGTGGGACTCGAACCCACGACCTCCTGCTTTCTCTAAAGATTGTTTGAAATTCCCTTTTCTTTTGAAATAATGTACATGTAGGCCGAAAAACAAAATTACAATATGATGGACTGCGGCAATCACCATGGGGAAAAAAAACAGTTAAAAGGCACTTTGTGGGTGCAGGATATGCTTTGTTTTACAACAGTATGGTTTTTAGAGGAAAACAGAAAACTGAAGTATTTTCAAATACAAAACTCTTTACAATTTTCAACTATTCAATGATCCAATATATTGTGACGGAATAGGAATTAAGTCACCAACTGTATGTTTTAAATACACTAGCACACTGTGAGTCACCCACACTTTGCATATAAGGAATCCTTGTTTCTGATTGGTCAATTGAGTTTATGCACTGTTGTATGGCAAAGAGAAGTTGTGCACTAGCTTATGGGGCTCACAGTCTATAAAAGGAGCTGCAGGGCTAGGATTTAGTCAGTTGATTGCTTGATTCTCTGATGATTAGACTAATTGCTCAGGCTCTTGATTATGCGGAATGACATGACGGATGATGATGATTAAAGGCATGACCATTGTACTTCATTACTGTTTCTGTTCACCAATTACTAGTCTGTCTTAGGGTATAGGGTCTACTTAGGACTAAGTCAAGGGCAAAGTCCCAAGGGATACAAGTTGGTCTACCCCCATTCTGACTCCGCCGACTCCGCCCACATTCCGACTCCGCTTATTCCGCCCCATTCCTACTCCACCCACATTCCGACTCCGCCTATTCCACCCCATCCCTACTCCACTTCCATTCCCCTGCTCCATTGCCCTGACTACCAGTCTACTGGCTGATCCGATCAGCCGAGAAGCGGGGATAGCCTGGTGCTGTGGCCCACCACTGCAGGGATAGGACACCATCGGGACGGCACGCTACCAACCAAACCAGCCTGACGCAGGAGAGCTGGCACCACACGTCACATTGGTGGCAGCGGTGGGATCCACCAGGAGAGAAACTTCAGTGGAATTCAGCAGCTGAAGGAAGAAGACAACGGAATGGAACAAAGAGAGCAAGCAGTGCTTACACCGGGGAGGCACCGAGTGGAAGAAGTCGACTCGGGAGTGGAGTTCCGGTATCAAGGCAGTGACTTATTTCCAGCGGCTGTGGGAAGTGCGGCGACGAGCGGAGCAAGCAGCATCCTTCAACCGGCCCAGGAAGCATCGCAGCTCCAGTTCTCTCCAATGACATCCACCGTGAACCCAGGGCTGTTTCTAGGGAGATCGACACCATGGACAACAGTTGGAGAAGAGTGGGCAAGGCAACCGATGGCGAGCATCAACCCTGCACATCTTGAGGGGTCTCAACAGAGAACTCCACAACGTGGATGGATGGGCGAGCTGGGGGAACCAGCCGGAGGATTGCCAATGTTGAACCCACTGAGCACCTCTACTCCAGTGAGCAACTTACAGATATCAGGAGCCAGAGTAGAGCAAGCACCAAGGCTACCAGTGACGATCGGGAAGATCGAAAACTGGTGCCCGGGCGGAGCGGGAGCAAGGGAATATTCCACCAGAAGTGTGAATATTGGAACTTCCGCACCACCAGGAATCACTTCCGTCAGTGGAGCATGGCAAGCA